AGTAGACATATGTAATATTCCTCTGACATTTCACAGATATAGTTTCTACATATGTACACTTATCAACAGTAGATAGGTAGATTATTATTATAAGTTTAGACTGAATGCATGACCTGGCTAGTTGGAGATATTACTGATTAGTGTATAAAGTCATTTTGTACTACATTTTTACTAATAGACGAGTTCCTCTCAAAATAAACTAAGAATTTATACAGTTAAGAAGTTTCTAATGTGGAAATGAGAAATCAGTCTCTAGAAACTACGCCTTTAGTAGTATGTTAAGTCCTTTGAGAAATTACTTCAGAAATCAAAACCATTGAGAAGTAACTCATTTTAATCGGCTTCAAGAACACTTGGCTGACTACACTTATTATCCACTATGGTAAAAAAATTTCACCCACTCATCCTATTAGAAGAAGAGATGTCAACTATCAAAAAGATCTTGGTCGGACATTGAGATTCGGCGTGGATTATGGAGAACATCAAACGGGAGCCGAAAAAAGGAAAACACAGTTCAGTTCCCTTCGCCTCCTCCCCGAAATACTACACATAGACCTGGACTTTAGGTTTGGTGAGAGATGGTTGCTAGCCAAATTGGTTGACAGTAACTGAGGTTAATGTTTATGTCTCAAATATTAGTTATGTGCAAAAAAGGTCAAGATGGACAGGAGGATACAGTTAACATATAGATGAACTGACACAGCCACAAAGAGATGCAAGGTTAACTTTGTGTGAGAAACAACCAATCAAAAGACTGTATTTTCTACTAACATTAATCTACAATAATGTACATCAAAATCTGTAAATGTGTTGATTTTCCTTCATAAACGGTCTGTTGCCTGACTCTTGCCTTCTGTCGTTACATAGGGAAGACTCAGTCACAGGTATTCGAAAGAGCAGAATCAATAGCTACTTAACGAAGACCTTACCTGCAGCAACGTTGAGAGTGATATGCTCTAGCTATCCACTGTTTCTAGGCTGTTTGAAGGACAAATTCCAGCATATATATAGGCAAACTAGTAAGGCTATGTCAGTGTCAATACTATGAACAGTATCAACAACAAGACAGGTTAAAATAGAGTTATGGAATGACTTTTTGCACCTTTGTAATATAATGTCAAGAAATCTGGTGATGAATTTACCTAACCGTACTCCTGAAGTAACTGCTTCTAAAGGAGCAGTTTAACCGAATCTATTAATGTGTGTTCAGAAGAAATCCGTACAACCACTTTCTTTACTTTGGCTATCTTCACACGAATGTGAATAGCTGATCACTTCTCCTAATTCTAATGCTATTTACGAGTTATTATTCCAACTGCCTTATTATTCCTGTTATTTTGGTTAATAGTGACTACCGATAGAATCCGGGATGTGCACTGTGATGCAGGCACATCCAGGTGATGAGGATCTAATAGGACGAAATGTGCATCCTGGATTCAATTGTTAATCACCATCACAACTAAAATAATATCATGTTGACCTTCAGACATTCTCGAAGCGACCTTATCAGGAGCCGTGTTGTCAACCGTGACCGACAACACAATTAATGTCAATGATCCTAAACAATCTAATTTATACTGACTACTTCATTGATAATTGTTCTCATGACATCAATCTTAAAAATTACGTAAAATATTTCTCTTTCATTTGTTGTTCTGATTTTTTCGCTCAATTATCATTCCTGTTTGGTGTGTTGATAAGTAACTAATCATCGTTGGCAAACTTACCACCGCTAGATTAGTTGATAGCGTATTGTAATAAAAATGCTGTTTGTATACTATATCTAAGACTATTATTGACGAGGATCTAATTGAAAAATAATTCAGTTAGAAAACTACTGAAAACCAGTAAGGTGTACTGGATAGCTGTCTCGTTCTAGTTGGGGACTCACCAGGTGTACACCCGCCTATTGCCTCACTGGGGATCGGATCCAGAACCTTCAGGTTACGACGATCTTTGAGTGATGTCAGCTAGTGAATTAACCTGAAACCAACCAAATTCTCGCAAGTCAACATTTGGAAATTCTCCTTTGTTATCAACGAAATTATCTTCGAAGGTTGTGTGGGCAATCACATCAAAACTTGATAAAACGTGTGTGCATGTGACATAACTATTACAGTTACTCAGGAGTGGTTCCTGACAGTAGGAAGAAATGACGTAATGCAATCAACGACACAAAATGCGGAGAAGGAACATATAAGAGCGACAATAATGAATTACTTACTAAACATGCAAATACAAAAGTACGAAGGAGTTTAAGATTATTGTAAAAGTTTCAAAACCTAAAACTCTTTCCTATGGAGTTTAGTAAATATAAATAAACACGACTGTATACCATCTGTGAAGATGGTTTCGTCACTAAAGAAATAAGGTGTCCTCGTATAACTGTTTTCTTTTCTTATTCTCTTCTAAATATTTAGATAGGGATTTATCACTATTACTATGAAGTGATCATTTACTATCACAAAAAGGCAACCAGAAGTGAGAATTCAGCCGAGACGAGGTAAAAACCTTCAAGTGAAAGCATCTACCTTAGTTTCTTATCTACTCTTTCTTAGTCTACTTGATTATACACGAAACTTGTTACCAGACATGAAACTGAACCCACCACCCTTCCTTTTTTCCTTTCCTTGCGTGCCGAGTGGGATATCAAGCTTCAAGCTTTTGATGATTCAGTAATGGTGTTGTTTTTTGACGATGTGGGGTATTTCTAGCCTCAAGCTCAATATTCCTTCTATTCCGCAAACAGTATTATTATTACTACTACCAGCTAGTAAACTATGCGAGTTTTAGTGTGGTGTATCGACCGGGAATCGAACCTGGAATTCCTATGCAGCTGGCGAGTACACTACTGTTGTAACACTGACACATCACTATCCCCTAAATATCCGTATATATATATATATATATATATATATATATTTACATCAACAACAAAAAGTTAAACCTTGCACGCAACGAATAACCGGCAACAATCAGTTAACACGTAAACAAATAAAATAATCTTTTTTTCTGGTGAAACAAAGCTTACACTGCACCCCAAAGGAAGATTTGTTACCAAGAAAAACAAAAGAAAAAGAACAATCGAGGGGAAGAAACATCCGATGAGAAAGAAAAGGGAAAGAAAGGCAAGGCTTTTGTTGGAAAGGACAGATAGAACAGTCTCTCGTGTCGATTTTGGAGCAGAAGAACACTATGTGCATACACAATACATCAGGAGATAGACAGTCATAATCGTGATAACAATAATAACAATAGTAATAATAATGCCTTCGAAAAAAATTGAGGCATAGAGGAATTTTTCCCAAATGTACCATATATATATATCACAACAGGAAAACCAAAGGAGGCAAAAGACCAACAATACATGGAGCTGGTGTAAGCTAAGCCACGTTAATCTGAAAAGTTTCAATTGCACATCTGAAAGAGAATAGGCTATATATATGAATAATAAACTTCTCATGATTAATAAACTATTCGTCGAAAGTTGCTCTTTAAAAAAGAAGAGAATCATTGCATCAACACCATTCATGTATTCTTCAAAGGCATCTTGAAGCAAGTAGAAAAAAAAACAGCCGTCCGACGACAACAACAATGTTTGGCAGATACAAGCAACAATAGGCGCTCAACCGGGTTATTTTGATAACAGTGTTCATGTATATGCGTGTATATGTATATGCGTGTAATATTCTAAATCACTCAGGGAAAGTGAAAAGAATAGGCAACGATAACAATAACAAAAACAACAAGGAAGGGGACGACTAAATCGTGAGAAAAAAGAGAAGAACAATATGCAAAGTCAAAATTGAACGAAAATCAGTCAGTCAATCAATCGATCAGTAATAAACAGACCAAATTTGATGACGAGGAAACAGCAACAACAATATCATGGTAGTGGGGTGCATCCGTGATAAGTGATAATGTAAAAGAGGTAGAACATGTGGAGGGGGGGATAGAGAGAGAGAGAGAAATTCCTTGGATGCTTTCCATCCATCGTTTTGGCAAAAGAATTACATATACATTCGTCATAATATAATTATCATCTGGTGTGGAATTTATTGATCACTTTTTGTTTAGATGGAGAAAAGCAAGATAGCCTTGTCAATCAAGAGGAAAGAAACAAATCTACACAAGTACACACATAGACATACACCTATACATACAATTGGCACTTGCAGTGAAGACTTCAAAAAGGATCACTTTGAAGGGGAACAAAAACAAATAAAATCGTCTTCAAGACAAGATAAACAGGAAGATGATCACAAAAAGAGGAAGAGGAAGAAAACAACAACAGAAATCAAGTATATGATACATAATTTGACAAGAGTAGAAAATACGTATCATCAGCAAACAACAGTAATGTATACAGAAAGTTGGCTTGAGTGAGCAAATGTGAGAGAAGGCGAGGTACAGAAGGAGAAGAAGAAAACATTACTTATTTCTTCATTAAGTTTCTTTCACTTCTGTCATACAAACATATATAATATGCACAATAATAACAAAAAATGTTAATCTTACAACAGCATTTTATGCATATATGTTGTTTTATGTGTATATAAAATATCTTAAGTTTATGAAAATTTTAACGAACGAATTATGTGTAATGTGACTTGTTCTTTGTCAGTCAAAAGAGATAAGGCCGACGATGAGGTGATTATCTCATGATGAGACAATTTCATCGACTGATGAAAGACAACATCAACAAAAAAACATGCAATAGTAGTAGTAATAGTAGCGTAGAAGGAGCAATAATGGCTGATAGAATGTGTAAGGGGTGAACACCTCTAACACAGTTATCCAACCAACTAACTAAGTGAACATCAAACAGCACAGAAAAAGAAAACAATCATGTCGATAATGATAATTTGCTTACGAAAGATTAACAATTCGATCAAAACAACACAAGTATATAGACAGATAGATGAAAGGCAAACAGAAAAGGAATGCATAATTGATTCTGACTTTTTTCCACTCATCACTCTGCAATGCAATCATCATGATCAGTTAGAATGAGCAGTGTTATCTTCTTCTTGAATAAATTCTACATACGACGACGATGATGATGATATTTGTTGTTGTCGTTGTTGCTGTTCAGATATTTGATTAGTATTATAATAATTACCTGTAATACTACCACTACCACTAATACTATCATCACTACCACTACTACTGCTATGTGAAGTAGTAGTAACACTATTTGTAGTAGTAGTAATAGTAGTAAAAAGAGGGTCAGCAGTAATACACACATCAATCCCCATACTGTTATTGCAGTCATTTCTATTCACACATTGTTCTGCATCTAAATGTGTAGTACCAATAAGTGTACTAGTACCACTGCTAACAGTACTATTAGTACTACTAGTGGCAGTGGTAACATGAGCATTATTCAGGTTCCTATAATTGTTATTAGTATTATCATCATTAATGATGTATTCATCAAAGTGTATATCGTGAACATCGTCATCTAAAAATGATAATGATGATGACGCAAGAGGATGTAGAGATTTAGTCAAAAAGGAATCATTCCCGCCTTCGTCGTCAGCATCAGCACCATCTTCTTCATCTTCACGTTGGTCATCATCATCATCGTCATCTTCTTCCTCATCGAATTCTTTTTCTTCACTCTCACAATCAATATGACCACCAGGTTTGTAAGTTACAAGGTCCACTAAGCTACACTTTAAATTTGTTTCCGCTGAAGGGATCTGCAGTAAAGAGAAAGCAAATAGAGAAAAGGAAAAAAAATAAACGCGCAACAACGCAAATCACAAAAAATACGTGATCTACCCTTCTGCTTATTAGTTTCTAGCTTCAAAAATTATGTTAAGCATACCCCAGAAAACACTATTCAAGTCTGTATAACACAATATACAAGACCCTAAATATCTGATTAGATAGTTGGAACCAATCCACTAGGAGGCTCTACATCGAGATTTCCAACTTATGAATATCCCAGTGATGGATGAAGATTCGAATTTCAAAGGAGACACCAAGTGTCTTAAGAGTACAGACAAGCATGAAACCGAGCTTTGGAGTTTCTCGTCAACTCCCTACAAACATCTAATGTCAATTCAAAGTGTATTGCGATGATGAATCACCTAGCTTCGTGACTAGATTGCAAAATTGACTGATGGAATTCCATAAAACACAAAATAATCGAGGAAAGAATGTTCTTTTCGATAAATTCCTCTTCCAGGCTCTACAATTATATGTATGTTTATATACACAGAATATTTTAAATTAGTAGTTGATAACCATATTAGCGTTTTTTAAATAATATCGATTTGTAAAGTATGATCAATGATGGAATTCCGTCGCCAACAATAAATAAGGACTGGACACATGACAGTGATTACTCACTAATAACCAATTCATGTAGCTTCCGCGTTTACACAAAGTACAACTGCAGAGAAAGAACACAAAGGTTTTTGGTACAGAATATTTGTAATACAATGAATAATATATGCTGAAACTCCAGTATGAACACACTTGTCTTGTTTCCCTTTATATCGATACTTTGTAGATAGATTCAGTATCTTCCCTACTTTTGCTTCTTGACTAAAAACTTCACTTTTCGATCCTCTGTTGAAGAGTTCAGAAGACGACAAATTAAATACATACTACTTATAAATTTTTGCCAATAGAATCACGTGGTAAATTCAAAATCTCTGGAAAGGGGGTTATATTAGTTTATCAATTACATAGCCTTATCTACTGGTCACTCATCAGTTCCCATTTGGGTTCCGCCCGACGGCCTTGATGGAGTGAAGTCAACGCAAGTCAAACCCATCCATCTTTAATACCTTCTATATATTTGTTGACTGGGCATTTGGTTGTTTGGTTATTCACTGACTGCCACAGTTCCTTGTTGTTTATCTTTTCTGGCTGGTCATCCGATCTCCACTATCGAGATAGTGAAGGGGGCAGCAGGTGTTGATAAAAGTCTTCAATAGTCTGTTGTTGGACAACACAGCAAATCGCTGAACCTTGTAGAAGCACTGACTGACTTGACAACAGTGTTAAAAATTCGGATCTTGTTCCTAGTGCTAGGCACTGTACTCCAGACCTCTATAATAATTTCAAAGGAGTGAACGCCTGTGTTACTTCCCCTATCCGTTCCACAGCCCATGGTTGAAACTGATCAATGCTGTCCAGTTTTGTGAAAAAGACGATTTATAGTCAGCATTTCTTCCATTGATGATGGTGACTGAAGTTTTGTTGTTGTTGCTAGTTGAGTATCTTCATCACCTCTGCCTCCACTATGTTTACTTGAATTCCTGTGTCTCCACCAATTTTTCTGCAGATTTTTCAGTTTTTGCTTGTATATTTTTGAGTTTTTGTCCAATGTGACAACACACATATGAATCATTCGCAAAATTCATATCTTCTCGAGTCATTTCATAAATCCTATATGGATATGTATCTATCTTCTCATTCTCCAAGGTCGGTTGCATAATTCAGTCATCGCAACTTAGTGTAAAATCATTTAGTAATATAATAGAATAGGCAAAATCCTGTCTTATTCCTGTTGTCGCTTCACACAACACACAAAAGAAATTAGAAAAAAACAAACAAACAACGACAACTTACTAAATTCAGTAGAATTTGTTCAGCTTGCTCACATGCTTCAATTTTTTTCTGTTTATCATCATCAGGCCAGTTATGCGACGCGCCTATTCTTAAACTATGCAGTGCTGTTGCATTGAGCTATATATAGGACAAATGAATAAAATACCAATGATAATAATTCCAATAACAGAATAATTACGTGTGTATTATAAGACACAGACTGATACACTAATTATTTATCTATTGATAAATGTTTCGAATAAAATTTATTCTTCCGTAATCATATCAAAATCCCCATTTATGTAAATTCTGATTCCTGTGAATATAATTCCATTATTATGTTTCTATTCTTTGATTTCATTGATAGTCTCTAATTACTTCAAAGTCAGTGAGTGCTTCTACGTTGTTCACATACTTGGCATGTGAGTCACTAAAAGCATTTTCAAGAGGCTACTGAAGTCTTTCACCAACACACGCTCCCCAAGTTACCACGATACTGGATATCACATGGCTGGGCGGGAAGAATAAGCGAAGATAAACTCTCAGAGTGGAGCGAATTAGTCGACCAAATATGCAGACAGAGATGAAGATAGATGGACTGAACACACACTGAGTTGACCTTCAAGTGACCTCACAAGCCAGGTAGACCGGACAATGGAACCTAAATGAGAAGTGACCGGTTGAGCATGTGCTAAAGTTGACATGAATTAGAGATCAGGTGAAGAGAATATAAAAACTTGCAGTTAGCCGTATAACCAAGTAAGAATGACTGCAGAGAAGATAGTAAAATGGAGATAACCCACACAGGATGCAAAAGGAAACGACTAAGGGCATAAGTGTTTAATATCAGCCTCTAAAGTATACAAGTGAACAACACAACAGTAGTTCCTTTTAATTTATTATCTCAGACTGAAACACTCGGTTTCTATTGACATATCAACTCCTAGAACGGGGTGACACATTGATGATACCTTGAGATTAACTTGAAGTAAATGAAGCCAATTTCACTAATACAACAAATAATGCTGCCTCATGCAAAAGAATGACTCTTGTGGCTGAATAATCTATTGAACAGTAATCCAGCATTTGAAACTATGGATGCTGGATTAGAATCTCAGTAGAAACACACTATCACCTACTGCAGATGTAGAATATCACCAAGTGGCGAGTCCCACGCAGGACAGAATGTGCATCCTATATGTCACTGCTAACCTGCCCTCATTAAACGAATAAGAAGAACAGTAAAAACACCATTATTATTACTATTACCTTTATTAGCGCTTACCTCACTGAGTACTCGAAGCAAATATACCTCATTCGATAAATAGGTGATAACATCAGGGTGTGTAAACAACAGATTGAGGTATAAATAAAAGACTTGATAGGCTGTAGTAGTCCTCTTTTCACGTATGAATTTTGAATTCAATACGTGAAATAATTTCGAATTTTTCGAATCTTGTTATTTTTGTTTTCGAACAAAAAATGGAGGAAAAGAGAAAAAAGCATAGGAAACAGATGAGTTATTTCTAATATCATTTAAGATTCAGAAGTGACAAAACATCACACTGAGGAGATATTGTCCTCACGAACCTAGCGTGTTCTATTACATTCAGTTGTACGTAAATTTTTTTTTATTCCTTCACGTTCCCAGTGGAACATAGGGCTTCAAGCTAGAGGCCTGAAGTTTCTGTAGCAGTGTTTATTTTTACAGGATGGGTTGCTAGCCTCATGCCCAACCTTCCCTCTTAGCCAGTTCTATTACTAGGTTAGCGAGGTAAAGGAGTGCGCCGGCCGGGGCTAGAACCCCGGACCATGTGCATGGTTGGCGAGCGTCTTAACCACTGTGCCACCGACGCACTTGTACGTAAATAAACGTTAGTTAATTAGGCATGTAGCATTACTACTGTTTCAATAATACGATCCAATTGTGTGTTGTGGCGTGGTATAGGAGTGTGTATTGGATGAGAATCGAAACCAGACCTCGATTACCAGGGAACTAGAAAAAATTAGATCATCCATGAAAAACATCTATTAAATCAGTGTAGGATTGTTGGAACTTTTTGAAATAAATGTTGCCAATAAACTAATGAAGTCGCGTTAATTTGTGCAATATCCACTAAAAGAAGAGGAACTGCAACAATTGTGAAAAAATATTATATTACTGGTCAGAATGGACGTTCTCTTTGTCATTTTTCCTCCACGAATATAAATTGGCTATCAAAAGACAAGGTATTCATTCCCTTATATCAATACATGCTGACAACTACGGGTACCGATTCAGTTTGGAAAGTATACATATGATATATATATATATATATATATATATATATATATTTCAAAAAGGAAACCATGGGAAATACCGAAGGAATTCCTCCTAGAAGCCTCGTACACAAACGAATCTACAACCAACAGGACACATTAACATATGTACTGTTTATCAATTAAAATAAAGAATAAATTACATGAAAACAGAAAGTGAAATTCCAAGTGAATAAAACCATCGGTACCAGTACAAATTAACAACCAATTGCGATCAAGATCTGCACTGAGATGATGTTGTCTAAATAGACAAAGGTTGAATGCTGTTTCGCATCGCAATAAAAGTTATCCAACTCAGAGGAACACACCTATAACAAAATAAACTAGGCTGGCTTTTTGTTCAGCGTTAGCAAAACTAACATTCATCTATAACCTTAACAATGCAGGCTTGGTTAATAAGTATTGCCACCACAAATTGGCAGTTGCCTGATAAACGCATACTAATTTATATATATATATATATATATTCCTTGCACAACTATTGGTTATTTTAAAAAGCTGATTAGAGTAACATATCTATTTGTTTGAAAACAGATTACACAAGTGATTTTTCACATATCAGGGTATGAGCTAAACACTTAATTGTGTGTGTGTGTGTGTAACAACAGCTAATGATGACTCGAAAACGTGACCGATTGGCTATTGGCTGGAAACCAGGTGTGTCTGAACTAATTTGCCCAATACTTACAGAGCAACCGCTTTATAACTATAATGATTATAAAAGAAAGGAAGTAGGAATTGATATTTTCATCATATCATTCACTTCCCTTTAAAGTTACAAATATACATGTAAAATCCTTTTAACTACTCGATTTTAACAGTCAAATAATAACTGGTCATTAGCAGTGTGCTGGACATCCAAAGGTGATATAGATGAAGTAAATGCGAAGAAGAAGGTGAAATGAAAACTGATAACCTTTTCCCCCAAAAAATATACAGAAGGAAACATAGGTGGATGCATTGGTCATTGGACTGGAGACTGAGAAAAAATTTTCATATTACATCACAACACGTCAGGCAAACCCTAAAGTGGAGCCCGAATGGGAGGCGACGTGTTGGATGTCCAATAATGACAAGGATATCATTGTGCGAAGAGGAGATGAAAGTTTGTTGGCAGTCATGGGGCCAGGTGATAAATGATGGTATACTGTTGAAGCGCTGTATTCTGCTAGAAACCCAAAGAACAAATTAACCTGGTAGTAATGAACAAACTATAAACATTTTTGTTACAAAACAAAACATAGCAGCAGTAATAATAATAACTTACAACTGAAAAAAAGACGAATTCTTATTGCTTTCAGTGAATCCGGTATGCTTAATAAGCATTCAATCAACTTTATAACACTCCCCAAATCAGACGATTGCAAAAGACAATAGACTAATTCCCTGAGAGCAACACGTGAAAAATTAAAATTTCCATAGGAGAAAAACTGTAATGGAGAAAAGATGAGGCGGAAGAAAAATGATTGAAAGGTGAGTGAACCAATCAGCAATATATATATATATATATATACCATAGAGGTAACTTAGTGACGTAAGCACTCGATTTTCAGAGTTCGAGTCCCACTCCACCTATTCCAGGCTAATCAACTGGATGGTAGCATAATTAGCTTCAACACACACACAAATAAGCATGTGGCTAGCAGCCTGTGACGTGAAAGATCCAGTTTCAAGTAAATTGAATTTGAACAAAACCATATAGCACAGAAGTTAAGAATCATATGTATCACAGTAAATCCAAATTCTATGCTCTGAAGTGTGAGCTTATAAAGCTGCTAATATTGAATTTGATTACAAATAGTCCTGAAATAATTGACCAGCATTCCAAAGTTTACAACAATTCAAAATGTAATTAATTTTAATATTATGTGGTGTGATATGGATAAAGTCTAAACTATTTTAAGAGAAATAATTAAAATAAATTCGTAGGAAAATAAGAAGACAGTTGTGTAGAGAAAAATCAGAATAACATATATGCACCAACTCAGAACACTCAGATAACATTTCAGAAATACTCCAAAATGTCTTCCCTTATAAAGGATCTGATCAAATCGCTCAAAAGGAGAAAGAGATCAAGACATTTGGACATAGGCTGAAGCATTATCGGTCCGAAAATTTAAGTCATGTTGCGTATTCGACCATCACAACCAGTTTATTATCTCAAGAAAATGATTATCATTTTCATGTAGTGTTTATTATCCGAACTTCCCTGTCTCTCTTGAAATATTAAAAAGAAAAACTTTCAGCTTGTCAGTCGGATAAGTTAATTAATTAATTAACTAATCAGTTAGTAGTCATAGCTTTATTCTGAAGTGTTTATATAATGTACAGAATATTCAGTGAAGTTATTTGAATGATATTTTCTCTTCTTTCAGGATTTGAAGTGCAAATCAATCCATCATTATGATATCACTTGTTTCTCTCCTTCAAGAAATTCGCGACAACATTTCGTTGAATGCCAATTGTGAAACGTTCAGTAGTAAATTTTGTGAACCAAGGACACCATACCACTCAGGAACAGTCATCTCTTGTAGTAGGATAAACTGCCACCCATTGATGATAATGCTTTTTCTCTCATGCTTATAGTAGAAACTTGTAAATCACAACAACAGGTTGTGAACATTTGATAAATACTCACCAGAGTAAACAATACTATCAGAGGTCAACTTTTTACTAGATTTAAACAGAATATAAGAGAAATTAATACGCCAGATATTGTGTTGGAGATTTTCGGAAACCCAAGTTTTTAAGCAGGCTGCCACCTTAAGTCTGTTAATCATAAACCTGATAATACAAAGGCAGGTCTGTTTTAAAAAGCCATTCAACTGCCTATTTTTATATCCAGAAGAAAAGGAACTGAACTCAGGATCTTCAGGTTATAAGACTAGAAGCACAGTAGTGTGGCTAAATGGTCAGTGGACTGAAAGACTAGGTAGTCTGACGTTAATAAAATCACTTTTTTCCAGTCTTACTACCAGTCAGTAAACTAGGCGAGGGTCTAAGAGGTTCACCGGTTAGAAATCGAACCTAGACCATCCCCTCCGCCCACGTGTCTGTCTGACAAACATTATATAACAAGATGAACAGGTGAACTAACCAATAGAATATCTGAGATAGGCTGTAGTGTAATCGAATTCAACAATGAACCGGTTAATTGTTTCACTACACTTTCTTTATGATTTGATAAAAATAATTGTATCATTGTATTTGACAGAACAGCCACAGGTGTGGACATTGTACAATAAGGATTATGCTGATTGCCTGTATGATGAGATGTTTGATTGTCTTCTTTCATAGAAGAAGGCGATACAGATGAAGAATAAACACAAGGAGCAGTTTCGGATATATACAAAGAAGAGGATGATGTTGACAAATGCGAAGAAATAGGTGTTTTAGATACTACTGATCCACCTGTTGTCGTCGTAATATTGAGGTATTGCGAAGGAATTTCACAAGATCTGATTAAATAAGAAATTAAGTCGAATAAAATTCTTAAACCAGAGTACATTACTGTGCTGCAGGTTGAACGATTACCGTTATTATTACTATTATGAACATGATAACTATTCAAACTCTCGTTATGATCATATTTAGATTGATTAAAAGAGCTGACATGTGAGTTGGATACATTTACGATTGAAGGAAATGATGGTAATGATGAAGAAAAAATTCCATAGATAAGAGCATCTACGCTATATGAAAGACATAGTTTTGGACAGCCACATGATTGCATCTCGTTCAACAGTTCATTGAATACACTTTTAATAGATGCTTGAATATTATTAAAACTAAGGGGTGCTGCTGCTGCTGATGGTTCTTGATTCCAAATGGAGAATGCGGCAGAAGTAGGTACATTATACATTGAGGTAGTACCAAGATTCGTTAGCGAGACTTCATGGGTTAACACATAACTAAAATGTAGTAGGAGGAAAACGAGAGTTACAGGAACAACAAATATAATTTAGAAGTTTTTAGATTTAGAGATTACACAATTAAAAAAACAAAACAAAAAAACAAACTGAGAGCGTTATAAACAGGCTGCTGCAGAATTTCATGAACACCTTCCCCACTTTGCTGACTAAATACTGAAGGCTAGATGGCTTGAATGGAGCACAGGACAATCGTTTCTTCCTAGTATGCAACTACCCGTGACTGCACCAGTGGCCGAATCCAAGGTCTTCAAGGTCACTAAGCCAGACGACTGGAATTCAACTACCACTTAATTCTAATTTCCATTAAGCCTAATGCCATCGATAAATGTGGTGGACCCCATTTCTCATTAGAAGTTCACGACATCCATCCATCTAACCGCCACTAATGAGCTGAAGGTCGATATTGATACTATGAGTTTTGTGGGGATTTGGATCGATTTCAATGTATATTGGATCACTGAAAATCACAGAGAACTGAACAGCTGTTTCTTCCTATTTTTGAGACACTTCAGCATTATGCACCCAAGATCTGAATATTTTTGAAATATTTTTACGGTGATGAAGAAAATGAAAGACAATTCAGAGCACAAAAATTTTTTTCTTTATCAACGGAGTCATCTGCAAGGGCTGTAACATTTATATATGGTCAACGTGTAGCTGTCTATTATTGAGTAGTAGGTATGTGTGTGTGTGTGACTTAACTCACACGTTTTGAAATTTGACAAGGGGAACATTTTTAATAGATGAGAGGCGAGGCAGGTAATTCAGTGTGTACTTGACACGTGTGAAGAAGAAGAGAACAAAACACTGACTACTAGTAAAATATACAAGACGAACACGTAAGAGTGATAATAGTGAATTGTTTACTGGAAATAGAAGCAAATAAGTAGAAAGAGGTTTAAGAGCATGTTAGGATAGCAGACTAAACAAACCTTCCGTGAACACAGATTTTTGCATCATATCGACGGATTGTTAGCACCTTCAACGAACATAAATGTTGAAACCTTACACCCTTTATACCACTGACTGACTTCCAGGATAGAGATTAGTCCAGAAGTGCAGTAGTTCGAATGCCACATTCCATGTTGCACACAAAGATAGAAGAAAAGGATTCGAAAGTATCATAAGCAAAAAAATGTGAGGGATAAAAAATAAACAAAATAGAAAAACATTAGGGCTTAGTAGATATGAGGTGTTACAAAGAATGAATCTAAGTCATTGAGAATTATTTTCACTCATCTCGCCAATAATTTCCTGGTGTTGGTTCTTAGTATCCCGAGGACTCCAACCAGACCCAGCCTAAACCTCCCTACAAAGCTCAAACCAACTGTCAAAGACTTCATTGACTGACACCATCCCTGTTATAAAATCACATGCGCGTATTACTGAAGTGTCCCAAAATAAGTAAGGAAGAAACAACTGTGTTCAGTGAGCTCCAATTTTCTACCGTCGCCCAACTGATGTCAATCAGTTTGTGAACTGACTCCAAATCAATCACCCTATCAAAAAACCAACACTGAGAATTAATAATAATAGTAACGCCAAGGAAAATATTAATTAGTACAGTACAACACAGAACACAGTTGCCTACTTACTTCACTAAAATTTCAGGCAGACGAAGTTTCAACAAATAATGACATTCTTGTATACCATAACTAGCATAATCCAATAAAATAGCAAAATACTGTGCCCAAACTACTGATGACAGCGATGAAGATGGTGATGATGAGGATGTTGACGGTACCGGCGTTGAGGTTGCTGTTGCCCATATTGATGGATAACGATGATTACAAGGACCGAATGCTGAAGAATTTGGATCAATCTTCTGATGATGTTGTTCACTGAAAGATCTCAGTGGTGATGTCGTTGTAATTATCATAGAAGATTCTGATGTTACTGTTGCTGACGATGGAAATGACGGTACCAGGGATGATGAAGAATTGCTATTATTTACTGAATGTGTTGTACAATACGAATGATAATATTGTTGAAATGATTTATTCAATGGTAATAGGGCATTTGGCGAGAAATACAGCTGATGAATTACCAATTGTATTAAACAATGACCTGGATTGATCATTAACATCTGACTACCACTACTTTCAGAGTTATCATTATCACCATTACCGTTATTATTATTATTGTCATTCAATGTAGAAGATTGATGAAGAAGATGAGGAGTGGGAGCGGGAGAAGTAGAAGCAGCTAGAAAACGATTAATGAAACAAGTAGCTGAGAATATGCGTGCAACACAATCAATGGTAGAATTTTCTCCAACTGACGATGATGATATGCTTTTTCCATTAATTGTAGGCCTTGGTATATGAGACAGACCAGTCGTTGAAGTATTCAGCGTACTTCTTGTTTTATCTAATCTAACAATATCAGGATAATGGATCGCACTATCAGTATTCATCGTGGGATGGCTATCAGCCAGCGAAATAAAAGCTTTTAGAATATCACTGTATTGTACAGATGGATCATTCATGCATAAATGGCATATATAGACGATAAGGCTGGCAACCATAAATCGTATCTACAGTATAAAATAATATTAACAACATGAAGAGAAAATTATTAAACAAAAGCAGTAACAAACTAAAATTCACCAATCCCAAAAAAACTTTATCAATCAGTTATTTGTTTGTTTGATAGTGCTGGCTTCAGGACACGCGTTTCGTCATCCTACTTACGACTCGTCAGTTGGATAGATATCTCTTTCCTTAGTATGTCATGGTATTCCCATTGTAACTCAAACCACTACTTCAAACACCACGAGGCTGGGCTGATGAGCTACAGCAACCACCTCTTGTGCAACAGGAATGATTTGAAATTTTATTCGTGTTTGTGATATCGTGTTGGTATTTCTGACCGAGATTAATCAGCTACATTTTGATAAATTTAGCTTTCTTGAATGAATGAATCGATACAATTATGATTAAAAATCCGAGGTCACTTGTTTTGTTGGCGGTAGAACTCAGGATACGTGTGTGTCCCACATAGTTATGATCGCCTTCATCTCCCAGAAACTCAAAAGTTTTCTAATGTACCTCAGACAGCCAGTACAGACTAATACACTACGCTTTGAATTAAATTTAATACAATGATAGCACGAGTATTTATAAGCCATAATAAGCGAAATGTTTCAGGAAACAAAGATTCATTATTTAAAAGTTGAGTTTCAAAGAGGATAAGCTTTACCTACACGAGGGTTGCTACCGTGTGGGTCTGGGTTAGATTCTCAGTTCGACACACTCCCAAACCTCGCTTAGTTTACTAGCCCGGTGGAGAGAGAAGGTCGGGTGTGGGGCTAGCAATGCAACCTCGTAAAAGCGACACCACATAAGGCCTGTGTTCAAGTCGGAAGCAAAAAGAGTCAAAGAATACGGTTATTCGAACAGAAGGAAACACTAAGTTAGTGTTACCCGAAAACTAGACATTCAACTCTAACCCAGTTTAAGGATTACGTAGTTGTGTTTTTTTATTTTTTATTTACAGCTTGGTTCCACACCGTATTTTCAGTACAAGTATGGAATTTTCAGCATGGATATCGGTAGCCCAAATTATGGCCGACCATAGATATAGGGTGTGCGCCGGCAGGGGATCGAACCTCGGACCATGTGCATGGTCGGCGAGAGTCCTAACCACTGTGTATTATGAGGAAACGTTGAATTCGCAGTAGACATGCCAAAAACGGTCCAATTCTTGGTCAATAAAACGATCGACATCAAATACAAAGCGATTCCACACATGTATATAAATGAAAGAAAAAAAAGTTGTGTAAGTAACTTGATATGATTATGAGCAATAGTTTGTGCTCGAAACGTCATCAGTTAATATTACTGTATAACACTGTGTGATTTATCAAAATAAAATCTTATCCATAATGGAGTTATACTCTACTACAGTGCCCAAGTTTTATACTTATAGCGACAATAAATTACAGCCAAGACTATCAGGAGAGACAATTAAATCATCCAACGGGAATTCCAAAAAGCCACAACTCACTTCAAATTGGAGTAGGTGCTGAAGCGATGTTATCTAGAAGAAAAATGCCAACTCCGCAATTATATCACCTAGCTTATAGAGCATAACTAAATCACAAACATCCACACCTGAGTTATAAACTGCTCCATTATTCCAACATTTTAGTGCATAAGTATTTAGGTCTAAGTGGGAACCGGTTTAAACTCATCTACAGCACTTAGAATAAGAACCTGCACCTATATCTTCGGCACTGACGTCAAGTCAGCGGGGGCTTCAATATAGCTCAAACATTTTCAACGGGCTATTGCATAATTTCATTAAAACCCGCTTGTTCTATTATCTTCATACTGAAGACCAGATAGCCAGCTAGGAAGGATAAGTAAACGACAAGAGACTCTGGAAATGGAGCAAAACAGCTACCAAACTATAGCCAGGACAGGAAATATGCGCAAAGAAATGGAGATATATTGAATATACGCCGAAAAGACTTTCAAGTGATATCACACACCAGATCGATCATCGAATAGAACCCGAACGGGAAGTGCACAAGTTGGGCGCGTATCCGGTGGTGATATGGAAGAGATAATATGAGGAGGAAGTGAAAGCTAGTCGGCAGTCGTGGAGCCAGTTCAAAAAGACTGAGAGCAGAATACAATCGAGGTGTGCTTCTAAAGCTCATGTTCTTCTCGAAATGCAAGAAATGAATAATAATAATAATAATAATATCACTATTACTCACCTCCGGATATGGACAATCGAAAAGTAAAAATTTAATTTGATCTGGTGACTTTAAAAAGGTTGATTTAATTAATTCACATCTCGTCGATGGAGTACTGACAGCAACCAACTTCAGTAATATGAATAACCAACGCTTCCTTGAATGCACAGGAAAGGGAACACAAAGTAAACAGGCAAGTATGCATAGACATACATATGCACACACACACAAGAAGAGAGGAAGCACAAAAAAGAGATAAGACGTAATTCAGTGAATACAAATAAAATTCTACGCACAACTATGAAAAATGTAAACTTTTTATTAAAATGACAAGAACAATGTATTTCTCAAGGAAGCTGACACTACTCAAATAACTAATAGTAAATGTTATGAAATTTTTATGTGATGCTTTGCAGGGATTTGATTGATTTCAAGTCAGATCATGGACTAACATCAGCTAGAGAACTAATAAAAACGGGAGGGGGGCTAAACAGCTGTTCTGTCCTAGTCTGGGGCTTTTCAAAACTACATACCCATCATCTCACTGGTGATTAAATTCAGGACCTTAAGGATACGAGGCAGAACATATCAGCATCTAGCCACTGGGTCGCAGTCCAGTGCTTTGCGAATCCTAACTCCTGCCCATTTGAGATACATAGCGTAATTACCTGTCAATGTCATCGGTAAGTATCTGTCCTGACATCTGACTTAGTGGAATCCACTGGTCACGACTTCTCACTAGAACCCTGGGCAAATTCATTCAGTAATTAGTCAATAGTGAGATTTAAATTACTTTTCGGGTGTTAGTGATTGAAGTGATTTAAATACTCACTAGTGGTCAACTACGATACTGAGTGCTACTAAGGAGTTGTGGAAAGTGAGGTCCATCATGTTGGGTGTGAAGACAAAGATCCGTCAATAAAATCGACTGGTGTTAACACCATATACTGCGAATTGGTAGAAGTTAGAATTAAAGGGTCATAGGATTTTATAATCCTAGAGGCTGGATAGTTAGTAGTAACCGGTTCGATCTACGATGAGATCATGTGTATATGTAGAGTAGTGAAGAGTGTAAAAATGAGAAAATACAGGTGTCTTGTACTACCCAGTTTTCAGTGGTTATCTGACTGATGTAAGTACATGGTTTAACTTGAAATTAGTCCAATTCTCGTGAAAATAAATATCAGAATGAATTTATTCCACTCAGTTGACAACCAGTCATCGAACTACTGACTGACTGACTGGTTTCAAAATACAACATTGCACAAATGTGCAGCAGTTCGAGTCGCAATACACAAAGCCACAGAAGAAAGTAAAAAGAAATGCAAAATAGAAACAGTAGACGGAGATATGAGGCAAAAAGAATGGTAATATCGAAATACAATATTGTTTTATTGGGTATTATAAGTCACAAGGAGTGGATGCATCTGCACCAGCCATTGGGAACGATTTGGAACCATATCACCAATTGTCTCCAGCCATTGGTGTTCACCGTCCCGAAGACCCCACCCAGGAAGTCTACACCTTCCTACGTGGCTGGCTTAACTGTTGTGCGTTTCATTGACTGATGAAGCCATATTTTGTTTTGATCACCACTGGCTCTTTTCCAACCTGGCCCTATGTCAGATAACATTTGCCGTCGAGGAAGGCGATGGCTATTCATAGATGCATAGCATGTCCTAACCATCCCAGTCGATGTAGCTTCACAGCCTCGTCGATTGATTTTCGCTCCTTACCTAGCACTCGATTGATGGCTAACCCCAATATTGCTCGCCCTATTATACTACTTCATATGGGAGATAGAACGCAGACAACTATGATCAAAGACAGCTAGCCTTCTACGTCTTCCACTTTCAGTGACCAGGTCTCACAACCACAAAGGACAACAAAGCGAACTGCTGATCAGTACACACGCCCTTTGGTAGGATAACACGTCTACGTCCAACTATTAAATATGAAGACGGTTATTGATACTATTTGCCTACCCAAAACTTAATTCATGATAAGTGGAGTGTGATTCAAAAATAAAAACCAGTGACTCAGTTGGTTAGATGTCAACCACCTAGACTAGTAAACTACAACTCCACCGGAACTCAATAAATACAAACTTGCATACGAAGAACATTTGAATAGTTAACTGAGTTGATATCTCATTTGAGCAACACATTGTAATGACAGAGTTCAATACTATTAGACAAATACACGCAAGGCATTCCGTTGACTGAGAGTAGGTGTATATAGCTTTGAGTATAAAATATGTCTCTATATACCTTACAGTCAACACATCTGAAGTAAAATAAGTTTAAGTGATAAAACATCACACACACAGAAAAAGAACACATAAAATATAAACAAACAGTATTTTACACATACCAATTCGGCAAAACTATTTGATAATGTAGATCAATAAAATGAAGCAATAATCTGAATGTAATCGGTGTTAAATTCCCTTGGGTAGCAGTATCTTTCTGCAAAATAAAAGACAAAAAGGGTAATTGTATGGAGGGTTTCATCATGAGCTGACATCAGTTAGAGAACCACTGGAAAACCTGGGAGTACTGGACAGCTGTTTCGTCCTAGCTTGGGACTCTTCAGCAGTACGCGCCCACTGGGATTCGAACCCCGGACCTTCTGGTTACAAGGCAAGCTCGTAGACCATTGAGCCACTGGGACTCGATCCAATGGTCCTTGAATTCTAACTTCTGCCAATTCACGACATAGCGCGACCATTTCGCAATGTCGTCTTAGATGAGTTACTGCCTCATCTTCAACCTGCTGTACCCTACCGGTCACAGCTTCCCACTAGAACCCCAGGTTAACTGCCTGAATAGGGCCAGTCACTAGTGAGCATCAGATTAATTTTCAAGTATTGGTTTGGTAGGGATTTTGTTTAGTTGTATGGAGGGTTTCATCATGAGCTCATGATGAAACCCTCCATACAACTAAACAAAATCCCTACCAAACCAATACTTGAAAAAAAGGGTAAACTTACAAACTAAATCAAAAAAGTAAAGTAATTATAATAAGCCTAGATGACTTCAAGCGGTATCGCGAAATGACACCAACTGGAGAAAATCAAAAAGAACTAAAGAATCTGTAACGGACAAATTGCTTAGAAAATCCCTTCCTCGTGGCCGATCTCCTTATAATGTTTATAATTATTTAGACACTTCAACTAACCCTGTAATTACAATAGGTTTTTCCCCTAGACTGACTGTGTACAACTCAGTTGACATATGACCTTTATTATTTGCCTTTGTACTTCTTCAATCTTTAATTGTAATAATTCTCTTTGTGACTGTGTGTGTGCATTGACAATGTGTTGTTTAACGATATGAATTTGCTTGAGTGAATGAAGTTGATTCTGACCCAGGACTGACTGTGGCAAGGTTTTGATCCCATTTCACTGCTTGATTCTAAGGTACTTTTTACAAGCGAACTTCGGTGAACTAATTTCGTCTTACAGTACTTGTCTTGTATTTAGAAAGTTACATTAGCTGTATAGCTACCTCACGGCAGTGTTGAGGTGAATTTGATTTTTGATGTTATTATTGTCGTTGAACAGAACCAATAAAATATTGGAGAACAATTGTCTTTTCCATGCATTCGGAACGTTTTGTGATAGCTTGTGTCTCGAAGAAGTTTTGTAGGCTATAATAGAGTAGAATGTGGAGATTGATTTCTTGTCTTCAGAACATAACCGAATAAATTAGGTAGTTACAGTATGCACCAATGAACCCAGTAGTGATGAGCAGATTCAGGACCTTCGGGTTACAACAAGGCAATCTTGTTGACCACTATTCAGCAACCTGAACGGGCAAAATTTTTATTACATGTGTTCATTGTTGACTGACTAACTCACTCTTCAAATAACACCTTACTCTTTGTGGGACCTACTGACATAAGGAACAGGAATGTTACTCTTATATCTGTTAGTGAGAATTCATTGACTGCCTGTTCACTTGTTTTGTCACTTCAAAAAACCAACCTTCAGTTAAATGTGTTCTGGCTTCGTTCAAATTTATCAAAGGAAATATAACTTTATAAATATTTCATGTTCAAATTATCTGTGTCATATCTCTTTATACATAAATGACAATAAGTTTACACAATATGCATAATTTTCAGCGTAGTCTATAGCACAATATTTTCTCTTCATCGAGGAGTTTCAAGTAAAACAACCATCCCCAGTACATCAAACGACGAAGAGATGTTAGATCTGCAAACTAAAAGCAATCCTTTATGGTACTGTTCTCTGGTCCCCCAGAGTTGAGCAACAATAGGTTGCGAATCAATTAAAAATGTGTAAGAGTGCATTTAGTGAAACACGGATGTAATCGAATGATTATAACGACGAGAACTAAAGAAAATACGATGCATCATCTCGGATTGAAATTCAGGTAGCCCGTTGATTCAATCAAGTCGCCGAAATTTCTATAACTGTGGTATCTACTGGCTGAAAACAAAACCTGATTCGACCACTTGCATTTGATGCATATGCAATTCTGATTACATTCAGGGAGAGTTGAGTCTTCGAAGAAAACTTCCAATCGAAAATGGATATCTGCCGTTTTTAATAGACAAAACTGTACAACCAAAACCTGTGTTATGTTATAATATGATGTCTGTATCTAAGAAAATTCAAAGGCGACCTAGGTGTTAACATCCTTCGAGAAGGACATTCGTGACAGCGTTGCTCAGAGTAATGTTTCCCAATCAGTTATTATTGATGAATAACCTAAAAGGACAAGAATTTGCAGTATTAATGAAACGTTTGGTGATTTCCCGTTGATATATCTGGTCGAATTGAACGGCCCCGATGTTGGTGTAAGGATTCCTAGGACGGATGCTCCGATAATACCAGGATTACTCACTCTAAGTTTGGTAGTGGCTACCAATAGAGAATCCAAGGTGAGCGTTTAGGATTATTAGCAACTCGGCTAAATGTACTTGCCTCCTCAATGTGTTGTGATGTTGTTCCCATCAAGACTCTATTCCAGTACGTGTCACTTCAAAAACCCAAAATGTTATCTACTGGAAAACTGTTTTCTAACTGATTTCACTACCGATTATTCGTTGAATGATAACTTGTAACAGGTCGTTTAAGCTCAGTCTTACGCGGAACAAATCATTCATGTACTCGAATATAATCTACACTTATTGTGAACAAGTGTGTGTGTGTGTTTGTGTGCTGTTAATACTATCCAGTTGACCTAAGATGGGATTCCAACGACTAAAGCAAAAATGACTGAAATCCCCATGTTCATGACCGATTAGCCATTATCATGTCTAACAGATTATAATAATAATAAAATATATCTATTCCTATTTATAGTAAACAGGTATTATTTAACTATTTATTACCATGAACAGCTGAATATTATTATTGACGAAATGGTAAATAAACTCTGGCAACAATGGATGAAATTGCATACGATAATGCAAATGCTCAATATTTTGTGAAATAATAATATCTTTTACACGTTCAGTAAGCAGTTTCGATTGATGACTATCCGAGCCTTGAAATAGAAAAGAACACAAAAAAGAAGAAACGGGAAAAAACATTGAAAGATACCGATAATAAACTAAAGAAGAGTGCTTAAAAATGTCTGTAAAATGAACTATTATTGTATGTTATAAATTCAACCAATTAGAAAAATAAGAGCAGGAAAACAGCTCCCACAAGGGGTTGCAGATACAATTCGCTGATGAGCGTAAAAATAGGCAGAAAATCTAGGTGTTAGACTTCCTGCTGGCTGCCATAAACCATGCAATACTAAATATGTACATAGGTAGTTATCACTGGCATACGGCGCACATGGTCCAGCTCCAATTGTCGGCTACGCACTACTCCCCAACTTGGCCTAGTTTAATTACCGGTAGTAACCCGGATGGTTGAGTGTGAGACTGCCAACCACCCCTCCCCATTCGACCGCTACCACTGTTGAAACTCCAAGAGCTTGAAATCTTGTGTTCCACTGTGAACGCAAGGAACGAAAAGAAGAAATAAAATACCTTTATCCTGAATAGTGAGATGATGAATCTCTTCAAGCAGGTAAAGAAACCTAATCAAAACTTCAGAGAAGATGGTGTGCTGCAGTATAATAATGCAGATTAGGATACAAATTAAGTTACCAGTGTTTTCGCTAATTTCTACATGTAATCCGGTTAATTTAAGTATACAGTTCTGAAAGGCTTTGGGGAGGACTTCCAGAAGAAAAATGACGATACTGACAGTTACAGTGATCGTTCACCAGCGAATAGCCAATCATTGTATCCATTATAGTCCTACAGGAAGTCAACCGTGAGTTCGTATACCTCGGTGGTAACAGCCCTGACTACAGTACGAGTTGATTGATGTTCAAATAATGGAGGGGATAACCAACAGCTCCTTCTTCGAGGTTGTAGATACACCTTGCTGACAACAAGCATGATACCTAGGTGCAGATCATTCTGCTGATTACTTCTAATTATCTAACATCAATACTGACAGTTAATTGTCCCTAATAAATGGACTTTCTATGCAACATGCAGTAACAGGTGTAAAATACCTACTTATATTTTTATAGCCTGATTCATAATCAACTGAACATCACATAATTAATAGTTAAATGCCAAAAACAAAAAAAACACCATAAAACCATCTTGAGAATAGTAAATATTACTATATAGGAACACGGATTCCGTATCACAGTTATACTAGTAAAAAAAATAATTGAGAGCGTTCTCAAAAAAGGCTAACTGCATACTTTCATCAACCAACACATACTCCACTTCTTGAACACTACCTAGCATGGTTGCGAAAAGGCAATAGTGGTGCAATAAGGAGTGCGATAATTGAATACCTGGTTAACACTGACCATTCCATTTCAACAAACGCCTCCTTCAAAGTAATCTACAGAGTCAAGAACAACCTATCAAAGGCAATACGGTTTCGCCTTGTTTGTATCACTGAAGCTCTGGCCATTCACATAGAAAAACCGGAGGTGTGCATACAAAAGAGGATTACTCAACCACTTATACTGTCTGGGTAACAACTTTTTTGATTTGATTTTGATGACTTAATTTTGTTTCTTTGCCTGTTCATTAATTGCTTATAATTCTTGTATTCATTTAGAACTCTTACGAAATTTCGTATTCTCTACTTTGTTCATATGTGCATCCTGAGTAAAACTCACTCATCAAACTATTCATATCATTACATAACTTTTTAACAACTGTTTGTGACAACTCATCACCTTCGTTACTACATCTAATTTTCTTGACTGATTTTGTATTACGTAACTCCATTTACCAATCTTCACCTGTTTAGTTAAAATAACTATAACCAGTTGTATTTTTGTTTGACAAACGTAATATACGCATACATACAAAACAACCCATATATATTTGCGATTGTACATTGCCGAAAAGAGACTCTTCGCTGATCTACGTGTTTTGTTTTCACTAATGCCTGGATGGGGATTATACATGAAGAGAAAAAGAGAATGTAAAACCTTGTGAGTAGATTATGCAGCTAGTTGAAATTTCATAACAGACAGCCGAATACAGCCCTGTTTTCCATTCGGAATGAGCAATAACTGTTATTAGCATTTGAACACATAAAAAAGGTGAAGTAAAAATTAATGTTTTTTGTAATGTAAAAGAAATCAATGCAAGGCATTAATATTTATTATTATTCAGTTGAGTTCCGAGTGAAACATAGGGCTTCAACAACACATCTTCACTTCCTCCTGTTCCCTACCGTCCTCTACAGCTTGGTCCGCGATTGCTCATAATTCCTCATCTCATCCCCCCAAACAATCTTCTCCATGTCACCCTCCCATCGCTTCCCAATGGGATTCCACTCGAGCAACAGCTTACATTGCGCGCAATGTCATTCAACGGCCTTCTCAACGTATGCCTGATCCATCTCCACTTTCTACTTCACATTTGTTGAGCGATTGGCTCTCAGTTGATTTGTTCTCAGCCAATTTCTTGTTGCTAATTCTTTCTGACCAGTCGGCTGGCCATTCGATCTTCAGTATGGAGCCAGCGAAGGCAGCTGCTGATGACAGTTTGCAACAGGCTGTTGGAATCCTTTCCATGACACGCAGTGCAAGTTTCTCATCCGTATAGAAGGATCGACTTAACATTGCTGTTGGAAATGCGAAGCTTGCTCCTTATGCTAAGGTGGAGTGCAGGGGATTTCCAAATTGGTTTCAGGTTGATGAAGGCGTATCTTGCCTTTCCGATTCTGACTGGCCAGTTTTGACACATTCGTCCGTCCCTAATTCCTCTAGTTGATACGATACTTCCTAGTCGGATAAGTGAAGGAGGTGACCTCTGTTAAATCTCTCCCATTGATGGTGGTTGGTGCTGTTGTTGAGGTTCGTTGATTATCTTCATCAACTCCGTCTTCTCCATGCTCACCTGGAGTCCTGTCTTCGCTGCCTGTCTGTTCTGCCAGTTTGTTGGTTTTCTCCCGTAGGCCTTCGAGTTTGTGTGACATTAGACACAAATCATCCACGTGCGAAATTCAGATATTCTAGTCTTCTTTTTCTGATTATAGCTTGATTCCACAGCGTATTTTTCAGCATGTGATATCGGTAGTCCAAATTTTGCCGGCCGACCAATTTATATCAGGTGCGTCGGAAAGGGATCGAACCCCGGATCACTTGCATTGTCGGCGAGAGTCCCGATCGGTGTGGAACTGATGTTCCACTCCCAATGCACGGTCAGACGCATAGTCCAGTTTACCACAACTAGATATATCTTCGTAGGTAATAATAGGCAGTCCTGTCTTACTCATTTTAAGGAACATTACTAAATTATAAAAAAGCGCATTTACCAATTCTAGGTATTGGTAATTTTTTGATTTGCTCATTAAAATCTTCTCTTTCATAGAATAATAAGTACGCACTCCACCAACGTTTGTCACAACGTAAACGTGAAAATTTAGGCACATCATTTAATGTCTGTTTCAATTCACCACCAAACCACTGACTGACGGCCTCTTCATGTTTATCTAAAGGAACTGGGAAAACCTGAAATTGAAGAAAGAGAGAGAGAAAAAAGAAGAAGCTAAACACATACAAATAGTACCTCTGTAAACAACTTGCTTGTAAACTATTAGTGGGAAAAGGAGTAATTTAGTTTGAATTAAATTCTCTTTGATGATGACATTTCAAAAAATGAATAATTATAGGGAGATATAATGACAGCTTTTTGAGTCGGAAAGTCGATGGTAGAACGCTTGCCAACCATGCACTTGAACCAGGTTCGAAACCGCAGTAACGCCTAGTAGTAAGTTTAGAGGAGAAAAAAATTTTGACGTGAGGTTAGCAAGTCGAGGATGAAACTTTAAAGCTTTAAGTCGTATGTTCGACCGAGAATGCAAAAGTTATTGAAACAGATTCTCAAAGCACTTGAAACGGAAGGAGCATGAGTGTTGCGCTGCTGTAGAACTGAGGCTGGTCATATACTCCCCGTTTGAAGTATTTTTATTTCTTTGGGGCGTGGGGGTGGGAAGTTGTGTCTATGTGAACATCTAACCAGCTGCTACGGAATCGCTGCGAATGAAGTTGAGATCAACAATTTCCGGAGTCAACCTTTTCTCAACCTTCGGACTTCAGAGTTTGGAGGCATAACTGCTGGCTTGAAGATCATTTCAAGAAATACCTTGCTTCTGCTAAATCCCTGTTCGCCAGCAGTACGATTTTGAAGACTCATACTATGATGCTGACTTGTTTTCGGTCTAACCGCATGACAGGACCTGAAAGAACATTCGTTCCAGCCAGTTTAGCCCACTGGTTCGTTGTGATACTTAGGCTCAACCATCGAGTCAGGGTAGCAAGTATCGGTCAAGGTATCATAGAGATATGTACCTCTGTTAACATGGTTTAGAATTAGTCTCACAGAAAGTCAATCGGGATAATAATAGTCACAATAAGATGTGACATCTCAATTTTTTGATTGGATATATCAGCACACAGTTGCGTTCTCTCATTTGGGTGATTTTAATTAAGCAACTTTTGTTGTAGGCAACGATATATATATATCCCTATGGTCAGTTAATAACGAAATAATCTAAATTAAGATGAATTCAAAAATCGCTATAAAAATTAACCCACAAAACTTACATTATGATCTTCATATCTATACCATTTATACGTTCGTGTTTTAGGCACATAGTGTCGTATATAGGAGTAATAATGTCCCGATGATGCTTGACCACTGTGAACAACAACACCACGTAGATTGTATTTTGTACACGGATTCTCATTGTTATCACCATCTTCTTCACTGGCATTTCGTTTTTCTTGAGGTTGTATTACTTCAGTGTTATGGTTCGCATTATTACAGGTATCAGTTGTTGAAAGACCACTAGCAGCACCTGAGACAACTTCACTACTGCTAATATTTGTCTCATCATCATTAGATGCGTTCATTGAATCTTTTAAACCTTGAACAGTATACGGTAGCATATCCAACTGACGTGGAAATTCACAATAATTATTGAACTTTAGTGAAACACCTCTGTAAATTGATGGAGGTAATGAAAAATATATGTCATATAAAACAAAGTATGAATTATTTATCTTATCTAGTAAAGGTATTCAAATGAGAGAAAAATAAATTAAAGTGCTACTTGAAATAGAGAAGACTTACAGCCCAGGTGGAAGATTTCGACTTAGCTGAGAAGTTTTGGTGTTGTTTTAGACATTTTCAGTGCAGACTTATCTACATATATATCAGCTACTTAATAACAGCTTGCTGCATTTCCATGAAGTCAAGAAGTTAGAGACTAGTGAGTAATCTCAGATAACGACAGCATGCATGTCTTGAAGTTAAAAAGTGTCAGATTTTGCGAATATTAACAAGGCAGTTAAAAAGAATAAAATATTGTTCACAAATGAAGGGAAAGATTTTTGACTACAAAACTGTATTAAACTAAACCCTAACCACCAATTCGGAACATTTTATTCAGAAAATACTCTAATCCTAGTTTTAATTTTACCTGAACACAAATCTAACCATATGCCAATCCTAACCGACCCCTAACTTATAACCACTCACCACTACTCGACATTGAAGATCAGATGACCAGTCAGACAGCATAAATTAGCGACAAGGGATTCTAGGGGCCAGCAATGTTTTTTTTTCCAACAAATATACAGAAGGAACCAGAGAAGGATGGATTGAACATTCAATGAACTGAGAAGACCTTGACGTGATATTACAACAATCACAAAGACAATCGAGTGGAACCCGAACAGGAAGCGATGTGTTGGACGTCCAAGGTTGACAAGGAGGAGATCATCGCGTGAAGTGGAAAAGAAAGCTTGTGAGCAGTCGTGGAGCTAAGTGAAAGTGATAGCAGACAGCAGAATACAACGGGGATGTGCCACTGAGGGTCTAAGTTCCACTCGGAATATAAAGAACGAATAATAATTATTATAACATTGCTACACCAACATATATATATGCATATATATATATATATATATATATATATATATGACAGATAGGCACTGAAGATAAAAAAGTTTCCACTTACTGTTCCCAATCATAATCAAACCGTTTCAACTGGATCGCCAAAACTAAGGGGAGCTTTTGAATGCACATACGTTTTAATATTGGTATCTTTTTGTCGCATACACAACAATGATACGCATTGTCCCCTTCTAGTAGCTCACCTTTCACATATTGTTCAAGTGAGTCAACTAGGTTTCTATGATCCAATATGTCAACATTGAGCGTTGTAAACGACTCATAACTTGTGTATCTAAGAGTTAGCGGGTATAGAAAATAACATAGAATAATTAGAGAGAAAATAATAACAACATACACGAATCCGTTATTTATAAAGTTACAGTACAGTGGGGATTTGTGCAACAACGAGTCTAAACACAAAACAGAGGAAATTTCATATCACTGAAAATACCCATTGAGTCATGAAGAAAAGAAAAGGCAAATTCAGCGAGGAAAATTTTCTTTATCAACGAAATCATCTTCAGAAGCTGTACAGTCGTATTTATACTTACAAAAATATATAGTGGTCTATTATTGAGTAATAGGGGGTGACATAATTGATATAATTACTCAGAAGTGGCTTTAGAAGTGAAAATTAAAAGTTGAAAATTACGTGGTACTCAACGGAACAAAGATAGAAATTTGATAAGGTTAAAATTGCTATAAAGTGAGAATAAAGGTGGTATTTGAGTGTCAATTTAACAAGTGTGAAGAGGGTGTGAAAATATACAAAAGGAGCATATGATAGTGATAATAGTGAATTAATTATTAAAGCAAAAGCAAACTAAAAGTAAAATAAAAAATCAAATTTTTTTTATTTACAAGGAACGATTAGTGAAGAGGTTAAGACCAAGGTAGAATAAGAGACTGGACAAACATTTTCTGTACACAGAGTTCAGGGTTGTATTGATGAATTGCCAACGCCTCCGCCATACACGAAAGCCGAAACCTGACGCCCTTTGTACCATTTGGCTTCACTTTGCAGAAAAATTTCATTTCTTATTTTTTATCGGTGAATGATTGTGATGCAAACGAAGGAAAAGATAGCTAGTCTTCCTAGACCTGTGTGCATTTGTCAATTCCACTGCTCATATGGAGACAATTATATTAGGCGTACTAATAAACGGCTTAGCCAGTTGTGTCACAAAAGGATGATCGTGGTAACGGATAGATAAAAATCATCACGAGCTCTGTTTTATCATATTTAGTTGATAAAGGTCACTCACTAAATAAAAGGAAAGCCATTTATGGTTGTTTATCGCATCCTGCCTAATCCTTTATATGGTCTTCGTATCCGCCAATTTTTGTTGTTGGTGAAGGTGTATGGTTTGTTTGAAGTGCGCTTCGTGACGCGCCAAGTCTCTGATCGGTAAAGTAGGACAGACTTCATATTGGAGTTGAAAATCCGAGTCTTATTTTTCATGCTGAGTGCTATGGATCGCCATACAGACCTGAGAGTAATTAAAGCTTGCCTTGCTTTTCGATCCTCGCTTCGATATCCTCATCAGTTTTGCATGTAGTTAAAACGATGCTTCCCAGGTAGGTGGGTAGGTAAAGGAGGTTGTTTCTTTCAGATTTCTCCCATCTCTGCCGATTGTTGTCTGTTGTTGGTCAGGAATCTTCATCACCCCTGTTTTCTTTATGTTCGCCTGATGTCCCTCCTATCTTTGATCCTTCTCCTGCCAACTTGTTGCTTTTCATTTGCATATCTTCCAGTTTGTTGAAAATCAGACATATATCATCGGCGAAGTCCAGATCCTCCAAGTTCTTATGAGGATCCATTTTATGCCTGTTTCCTGGCTGCCCGGTGCCTGGGCGTGTTTGATTCTCTCCAGGATGATGCGGCTTATTATTTTGCTTGGGATAGACACGAGCACAGAACCGCTCCTATTCTTGCATTGAGGTCAAATCTTAAAAGTTAGGCAATGCTTAAGATGAGTGAAGTGGACAGATAATCAGAGTTTAAATTGTGATCATTATTATAAAACGCAAAGGAAATGGAACATAAGAAGAGGTGAGAGGGTTCTAGTTAGACTTTACCTCCTAAGCCAAGGAAGAGACAAAGGTACTACAAACTTTTTATAAGCAAAAGCACTAGGATTGTTCTCTCGAATTAATTCCCATAGCCTCGGCTATGCTTAAAAGGGGGGTTCGAACTCGAATTTCATAGTCAGAGAAGACAAATACATAGTGTCTTGTAATTTATACATGTCACAGATTATTAGATTTTCTACAGAGATATATATGTTATAGCTAGGTGTTCTGATTTGCTTTTTGTTGTTGGCTTTACTAAAAAACTTGAACAGTGTTGGTGTGGCATAGGAGGGGAGGGGGGCAATCAAGTAGAAGAAATAAACAGCGATGCGGAAATTTAATTCATTATTTGCAAATTACGCACCTCTCAAGCTGATAAAGTTGATCAATTGGTTACAGGATTTCATCATGAGCTGAGATTGGTTAGAGAACCATTGGAAAACCTGGGAGCACTGGACAACTATTTCGTCCTAGTTTGGGACTCTTCATCAGTACGCAACCACTGGGGGTCGAACCCAGAACCTTCTGGTTACAAGGCGAGCTCGCATATCATTAAGCCACTGGGACCTGATCCAATGGCTCATGAATTTTAACATCTGCCAATTCACGATCAAGATTTCCTATTGGAAACTAGAAATAATCAGATCATTCATATTAAGAAGCAGTGCTTACCAGTCAGATTCTCACCGGAAGGTTGACCCCACAGTTTCAATAAGCACTCTAAGCGCCTAATCAGTCGATTGACGACTAGCTAACTAGTAGATCAAATGCATAGGGAGTTGAATTCCCATTTTAAAAATCCCCCAGTTGATGATGAGGATTTATTACAACTTCATTTAATAACCAAAGATCTTCAGAGCATATATATATATATATATATATATATATATATATATATATATATATTGCTGATTAAACATACCGATTTAGATAATAATTAATAGTACTGTTTCACGTGACTTGTCACAAACTGCTTATATCAATGATCAATATCAATAGTGGTGTATATCTAACTAACTACCTACACCTTAGTGTTGCAATTTGGAAAGGATAGATGAATGAAATTGAAAGGAGAATATCAACATATATAAGTACACATCACATCAGATGTACACTTACCGATGTGGACAATCTAGGCATATTTTCTGATCAGCGAATTTACCACCCAATATAACTTCAACAATCTTGGGTAACTGACACAATTCCAAGGCTTCGTCTAAATTATTACCAAGGATATGAAAAAATTCCACCGCATCATGTTGTTCTCCAACCTGCACAGTTTCTGAACGAAATCTAACAAAATGTTATGAAAGAAAAAAAATCACCTCATTTAGACAATTAGAAAGCAAAAGCATGACGAATTGGTAATACGCATTGTGTAAAAAATAGTTCTAATGATAGTAAATTACAAGTCTTATTTTACTACACGACCGATGGTGATTCCTCAATTGAAAGATGAAGTACCGAGACTAACCACTTCTAATTGTATCTACCAATTCAACTGAGCTTGTTCCGGAGCGAGTTATATTGGCCGTTCCCCTAAGAACTTGATTCTTCATGCTTGAGAACATACCCCAGTATGGCTAAATAAAGGTGTAATAAAAACTATCAACAGTTAGATATAAGACCACCTGGTCCAAACCGGCCACAAAGTCATAATTGAAGAATCCATCTCTATAATCTACCGGGTAACAATTCTATTAACAAAAGCATCCAGGTACCTCATACTTCAAGCAGTAGAGGATATTGCAATTCACCTGACACAAGAGGTGAGTAATATTGAAGTTAGGCGTCAAGTGGTAGGTAAGGAGGGGAAATGAATCTACGAGGGTGTGAAGCTACATCAACATGGATGGTTATGACATGTTATGCATTCATTAATGGCCATCGCCTTTTTGATTGGACACTGGTAACTAGTGTTACGTATCTAGTCCTTTTTTTGGTGCAGACTGAATTCTGTCAGTCAGGTTTGCAGTGTGTCCACCATTCTAGGTAGCTCGCCATCACGGTGCACATTGATTTGATGATATTGGATAGTTGGAGGTAATCGGCCACAGGAAGCCTTGGACCCAGCTTTCATGCTAGTTGGCACTCATCAGGCAGCAAGACAACCTTGAAGGAACTCATGTTCCTTCTGAGATTCGAACCCGCGTCACCCAGTGCTCCAGTCAGAGACGCTACCACTGAGCTATTCGGGCTGGCGATTGACCTCCTGTAGGACTGTAATGGATACCTTGATTGGAAACAAGTAGCTAGTGCGACGTGTCTAGTCCTTTCTTTGATGCAGACTGAATCCTCTCATTCAGGTTTGCTGACGAGCGAGAATGAAGCGACGGACATCCTCGACAGGCTTAATTATTTGTATTCAGGAATAAACTTTTTTTGAAGAGAAAGAAAGCAATGATAGTGTAACGACAGAAGGCAAGAGTCAGGCAACAGATCATTTATTAAGGAAATCAACGCATATTTATATATGTTTTCATGTACATTACTATGGATACGTAAACAAACAAACACAGTCTTCCGATTGGTTGTTTCTCACGACAAATCTTGGGAAAGTAAATATTGACGTAAATTACTGTCTACCAATTTGGCTAGAAGCAGCTCTCACCACAATAGTATCTCATTCATAGACGTGTTCCTGGACAGGAAAGAAGATAGTACACTAAGAAGGAGTGTGTACAAAAAACACACAATGATAGGTCAGTATTATTATTATTATTGTTCCCTTGGGTTCCTAGTGGAACATAAAGCTTCAACTGCACGTCTCCACTTGTTTCTGTCTTCTGCTGTATTTTTCACCTGCATCCATGTTATTCCATACTGTTTCAGCTCATCTTCACACAATCTCCTGCATGTCACCCTTGGACGTCCCACTCGCCGCTTCCCTTTCGGGTTCCACTCGAGCACTGGCCTGACGCGCGATGTCACCCAGTGGCCTCCTCAGCGAGTGTCCAATCCATCTCCACTTTTTCTTGCATATTTGTTGAGCGATTGTTTCTTGTTTTGTTTGTTCCCATAGTTTCTTGTTGGTGATTCTTTCCGGCCATCTAATCTTCAGTATAGAACGAAAACAGCTGTTGATAAAGGTCTGAAACCTGTTGAAAATATTCTTTATGACCCGCCAAGTTTCTGATCCGTATAGAAGAACTGACTGACTCGACGTTTGTATTGAAAAACCGAATTTTGTTGTTGACACTGAGTGACGAAGATTTCCAGATTGGTTTCAGGTTGATGAATGTGTTTCTCGCCTTCCCGATTCTCGATTTGACATCCTCGTCCGTTCCTCCTGTGGTTGAGACAATGCTCCCTACATAAGTGAAAGAAGTAACCTCTTTCAAATCCCTCCCGTTGATGGTGATTGGCACTGGATGTTGCTGCTGTTGTTGTTGTTGGTTGGTTATTTTCATAACCTCCGTCTTGTCTATGTTCACCTGCAGTCCTGTCTTTGCTGCTTCTTCGAACAGTTTGTCGGTTTTCGCTTGTAAGTCTTCAATTTTGTGTGACATCAAACATAAATCATCCACGCGCGAAATCCAGGTCTTCTAGATTCTTCACGTCGGTCCAGGATATCCCTGTCTTCTTGTTTCCCACTGTCTGACGCATAATCTAGTCCACCACAATTAGGAATATCATTGGTGATAATAAGCACCCTTGTCTGACTCCTGTGTTTACTCCAAACGCCTCGCTGAGTTTTCCGTTGTGGATCACTTGACATGTGCCGTTGTCGTACAGTTGTTGAATGAGGTTGATGAATATTTGGGGTACGCCGTAGTACTTGAGTAGTTTCCAAATTACTTCGCGGTCAACGCTGTCGAAGGCCTTCTCAAAGTCTATGAAGTTGAGGTAGAGATTTGATTGCCATTCCATGCTTTGTTCGATGATAATGCGTAGAGTTGCAATTTGGTCAGAACATGATTTGCCTTTCCTGAATCCAGCTTGTTCTGGTCGGAGTTCTGTATCCAGTGCGTCCTTTATTCTCTCCAAGATGATGCGACTCAGGATTTTACTTGGTGTCGACAGGAGCATGATTCCTCGCCAGTTCTTGCAGAGTCCTAAGTCGCCCTTCTTTGGTAGTTTCACAAGGTAACCTTTTCTCCAGTCAGTAGGCACCTTTCCCTCCTTCCAGATCTTTTGCAATAATGGAGTCAGCATATCTGCCGTCGTTTCTGGGTCCGCTTTCAGTGCTTCCGGGGGTATTCCATCTGGTCCAGCTGCTTCTCCAGCTTTCAGAAGCTTGATTGCATACAAGACTTCAGCTTTCGTTGGAGGATTGGTGTCAACTTGCAGTTGTGTACGTGCTGTTGTTGGTATTTCTGGACGGGTTGCAGGTGGTGGTCGGTTCAAGAGTCCTTTGAAGTGGTCCGCCCATTGTTTAATCTGTCTTTCTTCTTTGGTAATTGGGTTCCCTTGGCTGTCTTTTATAGGTTTCACTTATGTTGATCTCTTCCCGGATAGAGACTTGGTCATCTGATATAGTGTCCTCAGGTCCCTTTTGCCTGCTGCCTTCTCAGCTTCAGTAGCCAGGTTGTCGTACAATTGTCTTTTGTCCTTCCTGGCACTCTTCTTCACTTCTTTGTCCAGAGCTGTGTAAGTTGAGTTCAGCGTCTCTTTCTCTTGTCCATCTTTGCATTGAATCATTTTCTCTTTCACCATTCTCCTCTCCTCTATTAGTTTCCAAGTGTCTGTTGAGAGCCATTCCTTGTCTTGTTTCTTCTTTCTTCCTAAAACCGTTGAGCACGTTTCGTTGAAAATCACCTTCAGAGAGTTCCAATGGTCTTCCACGGGTGATTCCTCGGAAGTGCCACGTAGTGTTTCCTGCTTTGCTCTGACAGTTGCAGTGAAAGTGTCCTTTGTCGTTGTGTCCTTTAACTTTTGAGTATTGAACTTGCATTATGGCCTATCTCCAGCTGTCTCCAAAGCTCTTAGCTTCACCTTGAGTGTCCCTTGTACCAGATAGTGCTCTGAACCCACATCTGCTCCTCTCCTCGATCTTGTGTCCAGTAGGCTCCGTCTCCACTTCTTTGAGATTGAAATGAAGTCTATCTGGTTTTTGGTGTGTCGATCAGGTGAAATCCATGTTGCCTTGTGTATATCGCTGTGTTTGAACACACTGCCACCAATCACCAGATCATTGAAGGCGCAGAAGTCTGAGAAGAGTTCACCATTTTCGTTCATTTCACCGAGGGCCTCACGACCCATGGTGAGTTCTCTTCCTGTATTGTCTCCTCCCAGTTTCGCATTCATGTCGCCCATCAGGATTTTGATATCGCTCTTTGGCACGTTGTCCATTACTGTTTGTAGTTGACTGTAGAAATCCTCCTTCTTCTCATGTTCTGAGGCGTTTGTAGGCGCGTAGCACTGAATGATTGTAACCTTCTTTCCTTTTGAGTTGAACCTGGCTGTCATAATCCTGGAGGAGATTGGTTCCCACTGCATGAGAGCTTTAGCCGCTGTTGGTGACATCATGATGGCTACTCCCTCGGTGTGCTCGTGATTGTCCTCTGGGTGACCGGAGTAGATTATTGTCTCTCCAGTTGATAGTTGGCTCCTTCCACATCCGTTTCATCTGCTCTCGCAGATTTCCAACACTTCTATTTTATATCTCCTCATTTCTGCGGCTACCTAAGCAGCCTTCCCAGCTTCGTACATTGTACGAACATTCCACGTCCCCATCCTTATTTTTGCTAGGTCAGTACACACATTTATTGAGTTTTTCACCTTTGAAATATAAACAGAACTTGTTAAAGTGTTTGGATCATGGAGCTAAGATAATCTGCACAAAAGACTCTCAATGAGGATTTAAAGATCATTAGGCAATTACTTAGTTACTTACTTAAAATTACGCCAGAATTCCACCGGAGCATAATATTTCACACGACTGTAGGCTAAATGTCCAAATATAGTTTGCATATGATATAATACATTCAGATGATGTATTTTCTCACGACTTAAAGGTTTTAATTTAGCCTGTCGTTTGCACAAATCATCTGTGTGTATTGTAGTTTCATTGTTCAGCTACAAAATAATACACGAAATAACAATATTGGTAATAGTAATAACAAAACCATAAAAACAGACTTGGAAATCGCTTACCCAGGTCTATGGTCTGTAAGGCGCGCTTATTGTGTTGATACTTACTACCTGTCAGTGCAGACCTCAGTAGGTGAAGCGGACTTCAAAACAGTGATCATTCAGTTGGCTTGAACTCGATCCACTAGACCAAATTACTCACCACAATCTCATGTATGATCGAATACAGAAACCCAATATGTATTTATTCAGTAAGTAAATTATGTGAAGCAAAGTGTATTAGGCAATCTCTTGTCAATTATATCACTTACTGTTTATTATTGGTAATTGCAATAATAACTACTATCTTATTAATATTCCAAATGCTTGTAAAGATGTGGCTCATAGAACTAAGCACTCGATTTACGCCCTCCTAAACGTTGCAAAGTTTGAATCCCGCTCTGCCCAATATTCAGTCTGAAAAAGTGAGTAGCACCATCAGCCCTTACAAAATAGTAAGTTTGGCTTAATAGCCCGATTATATGAAATATCTGTGTCCAGTGAATGATTTCAAACAACACCACTAAAACTGATAAGTGATGTAATTCCATATTAGTTTGTTTATTAGATATATCATACAGTGACTGAAACAGTATTATTTACTGGATGACGTTTCGAACAAAATTTATTGTTCATAATCATATCAATTATAATCACACGACATCAAATCCTGAGATTTAAAGTTTTCTTTGTTCTCTCCTATTTGTCGTCGTTGGGGTAGTAACATTTCCCTGATGTCAGGATGAACAGGTGTTGAATCATTCCTATTACACGTGATCTGTCTCAGTTGATTCAATAAATAAAGCTTCCCTTATAAACCTCTCCCTCCATCCTGCTGTTACATTAGATTTTAAAACTTTCATCTTATCCCATCCAGCCTATTGCATGGCTATGTGTAACTGCATGTAGTGAGTGCTATAGCTGAACTATTCTCTAGATTATTCGGATCAACTAATCTAGATTTTGCTACGTATTTGACCTGACAATCATTCCAGCAGGGTATTAGATAAACTAAATTGTTTTGTTTTAAAGGCTCCACAGGATCCTTCAACAGACAAAGCTTGTTTCTAATTGAGTTTGTGGGTTCGAGTACCAGCCACTTTCATTCCTGCCTGCCTTGTTAAGAATTCTGCGTAAGGTTTCCGAGGCTCCTTCCTTGTGTGGAATTACTACTGATGATTTAGATTCCTTATTGTTGGTGTTGTCTTGCGCATATTTGACATGCATGTCGTCATTAATATTATCATTATTATTATCACTATCACTACTATCATTATTTATTTTATCTTTACATTTCCCTACATATTTCCTGATTAATTTATCGGGGTGATCATTAAGTTTCAAGGCTTCTCTTATGCATATCACTTCCTGTCTTAGATTTTCCTTTGTACTACTTAGTTTTTGTGCTCTATTACTTAAGCATTTTGCCAACCCTATTTTCACTGACATAGGATGGGATGATCGGAAGTCCAAATATCTGTTTGAATGTGTGGGTTTCCTGTAAACACTAGTGTTTAGCTTCCCATCTTCTTTCCTTTTTACGCTGCAATTTAACACTGAAAGCTCCCATTCCTGACTTTTTAATTCATAAGTGAACTGAATTGCCTCCACCTTTGAGTTAATGTGTTCGAAAAATCTATATCCTGTGTTCTAAGTACAGTGAACGTGTCACCTACATACCTCCACCATACTTTTGGGGTGCGGGTGAACGCTATGTTTTTTCACCTATTCTCCACCACCTGTTTTGATTGTAGATTAAAGAGGAAAGAGTTGATACACAATTGAAGATGCATCCTATTGATGACTTTGAAAAAGCACAAAACCAAAGCTCGGAACCTCTTGCCAACTACCTCCAACTATTAAAATAAAACCCTTGACCGAGGAAGAATTCAAACCAGCACATCTTAGCACCTTCTACCATCGGAACTGCAAGTTACAGACAGCTACTGTCCCCTCTCTCAGAGAGAACTACCAACAATTAAAACAAATTCGAAGATGACTTGGTTAATCATTACACTAGCAGTGGGACCTAGGACACACGTTTCGTCTTATTTGCGACTCGTCAGAGATGTACCTGTATTTCCAGTGAGACTTGAAACCAACACATATCGTTCGTTTCAAACGCCGCTGACAGCTAGGTGACATCATATTAATCACTGTAAGTACACAGACCAATAAACCACACACACACCAGAGAGAGATTGACCAAGGATTTTGCAGTCCAACAGGAAATACAAACATTACTTAAACATATGAAGAGTAGGTCACCAAGTGTATGCATACTATTCTAAGTAGACATGCTCACTTCATTTTATTCAATGACTGTTTTCTTTTAAAAATAAAGAGAGAATGTGTGTAATTTATCTGTAAAACATTTATCCGACCTTATAACTTTCGGGACTTACACTACTCCGTTGGACAGAATCACCACCATCACTATTAGTACTCTTACTACTGATAATTGTAGACAACAATGTATCATCCATCGGTTTATTACATTCACGCAATAAACATTCTGGATTCGCACTCAATACACAATCGCGAATTGGTTCCAATGTGAATAATTGTTGTATAATTGAGTTCATATAACACGTGGCACCACCATTTTTTAAGCCAACAAATCTCAGTGTATCAGTATTACAGTTAGCGTTGTTTATAATCCAGGTGTAAAAATCATTTTCATCTTTGAATACTGATAACAACGTTGATGGTGATGATGACGACGACAATGCTGATACTGAATTCGGGGTATTTGGTGCTAGATTACAGTCCAAATTGGAGTTTACAGGTTTTCCAGTAACTAGAAGTATAATTCAAGGAAAGAGAGAGAGAAAGGGAGACAGCAATAACGAGAAAAGAACGCGTTTTAAGAAACTCGAATTATATCAAAACTAGGTATATATATATAGAGAGAGAAACTGACAGGGGCATAAACATGCTAAGGAGACATAACGGTCGGTAAAATTCAACCCTTGTGTGTATTTAAATAATTTATTTTCACACTTGAACCCCTCACCATTATCCTCCTCACTCTTGAGTCCCTTTATTACTTTTTTCGAACTTAAATTTTGTCTTCATTTTTATATAAATGACAAGATTGAGGAGTAGATGTGCGTCGGTGGCACAGTGGTTAGGACTCTCGCTGACCATGCACATGGTCCGGGGTTCGATCCCCTGCCGGCGCACACCCGATATCTATGGTCGGCCTGAATTTGGGCTACCGATATCCATGCTGAAAATTCCATACTTGTACTGAAAATACAGTGTGGAATCAAGCTGTAAATCAAAATAATAAAAAAAAAAAATAAAATAAAATATGTGTGTGTGCCTGTGACAGAACAAAGTTCAAATTAGAGACATTCATGTGTCAAGAAACCAGCTCGTTGACTATTCATTCATTTAACTACAGGGACAGATTCCAGTGGCTCATAAATTCGTATTTTTGTCAGTTTGCGGTGTAGACCGTCAGAGCAAGACAATTTCATCTGTGGTTATTTGTCATGACACCTGGTTTCGTGCAACCCCACGGGTCACAGCTTCTTACTAGATCCTCAAGCAGAATTTAAAATTCATGGGTCAATGATTTCCCTCCCATTGGTTGAATGGTCGACGGGTTTCCCTCATGAATAGGTGTTGGGGAGTTTCCGACTAGGAAAAAAGCAGCTGTCCAACACTCTCTAATATCCAGTGAATCTCTGAATGATTTCGTCAGTTAGGGATCTCACTTGGAAATAAGACAATTTAGGTCTAACTAGTTAAATACTATAATTTTGTGCGTTTTCTAGCATTCGACCTTCAGACAGTGGTCAGAGCGGGTTCGAATGCCGTTTCACCTACAACCTCAAAGAGGTAGTGCGTCAGCAGCAACAATCCTGAAACATGACCGATTCTTTTCAAGGATGACAGTCCCAACAAATAAATAAACACCACAATTAATATAGTCTATGCATATCTGCATATATATATATATATATATATATATATATATATACAACGCTTACCACAAAACATTATATCATATAGCCTGGAAGCCAGCAGTTGACTAATAGATGGATCACAATAGGCCATAGATAGAAGAAACGAAAATGAGTAATTTAACAGTTTTCGTGAACACAATATGCTAGGCAATGATTTAGGATGAAATGATGCTGCTTCTGTAGTACCATCAACGTGGTCATGAGTATTATTTATCCCTTGATCTTTATTACTCAATTCCGACCATTGTTCACCTTCATGCAACTGAGCAAACCATCTAGATGCAGGAAATATCAAAAGCTCAAGCATGTCCTAAAAAAAAGTACAAAACAGCAGATAGAAAATTTAAATATAGGACGGAAACATACATACTATTGATTAAAAATTGAGTAGTAAGAGCAAGAATTTAACAAAAAATAAATGATTATCCGAGAATATGTGGCGAACGTCTCTCTTCAAATCACAAATACACAGTAAAATATATAGAAATATGAAATCATAATCGAAATATCCAAAGGGATGAACTCAGCTGCTTTCAATAGATTTGCAAATAATAAAATTTTAAAAATAATGGATATTAGATGGTTGGTGGCAAAGGCAGGAAGCCTTGCTTGACCTGGTTTCGTGCTAGTTGGCACTCATCAGCAATGAGTATCTGCAATCTCGAAGGAACTCATGTCCCTTCTGAGATTCGAACCCGCGTCACCCAGTGCTGAAGTCAGAGACGTTACCACTGAGCTATTCAGGCTTGCGACTGACCCCCTGTAGGGCTGTATTACATATTTTTGATTGGACACTAGTCACTACCTAGTGCAATGTGTCTGGTCCTATCTTCGGTGCTAGTTTGAATAGTTGATATTAGATAGCTTCCGGGAGATTGCCTCCAACCATCTAATATCAACCGTTCAAAATGCATCGTGATGGCGAGCTATCTAGAATGATGGTCACATTGCAAGCTTGACTGATAGAATTAAGTCTGCATCAAACAAAGGACTAGACACAATATACTAGCTACTAACTAGTGTCTTATCAAAAGTACGAAATTTTAAAAGTTGAATAAACTAGTGGAAGAGAAATATCTTGTTAAGAAGAGTGTAGCCACCAGCAGTGAAACACCATCTAGCGTCATCCAAAGAATGCCATGGGTGGACAACCTCTCAATAAGAGCTTTAAGATTTGGTGAAATAACTGCTGAAAGAAAGAAACAACTTCATTGATGCTGTTGAACAACTGAAACTTGAAGTCATTCTTAGCATGGAAGTAACATTCAGCGGAGCAACAGATGGAGTAACTGATGAGGTCAGAGTAAAATGCGCGTTGACAGAGAAGCATGAAAAGACAACGAAGAAATTATCAAAACAAGAAATATCAGGCCGATAGAAACACAGACTGCGCTACATTTAACAAGGTCGATGTCCATATTTAAAGTGACCAATATACAAGGAGATATAGAAACCTGTATACAAGGGGTTATTGAGTGAGACCAAAAAACCTACAGTTTATCTAGTACACCGAATACAGTCATCTTTGAGTGATTCGAAATGGCTTAACTTGACGTCTTTGACGAATAATCCTGGTAGAATGTGTACGGAACTATTATTAATGTATAAGGCATAATGCGTTATAAGGCCCGGAAGTTCACTTTACGGACATACTGACATATGAACTATGTACATATTTAGCATCAATGTTATACATCCTATTACAGATTATTGACATTCTAGACCAACTAATTCATACGAAATGAAACAAAGAATGGGAGAAAGGCATTAGTTATCATGAAATCTGGTGAATGTATACATTTCTCTGAACGGAGCACAAATCCATTTAAAATCAGATGCAGTTAACTGTTTCTTTTTTGTAAAAAGGTGACAACTACCTTGAAGTATTCAGTATGAAATATTCTGCTTTGATTGAGGTAACTAGCTGGAAGAAACACGTGATCTAAAAAGAATACCACCACCTGGAGACAGGATACAACTTATATTACAAAGATAAGCATTCCGTCAATTCTCATTAGCGGAATTTGTGTAAGAAGTTTTTAAACAAAAAGCCGCCCTGACAGATCGATAGGCACTTATATTGCAACATGTTGAAAATAAGACAGAAAGAGCCACTTTATCACACAACAAAATAAGCTAAACACTAATGACTGAAAGCCTCCAAAAAAAGTGTGCAAACGTAGACAAACTGTAAACGATACACGATACTGTTGTACCATAATTTGTGAACGAATTTTAAGAGGGGAATAATAATCAATAAGATCGACTTTCATCCTCAAAATCTGCTAAATTACAAGATACGCAAACGGTTGTCTATCTAGTCTTTGGATTGATTAAGACAGAGAGGAGATACATCACATTCCCCCCTTCAGCATCAGAATCATAATATTCATCATTTTATAAACATTCCTAGCTGTTGCTTGACATTTATATCTGTAATGAAGTAGGTTAAAATAAATAGATTAATAAATCCTCGGCAGTGTATACTCATCCTGGGGTTCGAACCTAGGAACTGCCTATGGGTTTCAAGTACTAGGACGAAACAACTGTCCGTCCAGTACTGCCTGCTGGTCTTCACTGATTTTTCAACTGATATCAATCAATGGGCACACTTGAAAAGGAAATCAAATCCCTACAAACCAGCCCTTGATGTTTATCAGTGACTGGCTGGAGGACGAAGTTACCTTGAGCTCTAAAAAGAAGAGTCGTGACCAGTGAGATCCACCAAGTCGGGAGTGAAGAGAAATACTAGCCCTTGATGACATCGGCTAGCAGTCGCGATAAATTCACGAACTGGATACCATTGAGTCCGGGTACCAGTGGTACGGTCCTGGGTTCGAACAACCGATGGGTGTCTAAATTAATCTATTATCTTTCATTATTCACGTGCTGTACGCAGTTGACAAGATTGGTTCGTCTTATGTCCTGCTGCGTGGTTTATTGTTATTGCTTCGATCAAGTTGACTAAGGGAAATTTGCGTGTGTAATATTTTTCTACATGACATGGAGAAGATCGTGTGAAGAGGAAATGAAAGCTTATGGTTAAGCGTAAAACCAGCAAAAAAGAAGACTACAGAGAACAGAATGACATCGCAGTATGACTTGAGTTCTACAAGAGCCTACGGGAACCTTCCACGGTGTGGACAGCTAGAAAGTAATAAGCGCCTAAACACTTCTAAGGGAATAACAGTAATAATAATAAAAAATATAATACATGAACGACTTACTTTAACTAAACATGTTTGATTCAATACACGGGCTGTTGTTGTTGTTGCTGCTGACAAATCACTGTTTTGATGGTTGACAACAGTATCTTCAGCACTTTTGTGATTGGTATCGACAACACAATTGGTACTACTGTCATTCACATCGATTATTTCCACGTCACTATCAGAACTGTGTACTCTGGTTTTCACTGTTGATGATATGTTATCTACATTTGTCTTGATCTCACCTTCATGCCTCATTTGTTGTGATTGGAATGTTGAATTCGAGGAATTAAAGAGACATTTGAATAGAGCAATACATAATTGTAAATGACCACACAGTAGGATATCTTTATGCTTTACAGGCATGCAATGAAAATACTTCAGTGAATCTGAATTGCACGATTTAAAACATGTCGGTTTCCTCGATAACATTGGGGAATACGATTCCGGAAGCAGAGTGGTAATAGTAGAAGTAAGAGCAGTACAGTCAGCATTGACAGTTGGAACACCAGGGTCAGGTGGTGTAGTCTGTTCTCCAAATGAACTATAATCACCCGTTTGACGATCATAAATCTATTCGAGGAACGCAGTAAAGATGGAATAATCAGTTAAGCAATAATAATAGATATGATCCAAACAGTACTCTTCGTACAAATATGGAAATTTTCAGTATGTAGTACAGTATTGCATCTAACCTTCTAATTACAGGAGTAATAATCAAAACAGGGTATTTACATCGACAACATTGTTCAATAAGAAAATGAATATCAAATTAAGTGAAAATATTAACAACCACTTAACAATGAAAAAGATAGGACCGTTCACTTAGAGTTCCGCAATAAGTTGATTATCTCCTACCTTAAACCTTTATCATCACATAACATGTCTGCTAAATAAGGTATTGGAGAGTTTGTCTACTTAGTCGTCCAAGTACGCAGTCTTCTATAGTTGCTTCTAGTTCTACCCAATGAGATGAAAGGACACAGCTGTGTATAGAGAGGATGCTCAGAGTCTGACAAGATATAATATTTGCTAATTTCTTGCAGGAGTCTATGTAACTATCCACAATAGTAGTAACGAGTTGGCTTTTGCGACATCCCACTGATTCTACTGACGGCTTCTAGTGATCTTCACAGTATTACAAAAAAGTCTTTCTTAAGTAGTCCAAGAAAGTTTTAATGAGGACAGTAAAGAAGGGTAGGCAGACTACGAGAATTAACAGATTTAGAAAGTAGAGACGCAATGATACCAGATCGACCTAAATTCTTCCTTACGTAGAAGAAGAACAGACGAAATTTCTTTCTGAAAACTAGCATCATGTGGGAAGACCGAGAAAGGTGATCACAGGAAATACACATTGCAAGGTATTAAACATGTATCTAAACGTGTATGTATGTATGTCATGTAAAATATGCATTTACTAACTATGGATAAGACTTTATTTTGATAAATCACAGTGTTATACAGTAATATCACTTAATATTACTGTATAACACTGTGTGATTTATCAAAATAAAATCTTATACATAATAGAGTTATACTCTACCACAGTGCTTGCATTAGCCAATCAAGTTTTACACTTGCCAACTTTAGTATATTACAAGGGCAGGTGTAATGACAAAATCAGCTTATGAAATGTTACCAACACCCATGCCCATTCACTTTCTATCGTCCACATTGTCAGTCACACGTGCAACTTTCCGAAAACGAGAAAGTTAATATTAGGGTCATTAGTGAGTGCTGATGAAGAGTCACACATTAGGATAAAACACACCTGCACACTGACTTCCACTACTAGGTTTGTGACCAAATCCACTATAATATTTAAATGTTAATCAGAAGTTATTATATTTGTAATAATATCTCATTAGGTTTTCTCAATTATACATAATACAAGACACTTAACATTAAACTCAAGTGTCAAAGTCGTGTGACTACAATTGATATCATTATGAACAATAAATTTTGTTCGAAACGTCATCTAGTAAATAATACTGTCTCACTCACTGTATGACATATCTGATAAACAAACTAATATGGAATTACTTATATATATATATATATATATAAGTACATATCGTTGCATGAAAATGAAATCATCAGAAAAGGAATACGAATTTCAACAAGATTTAAAATAAGAGAAACAAAAAACATACAGCAGCTCGAAGCCATATCATTTCTTCTGTTAACCAATTGCGTGCACTTTGTAAGAATTCCTTATGATTAGACATAAGTGGAATTAGCAGGACAAACAGATGAAAATATTGATCAGACAGATGAATCTTCGATGGAACATACTCCTGAGAAATGGGAAAAAAAAATCAAAAATAGAGTTAGAAAAATTATCATTTAAATTTCGAAGATTACAATTCACTTAGCACCGGTGGTTGAACGCTTGTCAACCATGCCTCATGTGGTCCGTGGTTAGATCGCTGGCCGTAGACTTCTCTAAGCAGGTAGTAAGGCTGACAAAGAGGGAAGGTTAGGCGTGAAGATAGCAATTCCCCACACCCCGTGAAATAGGAAAATAATAAATACAAAAACCACTGCTACCGGAACTTCAAAGTCCTAGCTTGAAGCTCTACGTTCCTTTCAGAACCTAAAGGATTAAAGAAAAACAACTCACATACAGGTCTCATTATTTAACCGTTGAAGTGGAATTCGTTGCTGACTTACTTGGTTAGTTGTTTCCGATTAAACAATTCCAACTACTTTTTTGGTGAATCAGTAATACAAAACCACTGACTCGCTACACTATCAACGTTTAGCTTTACACAAAAGTGCAGTACTTCAAGGTACCACGTCTCATTCAAGAACACACACACACACACAAAGGTCGAGAAAAAAAATGCAATGAAACTGCATTAGGCAGAGACTAAACGCCAGAGAAAAACAATTATATATGAAGAATAATAAAACTTTAAATGGATGTAGGACATCACAAGAAGTAAGTACATGTACGCCAACAATCTTAAAAATATTGGTTAGCCAAACGGTGATTCAAGCTGATAGTCAAAGACTTTATAGATTAGTGCCATGTTTTGTGATGACCACCTCTTTAACTACTTAATACTCTCATCATATATCAGGTAACATTACTCATCGAGGAAGGCGGTGAGTGAACATGCAAAACACATGTCTCAGTAATCTCAATCGACCCAGCCTCATAACCTCATATCTCCCTGATGAAGGTGGAAGACATGAAAAGGTTAGCTGTCTGTAATCACAGGTGTCTGAATTCTATCTTCCGAGTTAGATGGTGGTATAATACAGTGAGCGATATTGAGGTGGGTCACTAGTCGAGTGCTAGGTAAGGAGGGAAAATCAATGGACGAGGTTGCGCAGTTACGTCGATTGAGATGGTTAGGACATGTGTTATGTATGCATGAGAAGCCATCGCCCTCCTCGATGACAAATGTTAGTTGGCAAAGGATCAGGTTGGAAAAGAGCTAGTGGTGGTCAAATCAAAAAACATCAGTCAGTGGAATCCATAACAGTTAGTTTTGAGCCATGTCGGGAGTAACAGACTTCCTGTGTGGTTGAGGTGCCCAGGGTGGTAAAATCCAATGAAGGCTGGAGACAATTACCGGAATGGCTTAAATCCTTGTTCTCAGTGATGGCGTAGATGCATTCACCCTCTATGATTTATCTGATCATACAATAAAACTCTATTTTACTTCCATATTACTCTTCCTTTTCCCCTTACACTTCTGTTTACTATCTCTCTTTTTTGAATCTCACTTTAATTTCTTTTCTTGATTTGTGTGTTACATGCAGGAGGGAGTGCGGCAACTCAAACTGTTGTACACATCCGTGAAAAGTTCTATGCTGAAACCAGTCAGTCAGTCAATCCCTAATGAATAGTTTTTCACCTCTTAATTTAGGTAATCCATCTATAAAACAACATTGAACAGCAGAATTTTAGAAGCGGAGAAATAAGCCTTATGTAAGTAAGTTTAAAGAAGGAAAACTCAACACTTTAAAAAGAACCCGGAAATACAAAATAAATAAAATGGAGGAAACCAAGTGAAAGAAACAAAAATAAAAATAAAACATAAACAAACAAACTTACAGGTAACCAATGAAACATTTCTTCTAGCATAAAGTATATATCGTTTTCATTCTTTTTGCTTGCAAGGCATGATGTCAGCGATATATGAATAAAGTCTTTTGTAGACAGACGTATAAATAATGATTCAGAAAATAATAAGTCTTGTAAAATATTTACACCAATAGTTAACTGATCGGAAGCATGGACGAATTGAGAGGTCGAAGAAGATGCAAAGAGATGATACTGATCATCACAATGATGATGACGACGATAATGACTATGCTGATGATGATGACTTCGATGAGAAGGATCATTATCACGCTGCTTCTGCTCCTGGTGATGTTGACCAATTGATAAATTACCCTGTGATGGATTGACTAATTTCTTACACGGTAAAGGATATTTTAAAAGGTTACATAATTTATCATGTGAATATAAACACTCATACCATGGAATACAATTTAGTGCTTCCATTGTAACTGAGCCTACTATTTCACCACTTTGCAGTGAATTGAAATATTCCTTTTGAAAGTTATGATATAATAATTTTGACTGAATTCCACCATTTTCACTTGTGGTGCTGTTGTTGCTCCTCCTCCTACTACTACTAGTGCTACTGGAATGATTTTCACTACCCAAAGAAGAGTAAGAACGGGAAGAGGAATTCGATGAGGATGAAGAAGTCGACGAGGAAGCAGATGGCGATGTTATTGAGTGTAGACAACGGATTGAAGAAACGGACGATGATGATGATGATGATGTTGAGGTTAAAGAAGGTGAAGGTGATAATTCCTGTTGTTCATTAGCAGCATCAATAAATGACTCAGTTTTAACCTCTAAAGAAGGTATTTCTTTGTCAAGTGAAGGAATTTCACAACACTCTGTTCGATCTATCTGCTTTGTTAAACTAGATTCATCTAAACAAAAACAAAATACGAATGAATACAACATGTCAAATGAATTGAAAATAATTTTCGTTTTTTGGAAGTAATGAAATATTTTATATTGGTATTACCACCTTCAAGCTTTCTTAGTATACTAGCCCGTCTCAAGTTCACAAAAGGAGGAAGGACGTAGGTTTAAACAACTGCATCCCGTAAGAAACAATATCAAAGATGAAACTGTGATCTCCCGTCTCTACGGACGTGACATCTCTCTCTATTCACAAATGTACCTCTAAATGAAACACTGAATTCTATTATGTGAGGGTAAATTTTAAATTCGATGGCATATTATACAGACAAATAGATGGGTTGTGGTAATTGGCTTTTCACTATTTAAGTATTTCTTTCTAAGTAAACTAATTCCATTACCGACATATGCATGATATGTTTCTTCATGTTGTGAACGTGAATTCAAACATATCGAATTCACGTACGAAAAAGAGCTGCAAAGTAAAATTGCTTTCTTAGACATCTTACTAACAAGAAGACCAGATCGTAGTATAAAAAGAAATTTGCATGAGAAAAGTACATAGACAGGACAAAATACACCACGTTATTATAGCTCTGTCCCTATATCCACTGCAAAACCAACCTGGTAAAGAGCTTCAACTACAGGGTCAGAAGATTCAAATAAAGATGAACTTAGGATGGTATATGAAACATTAGTTGAAAATGGCTGAAAATTTCATCATGTAACACACAGTCAAGAGAGTAGAAAAGAATTCTTCTGTAACTATTAGCAAAATGCCTTTCTATATATGATTGCAATACAAAGGTTATGCACCAAGCGAAATAATACTCAGTACGTTGAGAAGATCGATTGAAAGGACTTTGAATGCTACAAAGCTGCAATTCACATTTTCTATACGATATGTTTTGAATCAAAAATTGAAAAACGAAGTACCCAGATTATTCACGTATCATTGTTTATGTCAGTTCAACTGCTCATCTGGAGCCAATTCTATTGACCATTGCTCTAGGAACTAAGCTTTTACTGCTCAGGAACAACTACAAGCGTGGCTAAATAAAGGTGTAGTTAAAACCATCAACAGTTCCACATCAGACAACCTGGTTCGAACACGCCAAAAAGCTAGCAATGAAGACTCTTTCTCTATTATCTGTCGGGTATGGAATGGTTTATTTTCCCAGCAATTCTTTCTTTTATGTTCAACGTTTTGCTACTTACCGTTAGTAAGTAGTATGATCTATATTTTGGAAAGCAACGAGTGGGTCGTCGATATGAGGTTGACATGGAGGAGATCGTGCGAGGGGTAGGAAATGAGAGATCGTGGTCAATCGAGTACAGAACTGAAGAGGACGGCAGAGAATAGAAGAAAGTGGAGATGTGTTGTTGTAGCGTTATGTCACACTAGGAAAACAAGGGAACATTAATAAATAATAAAATCCAACCCGATCCAGTGGCCAATGAATTCTAACTTCTGCAAATTCACGACATGGCGAGACCACTCAGCAATCTTTTCTTCGATAAATAACTGTCCTCACCTTCGGCCTGCTGTACCATATTGGTCACGTCTTTCAACTCACTAGAACCCCTAAAAGCCGAATTATGTTCTTTAGATAGGATTTTGTATAATTTAACTGAATTTTCAAAATTCTTATTTTATATTTGATAATGTTGTGATGGTAAAATTAAAGCATTGTTATTTTATTTTGTGCTTTCGCTTTCAATTAAAGCGAAGATAAAAACCAGGTTTAATGATCACAACAACATAATACTCCCCCTCCCCATTTGAGAGCTATATATTGCTTACCAAAAAAGTAGTATATTGCCTAAATTAAAAACATATGTCATGTCTTTTTGTTAACTATCAAGGTTTACGGGCAAGATAAGGGCAAACTTGAAGAGATAAGAAACTTTGCTTTTCACGTATCTCCCTTTAAAACGTTTCTTCTCCGTTGATTATCATCGGGGATGTTTGACTTCACTTTTCGTTTAGTCTCTAAAATCTATATCGAGCTCAAGATGACTACCGTTATCATTTTTAGCTTGATATTACCTTTTTTAATGCAACCCCGAGTGTCTAGAGTGAACAGCAACTTTTGTTTCTCTCTCTCTTTCCCTAAAAGACAACTGTATATTTGAATAGGATTATAGTGAAAGACAGTTTATTGTAGAATGGCATGATGTGATGTGTGTGTACAATACGCTTTGAACAATCTGATCACACACTTACTCTTCAAAACAATTTATATGGAAACAAAGAAAGGTTATTCGAAATAAAGAAGGAAAATAATTAAGAACTGCTATTGGTAATGTGATCCAGATAAGGATTACCAAAGGCAGATGACAAAATTTAGCCTCTGTTGTAAAATCCTGTTAATTATCTCCATATTAAAGGTAGACTGTAGGCTCTCGAAACCAACTAACCTCTAAACCGGTTCAAAAGCTTAAAAGGACAGAATGTTTTTCCAACAAGTGTATCCTGTTAATATAACTATTCTCATTTTATACACAACATCAGCTATGCGAATACGCTGAATCCTCTTAAGTGAGCACTCTTAACCAAGTCTGTCTTAAAATACTGTAATGGAAAGAAACTGGGTAGATCTAAATAATGCAATGTCAAATAAGTTTTCTTTAATTTACGTGTCAAAAAACAGCAGTCATCCATCAGAGGTTCATCAACAAGTACAGAATCTGTGTAGGCTTTAATACCAAACAAATTACAGTAGGAAAGAAGCCTATCTTCATTCAACTCGATTTTTGAGGTGATAATATTGTAGGAATAATCAATACAAGATTGAATATGTCACTAGTCAGAGACTATCCTGCATCTAAGTTGGTTCTCGTCTATCGGACAACATGCTCTTTGGTGCAATCAAAAACCGAAAGATACCCTTCTCATGTTAACTACAACTGTGTATACATATTTACATGTGCGTGAGCGGTTACATTAGGAGATCAGAAAGAAGTGCATGCCTCTGACTTTCTGAATATGAACCAAAAAGCTGAAGTCTCCAAGGTACGAATGATTTACACGGTGCCATTGATAGGCATCTCCTCAAGTTTACGGAAGTAATCTCAATGAATGTCCTGAAACTCTATTTGTTTGTTCAGAAAGAAGCGGTTATTAGTCTTTCCTGTGCTGAACGCAGGCCTAACCATAACCTTCTTGACGGGAGATGTTAGGTGACATAAGATCAGATTAGAAAAGAGCTAGTGTTGGTTAAACCAAAACATAGCATCATGTTCAATAAAGCTCTTGTTTTTCCATATTACTCTTCCTTTTCCCCTTACACTTCTGTTTACTATCTCTCTTTTTTGAATCTCACTTTAATTTCTTTTCTTGATTTGTGTGTTACATGGAGGAGGGAGTGTGGCAACTCGAACTGTTGCACACATTTGCGCACAGTCAATCAGTCAGTCGTTGTCCTGGTAACGGGATATTTCTTCATCTCTCATTTGATTACGTAACGCCAATAATTTGGTTCTGTATGACTATTATTGTTTGAAATAAAGTGATTATTATTACTATTGTAAGCATTTATTGATCTTTTTTGTTTAAAAATGAACTCTCTTTGGGTAAATGTGTTAAAATTGTTTCTGTACATAAACTTAAGTAGCTGATGAGAAGACAATAAAATAAGCAATGATGGTACTACTACTTTATTCTTCACCAACCGCTACTATTCTTGTGAGGTTACACAAATATAGGGAGAAGTGATAGGGCTTTGCACGTGAGAGTGCGAGAACCTATAACCCAAATTACTTGGGAAAAAATGAGACTTCGATATATGCAGGTGGTAAAATATCAACTTCATCCATAGCAAAATACTTAATCAATATATGAATTAAAAACCATTAAAGGGTGTATATACTGAAATACGCCTCGCCAATAGTTATACTTTAAAAGTTAACTCCTCCTGCGTGTATAGAAATAATTTATTACCGTTAACGCAGTTTGGCGACCTCCAATTGATTATATTACCAAAAATTGGTGTAAATCAATTGTTTTTTATATTCTGAAATCCCATGTTATTTTGCTTATTTAATTGGTTTCCCATTTCTCATATATATTGTTTCGATAAGTAAATGTGTGGGGCATCAGAGTGTTGGAAATATATTGCACAAATACATCATGTCACATTTTTCACATGAACTCTATCTTCTAACATAACGTTATCCAGATTTGATTTCGGCTATACTTCGTAGGCATCTTTCACACTTTATTTTTACCTTTCTGAGCGCTTTTGTACAAAGCTCCATAAAAAGTGTTTAATGCTATTTAGTAAAAGTTCCAGTGCTTTCTATAGGTGGCGAATCTACTTTCTGGTACAGGGTTTTAACTAGAACTTTCTTTAACATAATAATAACCCATGTGTAAATCTGCCGTATTGAGAATAACCAGTGAGATCCAAGTTTTCAAAACTAGTGCCAAGTTAGTTCTTCTATAGGGTCCACAGTCTTGGTGCGACGCCAAAAGAACTCCCAACAGACTTTCCTTTCATACTGAAAATCGAAGGGTTAGTCGGAAAGGGAAAGCAACGAGAATTTCTTGAAAACGAACCAACCAACAACTTATTGCCCAACAGATATGCAGAACAAATGGAGATGGGGATCGGATATACAATGACGAGACCGTTGAGTGACATATCACGCGCGCCAGGTCCTGAAGTGTGACCCGAATAGGAAACAACGTACTGGGAGTCCGATGGTGACATGAAAATGAAAGCCTATGTGCAATCGTCGAGTTAACCAGAAAGGACTACAGAGAGGAGAGTGAAATGGTGATGTGTTGATGAAATTCTATGTTCCACTCGGAAGCCAAGGGGATAAATACAATAATCCTTTGAGTATAGTCACCCAGAATATGTATGATAGACCATGTGACACCCGACTAATGATACTATTATCCAGTTGCCGAGACTAAAAATAGGCGAATTGAAGTTCGAACTGGTGACGCAATAGGGCTGTAAGTCAAATACCAATAAGGCAATGGAGATTATCAGTGATCAGTGATTACACAGTTACTGTGGAGTCCTAATTTATCTACTTTATTCTGAGCAACCGACATGGAACAATTCCAATAAATAATAACAACAAAAATAACATAATCGACTCACCATCAAGGTGAATAGTATCGACTACAGTTTCAGTAGTTACCATAGTACTTGGATTAAATTGACTAGCGACACTGTTGACTTGATTAAAGATCTTTTCTTTATTTATAGGAGGATAATGATAATAATGGTTCATGTTTTCACAGCCAAATTTAGCTTGCCAAGCATTGAAGCATAAAATTTTTAAACCGGAAGAGATATTCTTCAACCAAGAAGTTTCTATTTCACTCAAAGATATCTAAAGAAAGAAGCAATATTGATTGAGTTGACCAGTGTCTAATAGGTAGTATAGTAATGAATGAAAATGTTTAGTTAAAGATTACATTCAATGGAACGATACCTTTCCTACTCATACTGATTATAAAGATAATTACGTTATTATAAGCGAAATCGTACTTTATCAATACTATCTTATTAATCAGTTAAGGTAGTTACGTTTAATTAGGTTACTTCGCTTAAGTTCTCTTAGTTACTTTAATTAACTTAGTGCAGTTGGGTTATAATAATTTTTTAAAAATATAGCGAGTTACGGTGATTTAGTTGAAACAGTTATCGTAGATTAGGTTAATAAGTTTCGGCATTTTAGCTTAGTTCATTTAGTTTCATTAGTTTAGCTAGTTAAACCTTAGTTATCATAGGTTGTAAAGGTTAGCCAGCAGTTTAATCACCTTTCATCAAAGCAATTTCATTTAAGTCCATTCAGGTGAGCGTAACCACCGCCACCTCCTCCTCAGTAAGCCCAGTCAGTTTAAAATGTTTACATAAAATAAGGAGGTTCAGGTTACTTATTTCAGATAAGAGTTTCCGTAATTTGGCTCAGTTTAGTTAGTTCAATTTAGTTAAGTTCAGTTAGATTAATTTGAGTAATCTACTTTTCGCAGTTTAGTTTAAGTACTGTGTGGTTGACTTCAGTTTAAGTTCTTCAAATAGTTTAGATTACTTACTTTAGTTTATTTAATTTAGTATAGATAGTCAATTTGGATAAATTACTTTACTTCATATACATTAATTACTTTACCTACTTTGCTTTAGTTACTCCAGCTTAGTTTACGCTGGTTGATTTACATTCCTTTAGTTGCCTTCAGTTAGATGAAACCAATTAGAGAGTTTAGTTGGAATAATTAAGTCAGTTAAGTCAGCCTTCTTCGACGGGCGATGTCAGCTGACATAGGACTGATAGGGTTGGAAAACACCTAGTGGTGGTCAAATCGAAACATGGTATCAGTCAATCAAATCCATAATAATTAGTTTAAGCCACGTGTTTGAAGTCTTCGGTGTGATAAAAACCAATGGCTCGAGACAATCAGTGAGATGTCTCAAAATCCTCGTTCTCAATGGTGCATTCACTCTTTGTGATTTGTCATATCCAACAAAACTCCATTTTCTTTACATATTACTATTCCTTTTGCCTCATATCTCTGTTTATTATCTCTCTCTTTCTCATTTGAATCTTTCTTTATTCTCTTCTCTTGCTTTGTGTGCTACAAGGAGGGAGTATGGAGACTCGAACTGCTGCACATCTGTGCAAAGTAGTTATATGTTGGAATCAGTCAATCAGTCTAGGTCATTTTAAATTAGATTAGCTACTTTAGCCTAGATGGTAGTAAAATTTAATCAATTTAGATGTAGTAATCAACTTATATTAGACAGTTTAGTAGTTTAGTCAGTTCCGTCTAGTAAGTGAAGGTGGTTTAGTTTAGTTCGATTGAGTTGAGTTACTTCAGTTAAATTAGTTTGCTTTACTTTAGTTCAGTTACGTTAGACAGCTTAGTTAGCGTAGTTAGTTCGGGTGCATAATCTAGTCCATTACAACTGGGAATAACATCGGTGATAGTAGGCAGCCTTGTCCCACTCCTGTTTTTACTTCTATGTCTTCTCTGAGTTCTCCTCTGTGGATCACCTGACACGTGGCATTGTGATATAGCCAGCTGTTGAATGAGGTTGATAATGATTTGGGCCATAGTGTTGAAATCCTCCCCAAATTACATCGCGGTCGGCGATGTGGAAGACCTTTGCAAATTCCATCAAATCGAGGCAGAAATTTCATCGACATTCTATACTTTGTTTGATGACGATGCGTGGAGATGCAGTCTGATCAGCACATGACTTGCCTTTCTTGAAACCTGCTTGTTCCGAGCTGGTAGAGTTCTACATCCAGTGCATCCTTTGTCCACTCTAGGATGGCTGGCTGGATTCAACATAGAACTTGGCACCGAAGTGCAGCAGTTCGAGTTGCCACGTTCCAAATAGCACACAAAGGTAGACAAGAAAATGAGAGAAGAGAATCAATAGAGTTTTGACAAGTATAAGAGTGAAACAGAATGAGTAATGGTAGAAAGGAATATGAAAGATTACAGAGACTGAATACATCTGCGCCATTGACAACGATTTTGAGCTATGTCACCTATTGTCTCCAGTCATTGATTCTTAGAGTCCCGAGGGCCCCAACCCAGAAGTCTGCATCTCCCGGGATGGCGCGACTTGTTATTTTACTTGACTTCGACAGGAGCATTATGCCACACCCGTTTTTGCAGTGGCCTAATTCGCACCTCTTTGGCAGCTTGACAAGGTAGCTAGTCTTTCTTCCAATCAACAGGTACCTTTTCTTCCTCCCAAAGCTTTTCCAGTAGTTGCGTCGGTATATCCATTGCGGTCTTTAAGTCTGTTCGCAGCGCCTCAGAGGGAATTCCATGTGGTCCGTCGACCTTGCCGACTGGTTACCACTAGCTTGATTGCATCCAAGATTTCAGTTTTTGTTGTAGGACTGGAATTCACTGGCAGTTCTGTGCAGGCTTGTTGATGGTATTTCTGGACGAGTTTCAGGTGATGGTCGATCTGAAAGTCCTTTGAAGTGATCAGCCAATTGTTTTCTTTGTCTCCCTTCTTTGATAATCAGGTTCTCTTGATCATCGTTTACTCATTTCATCTGTGTTGATGCTTCCCGGATTGAGACCTGGTTGTCTAACATAATGTTCCGAGGTTTCTTTTTCTTGAGGCGTGATGCGCTTCAGTTGATTGTGTGACGTAGAATTATATTTTGGTCTTTCCTAGCACTCTTCTTCACTTCTTTGTTTAGCAGGATGCACGTTGAACGCAGCTTCTTTTTCTGTTGTCCATCTTTGCACTGGTGCATCTTTACTTTCGCCATCCTCCTCTCTCCTACTAAATTCAAGGTGTCAATTGACAGTCATTACTTGTCTCACCTGATCTTCCTTCTTAAAACGCCTGTAAACGTTTCCTTGGATATCAACACTTTTTGAGGATCCCAATGATCTTCCACACAGGTTTCCTCACTGACGCTACGTAGTGTCTCCGACTTTGCTCTGATGGCTGTAGTGAAGGTGTCAGTTGTAGTCTTGTCTCTCAGTTTCTGAGTGTTGAACTTGAATTGTGGTCTATCTTCAGTTGCTCTGAAAGACTTTCAGCTTTACTTTGGAGGTTGCTTAAATTAGATGATTGTCTGAAGCTCCCTTTCTTGACTTTTTTTGTCTAGCACAGCAGTAGGCTGCGTCCTCACTTTCATGAGCAATATTGAGATGAAGCCGATGTGCTTTTTGGTGTGTTCGTCAGATGAAATGCATGTCACTGACTTTGTGTTTATAGCCTTGTGCTCGTACCTAGCATAACAAACTGATTTACAAAAATAATATATATATATATATATGTATATAAAACTTACGTCAGATTTTATTGTTAATCGTGCCACATAAATAGCATGTAATAGAATGAAATAACTGCCATTGAATACTGGGTGACTTGTATTGCTTGATAATTGATGTGTATTTTGTAGTAATTTACAAATATACTCAATGTCTCTCTCCTGTTTGACATTATCATCATCGTGAGTAGAAGTAGTACTAGCATCAGGTGATAAATACTGTACAGGAAGAGAGTATGTACAAGAAAGCTTATTCTGATGGTAGTGGGAATCATCAGTGTCGATAGTGACACCGGAAGATGACGACAGCGGGAGTAATGATGAGGACAGTAAATGATACAGTGGTGTTTTTTGAAATAAACTTAATATTTTACAATTATTAGATGAAGAACTCAAACTATAGTGTAGTATAAGACTATTAGCTATGCTGATGAGCAATAAACGCAGTAGTCGAAACAACCACATGCGTATTTGATAAATCAATCTCCAATGCTTTCGTGTGTTTCTTTCACATACAAAAATACTTTCATCTATTGAATTCACAGAAGCAGAAAAAAACGTGTGAGCATTTACGAAGGAGGATCTGTTAATATGGTCTTGGTGAAATGAAGATTTGTCAATTGTTTCTAAGGTATCACAGATAATATGGCGGCTGAATTCTTCATCATTTGTACAATTGGAGGAAGAGCAGTCACAAACTGATGTTAAAAGTGGTGAAGAAAGCAGAAGGCTAAGTGCACCACCGCGTAGCAGAAGCAACTGAAATGAGAAAGAAAAAAAAGAATTCGACGTGAAATATGCTAGTTGAGGAGAGTAATACACAATGTGATAAAAAGTAAATAATTTACACATATCTTTTAGCCGTATGTATCAGTGGCTGTAGCAGAATGTTTCACAACTAGGCTAGAGGTTGAGGTTCGATTACTGGCCAGTGTACTCCAAAGTTTGTCAGCTGATAATATGACGCAAAAAGAGGCAAGGCTGAGAGTGAGACCAGCAATACTACCCAGTAAAATAAGGCAACAGAACTGCTACTGAAGCTTCAAAGGGCGAGGCCCAATGTTCGATTCGGAATATATGGAATGAAAATAAATCAATCATTTTATTCCTTGTTCTTCATACACAGTACCCAATTAATTTTCAGATTACTTAAATGAAAATGAAATAACCTCTAAACCCTTTATTGGCATTTTCCTTTAACACTTTCATCTAGAACCGGTAGGAGAAGTGTGGTGAGAGCTGTCTACTAGCCAAATTGGTAGACAGTAATATACGTCAATATTTACGTTCCCAAGATTTATCGTGAGAAAATGTGAACAAAGATTGATTCAAAACCGACCACAGCAGACTTTGCGTAGGCGGATGCAGTTAATATATAGAGGATTTGACATTCAAGAAACAGTCACAAATAGATGAAAGATTAACTTTACGTGAGAAACAACTAATCGGAAGACTGTGTTTGTTTGCTTAAATATCCATAGTAATGTACATGAAAACATATATAAATATGCGTTGATTTCCTTAATAAATGATCTGTTGCCTGACTCTTGCCTTCTGTCGTTACAGAAGTAGCAGTTCTCTCCTACTTTACTTAAATAAATCAAACAACTCCAATCATCTCTATGATACAACTACATCGGTGGTTCAGCGATAGAGCACTCGCCAACCACATCTCATGTGTTCCAGGGTTAGACTACCCGCCGATGCACAGTTAAACTTCGTTAAGACAGTAGTAAGCTCAGTAAGGAGGGGAGGTTAGGCTAGCAAACTCACTCCGTAAGTAATGAAACTATTACTACCGAAACTTCTAAGCCCTAGGGTGAAGCTCAATATTCCACTAGGAATATAAATGAATAAAAAATCTAAGATATAATTTGTAGGCATATAGCTTTAAATACTACTTACCCAAGAGAATACGTGACTTATATTTCAGTATATCAAACTTCATTAAAACAAATAAAAGTTTAAAGACAGACTGGATTAAATTTCTTTTTGACATATTAGAAACAGAAAAAACAACAGTGATGCGTTAAACGCAGAGTACACAGGCCAACTACTTGAAGCCATTTATACACACACGGACTGTGTTGAAGTGGTTTTTGGAATTGCATCCGTATGAAGATCTTATCGCCGGCTACACACACCAATGAAGAGCAAGTCAGGATAAATACGATTTTTGGAATCAGCGTTCTCTAAGCCACCCACACTCCCAGAGCAGAGAGGTAGCAAAGTTAGTGTGGTGGCTGCTTGAAGGTAACACGTAAGTGCTCATACAATACTATTCCACAGGAGTACAAATTGCAAACAAGTTACATTATGATTGTAGTAACTATGACCCAAGTTACCTTCCTGAGGTAGTAGATCTGACAAGAACATTCACTTCAGTCAGTATATCTTCTTGGGTAATTGACGTATATATGCCAACCCAGTGTCCTCATCACCAATACCACGCCATTATACCAGTGGAAAATTTAAACCTGTACATACACGTATTCATAAAAACAGTTCAGTCGATTCGCCCCATGGACGGAGAACTATCATAGAATGTAAGCTAACTACTGCTTTCAAGACCATACACTATCTGAGCCATCAAGATAATGCTAACAATAAAATAAACTTACTGTAACGTTAACAGCATTAGACCAATTAGGAAATTGATTGTGAAAATCATCCCTAAGGAATGTAGTTCCAGTGTAATCGGTTATATTATTACAGTTAATACCATCACTGCTGTTCAAATCCGTAGAGAAACCGAGATTATTGTCTGCGTGCATAAGTTTAGTAGGAGTAGGCACAGTATCAATAGTAGTAGCAGTCGTGGTATTTGTAGTGTTGACTGTATGTAGATGACTAGAAAAGTGATAATGTTTCACTGCACTACTTGGCATTAATACACAATATAATACTTGCAGGGTATACAATATCTCAATATAATTTGGCGTATTTTGACATATCATAATTGGATATTCATTGGCTGCAGAGGTGAAAACTTCGATTGACTCATTCAGTGGGTTTGTAAGTATCTTGCCAAACCACGTGTTTGATAAGAGAGCTGATAACACACACAAAAGAGAAAGAGCAAAAACATTATTGCAAGCAGCAAACAATAAAAGTTTTTGAATTATGACCTGTCCTCGGTTATAGAGAAGCATTGAAAACCTCACCAGGGAGCGAACCAAGCAATTCCAGGTTACGGTGTTAGCCAAATGTAACCATTCATCCACAGGGACGAAGCTAAATGGCTCATGGACTATAAGTTCTGTCAAGAGATCTAATGAGAAGTCATGACAAGTGGTGCTCAGTAAATCGTTTGAGAACAAATCCCTGCCAAAAGCTGACAGTGGTGCTATATACTGTGAGTTGATAGGAGTTAGAATTAATGCATCATTTAAATCCTTTACAGTGGATGAATGAATGCTGAATGGTTTGACTTCTTAACCTAAATATTTTAGGGTTCATCTCCAATGAGATCGCATGTCAGTCCTGTTGAAGATTTTCAAATAAGGACGACAGAGATGTCCAATACTCTCGGCTTCTCAGTGGTTCTTCAACTTATGACAATTTGTGATTTAACTTGAGGTCAATGGAAATCCTTGTGAACCAACACCATAGGCTTAAGAAATAAGTGGACTGATAATGAAGATGTGCAAGATAGTCTTTAGTTGGTAAACTGCTATTAATATAGCAGGTGATGAAGGCGAAATAAAAATCTGCACCACGACATGCTTTAAAGTAGCTGCTCAGCATGTAAAACGCCGAACCACCACTATTCGAAACCAGCTATTTCAAATTCCATTTCGACTCATATTTTCACCTCACCAACTATCATCAGTAATACATTTGACAACTTTTGACATTTGAAATGATGGGAGCTGGGTTCGAATCCCAGTTGAGCAACCATCACCCACTAAATCATTCATTAAAGATGAAAGCAGGTTTTTCCAGCAAATCGCTAATGAATCAATTGCCCACATTGGATATGAATGCTAGTCATCATCAACCCAGTAGTATTCTAATTGACTATTCGAACTCAAAATTCAATGTTAACCTGCACTTTCATTAAAAGCACATGACTGTGTACTGTCGAGGAGTCTCAAATCAGGGCGAAATAGATGTTCAGTAATCCTTGGTTATTATGCTTGAACATCTTCAGTGACTACTGACGTTTGCCAAGTGACAATCTGACACACAATCCATCGTTTCAAACAAGAAAAGAGTTATTGATGATATACAATTTTTATATAAAAAAGTAATTCGATTCCAATAATATTATAGATTATAGTCCATTAATTTAATGTAAATACATCAATGGTTCAATGCCTGAATATTAACCAAACACTCGAGAACTTCGTGTTCTCTTCTTTTTAATGTCCATATGGGTGTTTTCCACGATCTGGATTAATAGTACAACTTCAGAAACACTATCAAGTTGACCAGCTGATGATGATGATGAACATAGATTAGACGGAAGGTTGAGATCACAGCAGCTAGTTACCACACCACACAACCCGATGCAGTTAGAAAAAGCTGTCACTATCAACATTTTAAAGCTTTCAACACTTATGTTCCACTCTCACGGAAGACAAGGGATGAAAAAGAAGAGAGATTAAAATAAAAACCGGAGAATGATATAAAAACTTACGTTCAGAGGATGATGCATTGTCCGAACTATCACTAGCGCCACAACTATCTTTCAATTTCTCACCAACTGATTGATTTAAACTATCTTCAATAAATTTAACCAATTTTTTATGTAATGGCATACATTTTAACAATGCCATTATATTATTGCAAACATTCATACAATTTAAGGTTAAGGCTAATTTGCCCAAATTCAATAGGAATTCAATACGTCGGTCGGCATCTAAAGCTAAAAAAAGAAGGCGATTAGTAAGTAAAGTTTCTTGTGCAGATAGATAGAATTCGTCGTCTAAGAACGACAGTAACACAGAGTAAATCAGTACTGTGTGTCTGTTCTTGGTGGTGGTGTTGCTATTACTGCCGATTGAATTCTATCTGTCAAGTCACATTATGGTGATCAATTAATGTAACTACTAGTGATGTAGAAGGTCTGTCCTGAGGCGGAATAGCTCAGTGGTAACGAACGTCTCTGAATGAAGCACTAGGTAACCTGGATTGAAATCGCAAAATGGAAATGGACTCTTTCAAGATTGTAGGTATGTCTTGTTGAAGAGAGCGTCCAACAAGCACGAAAGCTAGCCTTCAAGGTTTCGAATCGATCGGCTTTAAATATGTAAGAATCCATATTAGGAAGCTAGTATTAGATCCAAATAATAAAAAAAAATTAACAATGACAATAATTTCAGCAAAAAAAAATCTTACTTATTTCATCCTGTATTTGATTTTCCACCTGCTGAATGGATTTAGGCAGCTTAGAGTCATCAATTTTATCCAATTCATCCTTTGATAATGATAATAAACTATCGTCACAGTAAATTTCAATTTTATCAACAACTGATTGCTGTTGATCATCTCCTTTGCCTATTACTTCCTCTTCTTTGTGTAAGTCAAAATCTATTATGGAATTGAATATTGTCAATTCTGATAGTGTGTTACACGCATTATCAACATTAATATCGACTGAAGAATTATTGTTATTATCATGAGGATGAAGATGGTGACGATGATGATTTGACAGAAGATCACGATAAACTTGTAGAATATTTAACTTAGCGTCATTTCCAATATTATTATTTGAATTTAGAGCTGATGACTTTGGAGTAACGAAATCACCGGGATGATGAAACTCAAAATGATCAGATGATAAAAAGCTAGGTGAGGTAACTGGCGAGTCAGTTATAGACGTTGATAATCCATCGATATTATTATTATTAGAATACATTAGTTTGGCTGATAATTGAAGGCTACATGTATAAAAAACAAAAGTGATAAGTGTGACTTAATAGAATGATGATTGAATTCGTGGTAAAATAATAATAATAATAATAATAATCAGCACAATAAGAAGACGTAGTTCAACTGAAACGTGTAATGTATTGGCGCAACACATTTCGAACATTCTGATCACACACGTACTTGTCATACACAAAAACTGGCGATAATGCTCGCCCTCGAATGTAAACTTAACATTCTTAGTACAAAGAAGCAGTAACTCTTTTAAGTAGGAAATGGATACTGGTAATAGGAAATCATTGTCAGAGATGTAATCGCATAAAATGTCAACCGTCTGTTAAAGAGGTACATTCGTAAATAAACATTCAACATCTAGGGAAAACACTTTTCAGTTAATTGATTGTCTTGATAACGTTGATATAAAGGACAAAACGATGAAGAAAGATGATTTTATTATCCAGTTACCACAGGTAAAAAGTGAAGGGTGTGAAAATCAAACCCATGACCAATCAGCTGAATGTCGACCGGTTAAGTCAATAAACCAAATATCGTCACATTCATTCTTATTACTGGATGCATGAAATAAGTCAGTCGTCTACTTATTCAAATCTGTGATTTCCCGCTGACTGATATATATGAACTGCGATAGTTGGTTTCACTTTGGCATATAGAGGCAGTTTTAACGGTTGCCTCCATATTAACGAGGTTAAAAACTCGAAGGTATCTGTTTGATGATGGTTAGAATTTTTTTTTTGATTATACCTTGATTCCACACAGTACATTTTGGTACAAGTATCGAATTTTCAGCATGTGATGTCGGTAGCGCGAATGTAGCAGGCCGATACGGAGTGTGAGTCGGCAGGAGATCGAACCCCGGACCATGTGCATGGTCGGCGAGAGTCCTAACCGCTATGCCACCGAAGCAGAACCAAGAACGCTCATCTTGCCCTACTTTTCAGGACTCCTCATCCGAATGTGCCTGCTTGTCAATGAGTGGAAGAAAAAATCCCCACTGAGGTTCCAGATGACTAGTCCCAAATAGGACACAAACGCACATCTTAGATTCCACTGCTAGACACCATCAAACAATCACTTCTGAAGTGTTTTTCATGGTGATACGACGACACCCGTCTACAGAGCCTATATACCAAAATGAGGTTGAGGTACTGAATTTTGATTTAACCACTGGAATTCAAAATATGAATAAATAATTTTGAAATCAATCCCATCGCACAAACGGTGACTCTTGTAGACCAAAAGCCTAATGGATAATGTTTATGCATTGGAAACGATAGGTACTGGGTTCGAGTCTTAATGGAAATACTATCACACCTACTGGGGAGTATGTACATTCAACTGACGAAAACAAGTCACATCCTCCATCTCACTAATGACCACCAACAAAACAAGTGACCAACTAACTCCATACAGATAAAAAAGAGGCAGTAAACAAAACGCCAGCATTAGTAGTAGTGAAAAACTGACATTATACTTACTGAATTAGTGAAGCATCATCACTTTTGACGTTACTTCTTTTTTTTCCTCTATGATCTTCTTCATCTTCCATCTTAAGATGATGCTTTAAAAATTGTCTAGTCCACTTAGGAAAGGATGAGAGCAGATCAATTAATAATTCGTTATCCATATTGCAGTTTAATAACCAATTATTGCCATTTGTCTGCTCCCCCTCCTCTTCCGTATTGAGAACACTTAATTCTAATTCATACTGGGAAGCATTTGGGTGCAACACACTACTGTCATTACGATTCTTAGTACGATAATGACTCTTATTATCATCATTACAGTTAAGTGGAATTGTTGTTGTTATTGGTGACAGTGAGGATGATGACGACGGAGAATTTGAAGGGTAACCATTCACACAAAAATCCAATAGAAATGCACGTAGTTCACCAACTGTTACATTTCCATGTACTATAAGTGCAACAGTTACCGTGGTTCCATTAGAAAGGAAAGTATGCTTTTGATTTTTTCCCTTTCTATTATTCTTATTGTGACAAAGATAAAACGTGTTTGGTAGACCTTGACAAGTAACTGTTAAGTGGAATGATGATCCTATCCATGAGCTAAAAAGTGAGAGAAAAAAAGAAATGTTGGGGAGAGGGAGGGGTGAATTGACAATAACACGGGCGTAAAATCAATCAATCAAACAAACACTTGCATTTTCATTTACAGTCGACGATAAACCATAAATCTGTCTGAGGGATAGTGACATTACTATTTACCTGCTCAAACCTCGATAGGTGAAATGGGATTTGTGAACCGGTGATCAGAAGTTCGACAAATAAGTCAATGAAGCACAAAATAAACCATACAAAAAAAACACATAGAAATCCCAAGTCACCTTACTGGTTATTATTAGATAAGTAAAGTGTTTTCTACAGTCACAGCCCAAAGTCTAGCTATGCTGTCAAATGTCAGGTGAATGACTTTGATTTAGTTGTGTTCTTTAGGCTGGTTGATTTAATTGCGAAGCTTTCGTTATTCCCCCTCTAGACAACTCCAAGTGAATAAAAATTATCAGTAGAGACGTAAATTAACAAACAATAACGACAGTGGTTGCCAGGAAATACAATTATACCATAATTCATAGGGAATTCAGATAAGTTCACTTTATACTAAAACCTGCACTGAAGATGTGTTTAGAAGGACGACAAAAGCTTCACAATTAAATCATCCAGCACCTCAGCGAACACAGTCAAATCAGAACCAATAAGTGTTGACATTACAAGTCTTTACAAATGTCAGAATTACAAAATAATTGTTAACAACAGGACATAGCAGATTAGTCGGTTATATATATATATATATATATAGATAGATAGATAGATAGATTGTTAATACACGTAGTATTTGTAGTAAATAGTTTTTGTTAACGGGTTATTTCTTCAGGCTCAATGAATTAAGAACACATTTTCCAGCGATGGAAAATGGTTTCATAGTTTCTCCTTAAATTATTTGCTTATATGATGGGTCACACCACGTGTAAAAAGCCACAATGATCATCAATCGGGAGGCAATGCACAACGGAAGAGAATATGTATATATACAAGCGACAATACTAGGAGGTGCCGATTTCTTTTTAAAAAACACCACTCAATTTATAAATACAAAATAAACCCTTAAACAAAAGTAAGGAATGAGAACGCAACCAACCGTTTCAAAGGAATACACGTTTCCCTTTCACTGATGATATATGATTCTATATTCAGAGTGATTGTGAATTTTTTCAATAGTTTTATTATTCTAAGTATTCGTTTAAATAAAGAGTTTACATGACGACTAGAATATGGGATAGTATTGGAATGAGGTACTGAAATCTTTTTGAATTTCGATTCGTCCAGATTTATCTCTTTTTTGATAATAGAGCATATCTAAAATAAACAATACAAAACAACAAAACGAAAACACGCATTAAAGATGTTGATTGCGTTTCGCATTCTGTTTAAATTGATGGATTAAACTGTGTGGTAATATCGTGCATTGGCGTCGATAGTAGTTCAGCATTTTAGAATGCTTGCCAATTAAGTACGTAGTCCGGATTCGATTTCCGACCGACGCACTCTTAGATCGCGTCTAGTAAAATAAAACGAAAAAGGGAGGATGGGTCAAAGTACTAGCATCTATAGGGAAATATAGTATTCTAATAGATAATCAGACTTTGCAACACATCTCATCCAAAATCAGTAAAGGCGGGTTTAGTTAAACTGTTTTATATTTAATCCAACTAGAAATTCGAGTAGAAGAAAAAGAAATCTGAAATCCAATGTGAGGGATACCTAATAGGGCAGCAATCAGAGTGGCATTTAAACCCAAGTGATTCTACCGTCTTGAGAACATGTAATGTGACTTATCAAACGCCATGTAATAACTGTCACTTCAAAATACATGACTTGGACTAGTCGATTGGAGTTATTTAGGTTACTAGAATAAAGCTAGATCTAAAACGATGGAAGATGTTAATTCAAGTATTATGTATGCACCTGCATGCGATTACACAAAAGCGAGGAGTAGGGCAAAGGTATTAAAAAGTAGTATGGATAGGTGCAGAAAGAGGAGAATCACTAAACCTTTGTCCCTTGAAAGTGTATCTTTTAAAATCATATATCAGTTAGGGAACCATTGAAAACCAGGGAGTACTGGACAGCTGGTTCCTCCTAGTTTGGGAATCATCGCGGCAGTATGCACCCACTGGGTTTCGATGGTTCTCTATATGATATCAATCCGTGATCAATTCGCAAAAGCAAAACTAACCCTTACAAACCAAACTATATAAAATTAATCTGATGCTCGCTAGTGACTTGCCACAGAATGGAGTTTCCTGGAGTTCTAGTGAGAAGTCGTGACCAGTGAGGTCCATTCAGATGTCACGTGTGAGGATGGATGCCCCACCTACGACATTGGTTGGGGTCCCGCTAAATCACGAATTGGTAGAAGTTAGAATTCATGAACCACTGTATCGGATCCCAGTGGCTGAATGGTATACGAGCTTTCCTTGTAGCCGGAAGCTACTGGTTTCGAACCCCAGTGGGTGCGTACTGCCGATGATTCCTAAACTAGGATGAAACAGCTGTCCAGTACTCCCTGGTTTTCAATGGTCCTCTAACTGATATCAACCTATGATCAACTCATAAAAGCAAAACTAACCCTTACAAACCAAACTATAGAAAATTATATTATATATGTATATATATATATATACATAGGTCGTATAGGGTTACTGGATTCTGTTCCAGTGACTGACTGCTAGTGTCAAAACCTGAAGGTCCTAGGTTCAGTCCCTGAAAGGCCTATGAATGTACACTGTTGGAGAGTCCCAACCTAGGACTGAATATCTGCCTAGTACTTCCTGGTTTCCACTGCTTTTTATGTCAGTTCGTCACCTAAGTTAGTATATGAAACACACATCAAGCAGGTGTCTACACATGAGAATTTAATTCAACAAAAGTTTAAGGCAGGAAAATATCACAATTCATTTGGTTGACAATCAATTTATTCACAGACATCTTACCTCATCGTAGGCTGTCTTAATATGTGCGTAACAAGTTCGCATAATATCACTGCATAACTCCTGTCGGCTTTTTGTACAACGTGAATAAGCCTTTGTATAGAGTTGCAGCAATAGTCTACTACTTTCGCGATATACACATCGATTGGAAAAAAGAATAAAGTTCCATAACTGTTCTAAATTAATAAGTTTAACGGCAGAAGTAGCAGGAGTATCTACATGACTAGCAGATAGCGGTAATGAGAGAGTTGACAATACTGTTGATATTGATGATGGCGATGATGATGTTGCTAACGGGATGTTAAATTCACGTATAGTACATGTATTGTCTGAATTAATACGACAAAACAGCTGTACCACAAATCTAAGATGCGAAAAGAAATGCACACAAATAGATTGGAAAAGTATTGAAATGGATGTTTGGAATTTATGCACCATACGCATGACAAGACAAGGAAAAGTGAAAGAAAACAGTGCCAATACATCATAGTAATGACACACCATGATGCCAGTTCACCAGTAAAATCCTCTGCAGCCGAGCGACAGGTCGGAGGTCAAACAACCTCTGCCTGGTTTTGACATAGAACTTTGCATCGATGTGCAGCAGTTCAAGTCGCCACACTCCATACAGCACACAAAGCAAGAGAAGAAATGCATAATAGAGACAGTAGACAGGGAATAGTAATAACGAAGAACAATATAGTTTCATTGGAAATTACAAGTCACAAGGAGTGGATGCATCTGCGCCAGCCATTGAGAACCATTCGGGGCCATATCACCAATTGTTTCCAGCCAATGCTTTCTACTGTCCTCACCTAGCAGACAGGACTATATCATCTACATATTCTAAGTCAACGAGATCATTCCCTGATGGTAACAAGTCGATCCCTGAGTCTCTGAAGTGAGTTAGGGTTAAGTCCATTACTACATCTATGATGAAATCAGATAGGAACGGGGATAGTGGGCATTCCTGACAGACACCACTGGTTGTCACCACTTCAGACGACAACTCGCCGTATGCTATTACCTGGCTGACTGCATGAGTTCAAGTAGAAAGAGAGCCTCGATCGGTGCGATGCACGTCTTTGGCACTCCACTCACAGCCAAGCATAGCCAGAGTACCCCTCGGTCAACAGAATCGAATACCGCCTTTAGGTCAAGAATTATAATGATTGTTGGACGCCAGTAGGAATGCCTATGTTCTAGAATCTGTCAGAGTGTGAAGATATGATCACAGTGCCTTGATGTAATCCCTTAGACGCTTACAACCAATGGCTTAAGACTGTCGGTGACATGACTCAGAATTGTTCTCAGTGACAAATGTATTCACGCATCCTGATAACCCAGATCCATCAAATATGAATTAGTCTGTGTAATTATTTCTCCAGTCATGCATTTCCGCTCATTATAGTTCCTTTGCATTATTCTTTTCGACCTTTGTGTGCTATTATGAAATGTGGAGGCCAACTTGAATTGCTGCCTCAGTTCTACATCAATTAGTTGCCTACTTTAAGCACTCTCACATCCGTATTCTTATTGGTTAAATACATGTTGATTTCTAAGAAAAATTTTCGTTTGACTTACTACATAAAGAAGTTGAGAATTTCCGGCATAACTTAACCTCTTCCCTAACATTTTTTAAATTCAGGTATTTTTCCCATTCTCGTTTATTGTTCGCCCCACTCGTTCTTCCCTGGACTTCTCAAAAAAGACGTCATATCACGTAGAGCACTGAAGACCATAAAAGTAAGGTTAGTAATGTGCTTCTGATTCAACTGATAGACATTATTGTCAATAGGCAGTCAAATTCTTGCAAGCATTTGGCTAAAGTTATCTTGTCTGATACTGAACATCCTCTTTATTCTCAACTTTTGCCCTGTATATCTTCGGGTGAAACCAGAAGCAACTCCATAAGAATTTATGCTCGTACAGCTACTAAATACAAAAATTCTACTATACCACCATATTTAGCACGGGTTTAAAGTGAAGAGAGAGTCAGATGTCAGAAAAGAAATTATAAACTTTTTAAATCAGTAGATAAACTACAAAGTATGAGCAGAGATTATTATTACATGTATTATCTGTGATACTATCTGCTTATACTTCATTGTTTCCACCAACATTCTATTTATAGTAGTTCCACTATTAATATTATTATTACTATTCTAAATATTACGTATTTCCATATTTATGAAAGGAGTTACATTGTTAAAATATCTATAAAAACTCTGAAAATTCCATTCTGTAAAATTATTATTGTTGTTTGGAATAAAGTGATTAATACTACTTCTACTACAATTAATAACAATAATAGTAATAATAATAATAATCATAGGAAACCGATATTCTCAAAAGCACTGATTCTGCTAGAATATTATAATCACAACAACTTGTATTAGACCTCTCTCTGTTTTCCTATCAAGGCTTTTGCACTTCCCACCTTCCGTACCTTCCTCAAAAGCTAAATGCTGATCAGTGGAGTCCACCACCAAGTAGTCTGGTGTGTGGAGACATATTCGTCGATGAGACTGGCTGGCGATTGAGCTACGCGTGTGGAAAACAAACAACAGAAGTCAGAATTCAGTGGACCACTGGATTCCCTGCCAGTATTATCCAATGCTCCCTTATTTTCAATGACTGATTTTAACTTTAATCACACAAAAGAACATTTTACATCACCAAACATTTTGGTAATCTGGATCTATCTCATCACAAATTTTATCGAATAACTAACTAATCAACGAACATTGCAAGAAATTTCTGGATGAAAAAGCGAGTGGCTATGGCTTTTTTTAAACTCACTCTAAGCCAGCAGAAGTCATTAATTCTGGTTTTAAGGCTGTATAATTATCCCATATAAAATCTCGACATTCAAACCAAACAGGATCAGTAAAAAATAATGTGAACCATTGGAAGCAGATATCACGATCCACTGGTAATACAATATGATTCCGAAACTTTGACAAGAGACTATTATTCTGTAAAACAAAATCTGGTCGAAACACTGGTTGAAACATTGAATCCCATATCTGTTGTAACATATCTATTGTGAATAATGAATTACACTGGAATATTAAATAACGAATGAGTTTCAATAGTTCTTTAACTTTGATCAAATGTCCATTAACTTTTTTTCTTTTTGGAGAAGAAGCATGAATTGGAATTGCATTGCCCATGGAACGGTTAGCTGAGAAATAAGAACAAATGAAACATACTGAACAATATATATATATATATATATATATATATATATATATATAAGAGCGTATTGCTTAAACCGGAATGAAATGGGACTTGAAACAGAGTTCTGTCGTCTTTTAGAAGGTCGTCAAGTGCTCATTTATCACATTACTTATGCGAATCTGTTCTCTTTGCATTGCAGAACACTTAAATTGCTTTCTCAGATGGTCACTTTCCGAATTTTTCAGTTATCATGATAAGGAGGGTAGGAAATACCTGACTAAAAATCACTGAAACAGTTAATTAGCTGAAGTCAGCAACAAGTTGTTAGTCAAAAAGAAATATAATTTTGAGGTATATGAGGGGGGGGGGGACATAATTACGGAATTCAAGATCAGTAAACTTGTAGCAACACGTTATTGCATAATCTATAATTTGTAAAACAATGGTGACTGGGGAGGCCAACACGTGGATTACATAGGAATACCAGGATAAAGATAAGTTAACTGAATTAGGTAGAATAGTAATTGTATTAAAATAACAAAGTCGAATGATAGCTACAAAGATAGGGGGAATACATTCATACTTTTTTTTATTTATTTATTACTTTTGATTACAGCTTGATGCCACACCATATTTTCAGTACAAGTATGGAATTTTCAGCATGGATATCGGTAGCCCAAATTTTGCAGGCGGGCCATAGATATCGGGTGTGCGTCGGCAGGGGATCGAACCCCGGACCATGTGCATGGTCGGCGAGAATCCTAACCACTGTGCCACTAACGTAGAGGGTGACAGCACAGACAGAAGCTGCACAAATTTCTTTGAACACGCAGGTTTGGCTTGTTCAGATGAATTCCGATTGCTTCTGTTGTGTGTAAAAGTCTTACTCGTAGAGCATCCGACGGGCTAGGTGAATTGACACAAAAAACGTAGAGAAGACATGTCCTCTCCATGTTGTCATAAAGTCCTGTCTTCTTTGCCTCTCCCGTCAACTTGTAGGTTTCCGCTTATAAGTCGTCGGATTTGTGCGGCACGAGGAATAATTCATCCCTGAGACAAAGATCTTCTACAATCTTCCCAGCGATCCAACGTATTTCTGTCATCCCACCCTTAAGGCACAGTCTGCCGAATGGTCCAGTCCACCAACATCCGGAATATCATCGGTAATAGTAGACAGCTTTGTCTTACTCCTGTCTCCGCTGCAAAGGTTTTACTGAGTTTTCCATTGTGAACTACTTGGCATATAGCATCATTATATAGACGTTGGATGAGGTTGATAAGGGTTTGTGGTACTCTGTAGTGTTCGAGTAGCTTACAAATTACTTCTTGGTCAACAGGGTCGAAGGTGTTTCCAAAGTCGATAAATTTAAGGTGGAGATTGGGCCACCATTCTGTGCTCTGCTCGACGATGATACGTTGCGTTGCAATTTGATTAGAGCATGATTTTCCTTTTTTGGAATCCAGCTTGTTCTGGACGGAGATTTGCATCCAGACCATCTTCTAGTCTCACAAAGATGACATGATTTAATATTTTGCTTGGTGTGGACAGCAGCATGATTTAACTCTCACTTTTGCAGTGACCTAAGTCACCTTTCTTTTGTAGTTTGACGAGGTAGCCTATCCACCAATAAGTAGGTACCTTCCCTTCCTTTCAAACTTCCTGCAATAGTGGAGTGAGCATGTGTGTTGAGGTCTCTGGATCTGTTTTCAGTGCTTCTGGGAGAATTTCCTCTGGTCATAATGCTTTCCGGCTTTCACTGACTCTAAGACATTCGAGGCTCCTGGTTTTGTCGGGGGATTGAGGTTCACTGGCATGGCTGGGCTTATTAATCGAATCATCTGCTACCTCTATGCCAGGAATGGCATGCTCTGGCTTCAGTCCACTGAATGCCATGTTGAAGCTTAATCCTTTCCCCATCACTTTCACCTTACCAAAGCTTAGTTCTCTTGTTGAGAGGTTGATCACCCACCTGGTTCTTTCAACAGTCAATGAAAATTCGTCATCAACTTTCTCATTTTCTGAGCTACTCTTTTCTTCCATCACTTGTTTGAGTTTCTTAATTTGCGAGTTTCTTGATGTAAATGTGGAACTTATGATTATTACTTTTCCCTTGGGTTCCTAGTGGAACATAGGGCTTCAACTGCACGTCTCCACTTGCTTCTGTCTTCTGCTGTACTTTTTACCTGCATCCATGTAAGTCTATACTGTTTCAACTCCTCTGCACATGATCTCCTCCATGTCACCCTCGCACCGACGACCCAGCAACAACAACAGGCACCAATCACCATCAATGGAGAGATTTAACAAAGGTAACCTCCTTCACTTATCCGGTTGGGAAGCATCGTTCCAACTACAGGAATTCGGGACGGATGAAGATGTCAAAGCTAACCAGTCAGAGTCGGAAAGGCAAGATACGCCTTCATCAACCTGAAACCAGTTTGGAAATCTTCTGCACAGTGCTCAGCATAAAGAACAAGTTTCGGATTTTCAACACCAATGTAAAGTCAATTCTTCTATACGGGTCAGAAACTTGGCCAGTGTATCATGAAAAGCATTTCCAACAGTTTGCGGACTTTTGTCAACAGCTGCCAACTTCTCTGGCTCCATACTGAGGATCAAATGGCCAGCCAGCCAGAAAGAATTAGTAACAAGAAACTCTGGCTAGCTGGGAACAAATCAGCCAAGAGCCGATTGCTCAACAGATATGTGGGTGAAAATGGAGATGGATCGAGCACACATTAAGGAGGCCGACGACTTTCACCGCATGCAATGCTGGCCATCGCTCGAGTGGAATCCCAATAGGAAGCAACGAGTGGGTCGTCGGTGCAAGGGTGACATGGAGGAGATCGTTTGAGAAAGAGATGAGAGTTTGGTCAGTCATGGAGCGAGCCAGCTGAAGAGGGCGGCAGAGAATAGAAGAAAGCGGAGATGTGTTGTCTAAACCCTATGTTCCACTTGGAACGCAAGGGAGTAACAGTAATAATATGTATACTGCTTATGAATACACAAACGAAGCATTATTCAGGTGATTAAATAAGGAACGCATCTTTCACTAATAAATAAGTTACATATTTTGCTAAGGCGTGAAGAAAATATAAACCTGATACTGAGGGCAGCAATAGTCTTGCAAAAGCGCGCTGATTTCTCGTTAAAATAAATGCGTAAAATACCCAGTCAGTGGGTGATACCAATCATTATATACAAAATGGCTTACATGAAGTTATTGACACGAAACGTTCTTCATGCAGTGACCACATTATTTGAATAATACAATCAACAGTAGCCTGTAGAATACGATGTTGTTGACATAAATTTCTGACTACTATATTCGCTGTACCCTATAAGAATATTAGGAGAGTGAGAATGCAGAGAAAATAAAGTTATGAAAATGCAAATGAATGAACTGCGTCGAAATGGTGTCTACAATATCTTTGATTAAAACTGATCGAGATTTATATGTTGGGAAATATAGTCGACCAGAAGAATTAAATTTGCAAATCTTCTTGATTTTTGTTAAGTAGCTGATCAGAATTCGGGTGGTTTGAACTGAATCGGTTCTTTTACATGATGAGTCAATCCACGAACACCTATGACCATACCAGACCCAAACCGCCGTCAGGTATTTAGATCACACTTCAATGGTCTAACTGGCAAGCACTACTGGTTGACGCGAGAGTTTTTCAAGCAATAATATCAGTCAGTATTATACACCATTATGCTATAGGGTCCCTTAAAATTCGAATCAATGAGATAAAATGTTACGCTTATTTAATCAAAAATATCTGCCTGGTACAACACTTGACTAAATCGTACGCTGATCAAGCTTTATGAAAAATTGATCAGACTTCATCCGGAAACCAATAGAGTACTGCTGCTACTACTCCTGCGAACAAAACTATTTCCGTCATGTCCCGTGAATTTGGCTTTACTTACTTTTAATAACCACGATAACACAATACACACCTAATAACTAAAAACCGTAGTTAAAAAACATTTAATTCAAGTTAGCATAAGTTGAAGGTTATTCAAGATACCGCAGAAATTTCGAGACTAAGTAGCAATTTGAAGTCAATTAGTGGATGATGACTGACTAGCACATTTCGTTCTATTTGGGAATTGTCAGCTGGACGTACCTGCATTTCCCAGTGAGTGATGTTGTGTTCCCACCGGGGCTCAAACCCAGTACCAATAGTTACAAACGCCAAAACGTTATCCACTAGACCACTTGGTCCATGAGACGAGAAAATCTAAAGTAAAATTAAATAATTAATAAGACCCGTTGTACATGAAGTGGCCCTCGTGACCCAAATGGTCTAGTGGGTAACGTTTTGGCGGTTGAAACTATAGGCACTGGGTTTAAGCCCCAGTGGGAACGCACTACCACTCAGTGGGAAATGCAGGTACATCTGGCTGACAAGTCCCCAATACGACGAAATGCGCATCCTGGATTCCACTGTTAGTCAGTCACCATCCACTAATTGATTTCAAGCTACAAGACCAAACACCGTCGAAGCATTTGCACAAGTAGGCTATATGTCAACCTGAGACCGAGCACTTTGGTCCAATCAATCGACGGGAAAATCTAAGTTGAATTAAATGATAATTAAATTTACAACTTTCCCAGGTGGTAGTTCGCTGCTAAAGCCAATGAACCAGACTTATACCAAAGATCTGAATTTACGTAAATAATTTTTCAAACGACGCATTGTAGGAATCTGACTAATTTCAAGGCCGTTCTAGTCAAGAATCGATATTGAATTGAAGAAGCGTTGAAAAACTAGGAATAACTGGTTAGCTACTCTGTCCTAGTTTGAGACTATTCATCAGTACAAAAACCCAGGACCTTTAGATTAGAAAGGCGGACCAATTGACCACCTAACCATTGAATTGAAATCCAATGAACTGTAAAATCAATAGTTTTGCCTTGTAGTTTCAATGTCTTAAGTTCGTTTCCTGATGAATTCATGGATGCGCCATGGATTTCCATGGCTCCCTCCCTGATTAATGTCAATTTTTTTTTATTCGACGAAATCGAAAAAGCAATGGAGAGGAGTCAAATTGATATAATATAAAGCATTATTATAACCTTTAAAAAAACATGATTACCATATTAAAGAGATTAGCGATTTCCGTGAACTGTTTAGCAGCTGGCAATAAACATGCTTCATTCGGTCCACTTTTTAAAATATTAGCCAACTTATCCAACCAGCCAATTCGAAGTTGATAAACGAAAGACTAATAATAAGGAAAATAACATGAACAATAAAATATATGACTGAGTTTCAACATAAAATTTTTCATAAAAGTGTACACCAGTTCAAGTTGACACACTCGATTTAGCACACAAAGTAAACAAAAATAGAGAAAACAAAAGAGGATTTAAAATGACTGTAATAATAAACAGAAAAATAAGGGAAAAGCAATAGTAACATGAAGAGACATCAGGGTTTAATCGGTATGGGAGGAATTAAAAAGGAGTCAATACATCTGCGCCAGCCACTGCATTGAGAACGATTTTGAGGCATATCAACAATTGTCTCCAGTCATCACTGGTTTTCGGCATCTCGAGGACCCCAACCAGCAGTCTACACCTCCCTAAGTGGCTAAAACTAGCTGCTGTTATGGATCGCATTGACTGATGAGGCCATGTTTTCATTTGACCACCATTAGCTCTTTTCTAAACTAAACCTATATCAGCCAAACATTGCCAGTTGAGGAAGGTGATGCTTAGGTATGTGTAACACATGTCCTAGCCATCTCCATCAATGCAGCTGAACAAACTCATCGATCGACTTCCCCTCCTTACCTAACACTGGACACCTAACCTCAATATTACTCACTGTATTACACTACCTAACACTGGAGATAGAACTAAGGTGCCTATGATCAAAGACAACTAACCTTTTCATGTCTTCCATTTTCAAAGTCTATGTGCTGTGCAGTACTTATATGCTTTGGTCGATAACCGGATATCACGCCTACTCCAGAGATGACATGAGTTGGTGAATGCCACATAAGCGTCTTGGGCCAGTGTTGAGTAAAATGACTGCATGAGTGTTTTCCTTTTCGAAGTAAACTAAATAGCTTTTGATAGAACTCATCATTTACTTCATCCGAACTGCAGTCAGTTGGGGTGTAAGTGGAGACTATGAAAAGACATCGACGGATATCACAGTCTTTCCTTATTCCAACGAATCTGTACAGACGGACTACAGACGTACGATTACCCCATGAGATTCACTTCAATAAGGATTTTTGTGCTCTAGCAGCCAGTGCTATCCCTACACTTGCAATTCCTCGCGAACAAGTCAAGGAATCTCCTGACAACCTTCAGGTGAATTTGCCGATTCACCTTGTTGACCGGGTGGGGCTGGGTTAAGTGAATAACCACGCTCGGGTTTTGTATGCGTGTTCCTTTGAAACAAAACAAGCATACATCGCTCGAGATGCCAGAGTTCTGGTTAGTCATGCCTGTTGTCCAATTTGGCAGAGGGTCCTGACGTTAAGTGCTCTAATATGCAGTTGGCGGTGAGGGTCTAAGAGAATATCGGTAGGGTTTTTCTGCCTCTCATCATCATCGATCACAGAGTAAAGAGAAGGGACCCGTGCGTGGATTAGTATTAACAGTATGAGAAAATCACGATGGTGGTGACGCAAACAAAGGTGGGTAATGATCAGGATAGCTTTGTATGCTTATGGAAGTGTGGAAGATAGTTGTTTCCCGGCTGCCAGCGCTGTGGAAGCTGATTTTTCCTCGGAATACCTGAAACATAAAAGGGTATTAGTACTGCTGGCAACCGCTTGAGGCCGGTCACACATGGTCTGCTGGAAGTGGTTTTGGAAGTGCGTCAGTACTAAGATCTTACCGCCGGCTACGGATCGCCATAAGGTAGGTACGACTTTCTAACCACCCTCTAACAAGAGCAGAGGCATAATAGCTGGTCATCTGAAGGAAACACCTTACTGTCGTTGCATCCGTATTCGGTAGAAGTACAACTTTACCCACAGATAGACCCCTAGCATAGTTTAAACATTTTACACCATCTCAGTAACTGCTTTTAATCTATGGAATTGCTATCCTAACAACTTTTCTATCATAGAAAGACCTCTAGGAACATTAACTCCAGCCAGTGTAGCGATATGCAAGCTCGACCACCACGTCAAGGTAGCGGCTATATATTGTTTGATAATCCCTGTATTCATGGCTGTGACCACAACAGTCCCCTCAGATTTTGACTACATGACGCATTATAATAGCATGTTGACGTCTCCCAATGGAGATCACGATAGAAGTTTGACTGTAGTGACTCCAACTGGTGTACATCGGTGCAAAGTTCTATGTTGAAACCAGTCAGTCATAATAATGATGTATGTGCGTATGTGTTGGTATCGCAACAGAAAGTTCAACGCAAAATATATATATATATATACTGCTTGAAGCTTCAAATTAATGCATAATATACCTGTCCATCAATTGAAAGACTGATTACACAAAAACGGAAGTAAAAGGAACCAGAAGTTGTAATCGATAGACTGAAAAATGATGTTAAATCTCATCCTAAAAATGATGACAAGTTAAACAAGTAAGATATCGTTATGATTTTTGAGGGGACTTTTGTAGTCGCTACAGTATATCTTTATTTGATGTGATATCTTCAAAAGTGAAGAAAAAATAACAAGGTTAGCTAGTGTAGTAGACTGTTCCTTAAGAATGGATGGTCTCGTCGAAAGACTGATTGCCCACCAGTAATTGAATGAATCGAGAGAAAACAAGGTAATACAATTTTGTAACGAAAATGCTGTTGTAAAAAATTATTCCTCCACCACCGTTATCTAAGCAAGTGTACTCTAATTAAATACAAACATTTGAGATGCCTTTGAAATTAATTATTTTAATGGTACAGACACATTGCTTCATTTTTCACCTGAATGGCGGTGGTGGTTGTGGAACTAAAAATGTTTTATATCCCATGTGTGACTCTATGCAGTTATCTTGAATATAAACAAGCTTACACTTGTTGAACAGGATAGTGTTACTTTGTCCACTTGTCGTTTGAAAGGTGTAAAGCGTTGTTGTTAAACGCTTGGAGATAGTCGGCAGGAAGTCGTGCCTGACATCGGTTTCGTGCTCGTCACCAGTCATCAGCAAGGCAAGGTGACTACGCCGAAGTAGGAGGAGTGGAATGTAAAAATCCGGAACCTGTTACCTAAAAAGTCAAGTGTTTAAGCTGATATATATATATATATATATATACCGAGCTGAACCTTTGAAGTAAAGACAAAATAAATACCGAGCTGTCCACTGTTACATATGATTTTCCTGACTATGTTGCAGTGGAAAATTCGATAGGCTGTGGAGAGTGAGAAGGCAGCCAAACGTTAAACAGACATCAAAAAACTACAAAATCTGGGTTTCATGAGCGATTTATTTGTCGTGTCACACAAACTGGACAATTTACAAGCGAAAACAAACAAGTTGGAAGGAAGGGGCAACGAAGGTTGTACTTTACGTCAACTCATGGTGGCGGTGGATTCAACATAGAACTTGGCACCGAAGTGCAGCAGTTCGAGTTGCCACGTTCCAAATAGCACACAAAGGTAGACAGGAAAATGAGAGAAGAGAATCAATAGAATTTAGATAATTATCAGAGTGAAACAAAATGAGTAATGGTCGAAAGGAATATAAAAGATTACAGAGACGGAATACATCTGCGCCATTGACAACGATTTTGAGCCATGTCACCTATTGTCTCCAGCCATTGATTCTTAGAGTCCCGAGGGCCCCAACCCGGAAATCTGCATCTCCCTACCTGACTCAGTTTAACTGTCAAGGATTTCATGGATTGATGCCATGTTTTTGTTTGGCCACCACTTACTCTTTTCCAACCTGCACCTATATCAGCTAGTAAATGCCCGTCGAGGGAGACGATGGTTAGGCATGCGCAGCACGTGACCTAACCATCTCAATCTATGTAACTTCATAGCCTCTTCGAGTGATTTTCCCTCTCTGCCCAACACTCTACGCCTAACGTCAACATTACTTACCTTATTATACCACATCTGTGGTCAAAAACAGACAATCTCTTCATGTCTTCCGCTCTCAATGGCCACGTCTCACCGCCATAGAGAAGGACGGAGCGAACTGATGAGCAGTATACACGTCCCTTGGTTGACAGCCGGATGTCACGCCTACGCCAGAGATGGTGTAAGTTAGCGAAAGCAGCCCGAGCTTTCTGGATCCGTGCTGTGATTTCGTCACCAATCAATCCGTTGGTGCTGATACAACTTCCCAAATAGGTGAAGTCAACATGTTCTATCACTTCACTCCCTATCACTAAGCTAGGAGTTGACGTAGTCCAGTCCTGTAGCAGCATCTTACATTTCACAGGGGCGAATCGCATGCCAAACATACGAAGATTGCTGCTCAAGGTGTTCAGAAGACTCTGCATTCTGTCAGCGTCCTCCCCTAACAGGACTATGTCGTCTGCGTATTCTAAGTCTATAAGACTATTCCCTGGTAACAGGTCGATTCCTACGTCGTTAAGTTCAGTTAAGGATACTTCCGTTAGCATATCTATGATGAAGTTAAACAGAAAAGGGGAAAGTGGACATCCTTGACGGACACGACTGGTTGTTATCAATTCAGATGACAATTCCCCATAAGCCCTTACACAGCTACGTGAGTTTGAGTAGAGTGCCTTGATTAGTGCAATGTACTTTCTTGGCACTTCCTTCATAGTCAAACATTGCCATAGTACCTCTCGATCCACGGAGTCGAAGGCCGCCTTCAAGTCAAGAAATATGGCCATTGTTGGACGCCGAAGTGTGTCTATGTTCTAGTATCTGTCGGAGAGTGAAGATATGATCTATGCACCCTCTACCCGGTCTAAAGCCTGTTTGATTTTCCCTCGTTTGTTCCTCCCGAGTTCGGCTTAGTCTGTGCATGATTACTGAGCCTAGGATTTTAGAGACTATGTTCGTCAGGCTGATTCCCCTATGATTATCACATGAGGACTTGTCTGCCTTTTTGAATACTGGTATAATAAGTGATTTACCCCAGTCTGATGGAACTGTCTCTGATTCCCAGACGTTACTTAGTACCTTAGTTAAACTATATACTAGTGTGTCACCCCCATATTTAAACACCTCCGGAATAATTCCGTCGGTCCTGCCGCTTTGCCTCGTTTCAAATTACAGATAGCTTTGGTGACCTCACTTACAGACGGCGGGCCAGTGTCTATATCCCATTCGGGTGTGTGCTGGATGGCGGGGAGGCTCAGTGTGGCTGATACAGAAAATAAAAGTGAAGATACCTGACCAACAACACCAAACGCCAATCATCATAAATGGAAGAAATGTCTAAGCAAAGTCGTCTCTTTTTCATTTACCTGGACCATCAACTTTTCAACTGCAGACAGCAAAACAAGCGTTCATTACTTAATGGGGATCTAAAGTATTCAGAATATGGCACCAAGATCCAAATTTTCAATGCAAGTGTTAAGTCAGTCAGTGCCTCTATTCATACTTTTCATAGATTTGGCTCTCACATCATCGAAAGCATTTCCAACAGGCTGAGAATTTTTACCAACAGCTGTATTGACTCGATACTGAAGATCAAATGATCAGAAAGGATAAGCATTAAGGAACCAACACTGACAAGACACTACTGAATAACCAAGAAATATGCAGAAGGTAATAGAAATGGATAGATTGAATATACGCTGAGGAGATCGTTGGAGTGGCACCACACACACACGCTAGGCAGGTAGTCATCGAGAAAAATGCAAATAAGAAGCAACACATCGAGGGGGGGTTAAGTCTGATAGTGATATGAATCAGATGCTATAAAGAGGAAATAAATGCTTTTAAAGACAGTTGTAGAGCCAAGTGAAAGTAATAATCATGATACCAGGGAAGCAGATTGTATAAAAATACTGTATAATTAAAAAAATGCGAACCAAAACATAAGAAGAAGAAAAAGCAGAAAAAGAATCAAAACATATTAGTTGAACTAACTTACTTTATCACTACAGCTAAGAATTTTTGTATGCGCTTTTAATGCAATATTATTTATAATATCGTCATCATCATCATCATTGTTACTAGAAGAGAGTTGTACGTTTCCACTAACGTAACCACCACCACCACCATCAGTAGCAGCATAACTAGTAGTAATAATACTAGTAGACCATTCCCATAATAGATCAAGTATTTTTTGCATCATTATACCATCTTTATCTTGTTCAGCTAGTGTTGAAATCAAATTGATTAAACATTCACGTTGACGTTTTGTAGCTTTATTCCAACTTTTCTATAAACAAGAACAGTAGATATTATGTTCTTACTATACACACAAACAAGAGAAAGCAGTCATTTTAGCTTTCCATAATAATAATGAGTTTTCCCAACATTATATAAACCTAACAGACAACGCATATATATATATATATATATATATGTCTTACTGCCTTCCTACTATTTTCTTTACCGCGATTTCTCATATATATGCGGGATTGATGTTGTTTCATTCTTAAATACATGTGTCACCTCAGATTCCGTGTGGTCAACCTCCTTCCATCATCCTAACACCAGCCCGCTGTGTCATTTCGTTTATCTGATTCTAGTGAAGAATAAGATTGCTGTTAGAATATTTTGAAATCCTAATATTTTTTGCGTGCGTTGAAGTTTCTCTAGCAGTTTGATAGCTTTTGTGAGGTAGGGTCGCTAGCCCCAAGCCCAACCCTCCCCCTTTACCTGGGCTTGGGACCGGCTAGAAAACTAGCAAGCTAGTTAACTAGGTGGAGTTGTGATTTCTATTGAATCCTCATCGTTTTACATGTAATTAAAACTTCTCCTGCACATTCCCGTTTATTACAGTCTCTACACTTCTTTCATTCCCTATTTATATTTGTGCGTGGTATTATAAGGGGTGACAACGAGAAACTGTTTCACTTTCATGTGATGTTCTAATTCGAAAATTCACTTCGAAGATAAAATAGTATTCAGCGGAGTGTGTATAAGTCTCTAGAAACCTCGTGTCACCTAATATCGATCACCGATATCAACTGACTGATTTTCTAAGAAGAAAAAAGGAAAAGGGAAGCGCGCCCATGTGAATATTAAAAACAGCGAATACTAATAATAATACAACAATAAAACAAAGAAAAGCATATTACCTTGAAACGATTGAACAAATAATTCAATTGATCCACTGAAAATTCTAAAGCTAAATGTGTCAGCATATTGAATACATTCTTAACTATTGTTTCATGTTTATCAATCTGAGATTCCCAGATTGTGTCTAAATCACTGGATGTGAGTAAAGATTTTCTAATCATAAAGCGTATAACTTCTTCAACTTTCTCAACATATTGTGGTTGATGTAAATTTTCACCAAGTAACAACTTTAATAACTGAAATTCGGAAAAGAAACGAAGTGAAACACCAACACACGATGAGAGATACTCAGATTTCCCCAATATCTCATATTGTTATGATTAAATTACTACTAATTGACTTCATTTACACCTTGGAACATCCCACATACACAAGTGCAATAAAGTTTACACTGCCATATTTTATAATATAGCGTTCAAATGCAGTAGAGAAAAAAAATTTCAAAGAAAGTATACAACAGTATACATGGCTGGTTCAAACCTACAATCTTCAAAGACTTTTTGAATTGGTCCAGGTTTTGATTTGAACAACTCTAACAATGATCGACAAGAAAGACAATGACTTGGAATGAATAATATACATTCAGATATCTCAATCGACTCACCCTCACAGCCTGATCGTTTAACTTACACTCCTATATGCAAGCTGAACTCTTGTTGCTTGATAATTCTTCAATATATATATATATATATATATATATATATATATATATATATATATATATATATATATATATATATAGTATTCTGTTGCTAATCCAGTACTGAACTGGAGGAATATGTGAAAATAATAATACGTTGAAACACGTGTCACAACACAACATAGTAACTGGGAGACATTCTTACAACACAATGTGACAACTATATAAGCATAATATCATATTTGGAATGCTTTTTAGTGCATTTTTCAACGATTATGCGTCTTTTTTCCATCTGGATACTCATTGGCTGTCCACTGTCACCGTGGTTTTGGTTATGATAGATCAACTTTTGCCCACTAACAGAAAAATAAAAAACGCATATTGTAAATATTTGTTGCTTTATAACTTCTGAAAAATTTGTGGTAGGTTTTTCTCATGGACCGGCATTATTTCAGAGAACTACTGGAAACCACAGAGCACTGATCAGCTATTTCATCCATATTTTTACCTCATTGACATTGTACACCAACAATTCGACCAAGGATTGAACTCAAAGCAGGCTTCAGGTGAAAAGGTAAGCCTGTTGAGCATAATAGTCACAGAGTGTGGAGTCCAATCACTCTTGAATTCTAACTTCAGTCGACTTGCGTTCTTTTTGTTTCCAGTATTTCTTCAACTGAGATGTCGATTCATGACGACGGCAACATTCACACAATAAAGTCAACCAAAATTATATAAATTCAGTTGAGAAAGAGTGAAGAGAAAATTAATAGAATCCTGCTGAAAGCGTGCACGACTGTTTGTTTCTTTTTTGTTTTTCTACCTCCTTAAAATCAATTTCCAAAAAAAAGGAAAGTAGAACATCATGTTTCATTTAGTCGACTGTAACACTACCAGTGGAGTTCACGCCACAAGTTCCATTCTAGTCAGGACTCGTCAAAAGAGTGTGCCTGTGTATCCCCTGGTGATGGGTGATGATGTTCTCTCACTTAAACAAGAGCCTAGAATAAATCATTTTGAAACGTCAGGTCATTGAAGCAACCATCAAATCAGCACCAACCAGGTAAGCATTTCTAATCAATAATATCAATGAGAAACTAAACAACAAGAAATACAATTCTAGCTAATTTTCTTAACTTGTTTGTATTTTACGTAACTCTTCTGAGTCATCCTATTCGTCTTAGTCATCAATGCTATTTTACAAATTTCTTGATTATGTAATAACTTGTTGCCAATGACTAAAAATCAATTTATCTTGAATTCCGTAATTAATTTTCACCTCTCTTTTAAAACTTGTTACTATTAGTTATTTGCTTTGATGACTTTTAACCTCTTACTTTCGCCCCCACCTGTACCTAAAATTGACTAATTAAAATAACCACTTGATCGGTAAGAAATTTGATGTAAAAAAATACATATTAGTGTAGAGCCTATGATGAGGAACCAATTGAAGAGGGATATAATTTCTTCGCTCAATCTGTTGTTTTTTCTAAATGCGTAAATGGTAATTTGGAAAACACAAAATAACTGAATGATGTACTTTGGCAAGTGTTAGTTTAAAGGGTTATTGATAAGTATAACACTTGGGTACTACTAGGGAGCTTATCAACTAACTCACACGACTTTGTCCAACAGAAGCAAGATTCACAAACCATCGAATTTTCAAAGTCGATGTTTAAAAAGCGATATAATTTCTAAATACTTACATCTACGTACTCCAATTACTTCAAGGGAAATATCAGCAGCAGCGGAACATTTCAGCAAATTGTCTTAAAGAAGAACTACATAGAATTATTATAAAGCTAAAGAATACATGAAATGAAATTGAAGAACTCAAACACAAACTTAAATGTATGCTAAATGATCAGTTTAAAGGGATAGGCTTACACACATCAATTAGAGAATCATAGAATCACAGGTGCCTAATGCTGAAGAGTCACAAAGAAGGCGGAAAAAAACAGTTTCCGATGGTTCTCTCTAATTGAGATGTTACTTAGTGACCAAGCTAAAATCATCGTTAAAACATGATGACACATACAACAAACTTATTTATTATTATTTCACCTTGTTGTCTTTAATCCATTGACCAATTCCTAATGAATTATTATCGCATACAGATAATAAACGGATTAATTCATTTAATGTATTCATTTTCCCACTGAACGAAGACAACTGTAAAAAAGAAATAGAAACAACAAAAGTAGTAATTATTATTGTAATATGATGTGGTGTAGTGACTGATGAATGTTGAAATATGAAAATCTTGGTTGCAGTAAGGACTCTTCAACCAGTGATGATTGAACAGTACTTGTCAGGAGTTATACTAAGACAAGCTATGAAGAGACCTATTTACTTTGCTAAACAATCAGGCCGTCACTTTTCATTGCAGTCGCTGAGCGTAATGCCGTGGCTGTTATATGTAAATGAATGATACTACGAAGTTACTGTCCGTTCACAATATTCATCACACTAGCTGCCCCACATACGTCTTCCTCCTGTCAATTTTAATCGCATACTAAATTAGATAGAAAAAGAGAATCAGACTGTTAATTTATAATAAGACTGTCTGAGATAGTCCTTGGTTTTGCAGACTATTGCTGACGCAGTCGGTGTTGACGATGATGATTGTAGGTGAAATTTTAAAAAATTTAGATCGCAGCAGATTCTGAATTAGTTCAAAGATTTATCAGCTGAGTTAGGAGACTTGGATGCTAATCACGTCGTGATTTCACTGCAATCCCATTCACTAGGAATGAATACGCTTACGACAAATATGGGTAGCACGGATAAGGATATCAAAGTTAAACAAGAAGAATCGGGAAAGCAAGATAGTCATCATTACTGTGAAATCAGTCTGTAAATCCATAGCATTCAGTACAAGGAAACCGATCCAGTCAGTGCTTCGACATAGTTCATAGACTTGACACACATATCACAGAAATCACTGAAAGTTTTCATTAACACCTGTACTGTCTGCTTCGATACTGAAGATCACATGGTCAGACAGGAAAAATAAGCAATTAACAAGGATATCTGGCAGGCAGACAAACAGTCAACAATCTACTACCCAATCAATCAATAAATATACAAAAGGAAATGGATATGAACGTATTTGAAATATATGAATAATTCCCATCCAGACATTAATGAAAACAAAACACGTAGTTCAGGGAAGAGTCTCTTTTCGGCGAATTCATTTTCTTAGCTGTACAGTGGCAAATATATATGTTATTTTGTATGTATGTGTACACTAAGTTTGTCGAACAAAAATACAATTGGTTATGGTTATGTTAACTAAACAGGTGAGAACTAGAAAGTTTTGGGTGGGGTTACGTAATACAAAAACGGTCAAGAAAATTGGGTGTTAATGAAACTAGTGAAGTAACAAAGTTAGGTGATGAGTTGTCATAAACAGTTGTTAAAGAGGAGTCACGTAATGATATGAATAGTTTGATGATTGAGTTTTATTCAGGATGCACATATGAACAAAGTAGAGAATACGAAATTACGTAAGAGTTCTAAATGAATGCGGGAATTGTAAGCAATGAAAGAAACAGGCAAACAAACAGAATAAGGTCATCAAAAATCATGATCCCACATTTTAATTTGTCTCTATGCTCAACCTAATCACAATTCACTCATTAAACTATTCATCCTATTACGTAAGTGTATCAAGGTTATTCAACTTCTTTTATGTGTTCATTAACATTAATAACTTTTTTCAGTGAAGAAAATTCTCTTTTCAAAGACATTTTCACAGTCAGGTAGGCTTGCTGACGATGAGGATCATATATGGAGAGGAGATAAAATGTCCGAAAGGAAATAAAAGCCTGTAGGCAGTTGTACAGCCAGTTGAAAATGTTGGTAGAAAAACAAGTGGAGTGGAGATGTCCTGCTGAAAGCCCGTGTTCCACTCGAAATGCACAAAATGAATACTAACAATACTAGCTACTCATAATGGTAATCCCATAAATCTTTCTTTTCCTGTCGGAAGTATTGGACTGAAAATTTAAGGTAACAGTCAATAATATTCGAAAACTATTTATTTGCAAATTACCCAGTTTGAGGTGAGAGTCTGTCACCGTTGACTTAGAGAACCAAAAATATTTAGATAACAGTGTTCGATCTTCTTCATACAATGAGTGGCAATCAAGAAAGCAAGCATAATTCCAAGATGGTATATTCTACACTACTACCGCAAGCACGTTGACTGATAGTGCTTATTATCCAGGTTAAGGTGATCTAAACACCGAACAGCTATTTCGATTATTTAGGGCTGAGGTCTTCAGTGGTAGAGCAGGTTTGATTCAGCTCAAATGGCTGAGAATCAGTCAAAAACCACCCAGATTCAAGTTACATTTCATACAAACAGACATATTTTCAACATAAGAACCAGTATTACTGATAAACGGTACACATTTTAATGTAGTTGTGTTCTCTGTGTTGGATGGTTAATTTGCGAAGATTCTATTGTCCTACTGGGCAACATCTTCAGTGCATACTTCAATTTGAGCTACAAATCTTCTCCATCACATAAAAACGGTACACAATTTGCCACATGAGGTAGAAGAATAAACTAAGGGGTGTACCAAAAATGGAAATCAAATAATCGTTTCAAAGTGATTCAGTAGGAAGATAAGATGAGTATAAGTAGCCGAAAAAAGTTGATACTGAAAACCAAATTGAAGATAAATCATTGAGTGCATTCATGTCACAACAACCGACTCAGTGAATATGAGCACCGGTAGTTACATGAACTCTACATAGGTTACCTTAAAATATTGTACGCAGCTTAAATCATCGGTCGTAGACTGACTGATGCTGTAAGGTTCATCTATTCATTTATTTTTGCCTTTTTTTTTTAACTGAATACAACTTCCATTAACAATATACTGAGGTATACGGTTCCAGCCATCCCTACTTTATTGTCGATGTTAATTTTTTTGGCATTTTATTCTTTTATGTATGTTTCGAGTAGTGGAACATACGGAGGCTTCAAGCTAGAGAGCATTGAAGTTTCGGTAGCGCAGTGGGATTTTATTTTTACGCAGTGAGGTTGCTAGCCTCATGCTTAACCATTCCTCTTTGCTGGCTGGATTCAACATAGAACTTGGCACCGAAGTGCAGCAGTTCGAGTTACCACGTTCCAAATAGCACACAAAGGTAGACAAGAAGATGGATGAGTGAAGAGAATCAATAGAGTTTTGACAAGTATAAGAGTGAAACAGAATGAGTAATGGTCGAAAGGAATATAAAAGATTACAGAGACGGAATACATCTGCGCCATTGACAACGATTTTGAGCCATGTCACCTATTGTCTCCAGCCATTGATTCTTAGAGTCCCGAGGGCCCCAACCCGGAAGTCTGCATCTCCCTACCTGACTCAGTTTAACTGTCAAGGATTTCATGGATTGATGCCATGTTTTCGTCTGGCCACCACTTGCTCTTTCCACTTTTCCCGACCGAAAGCTGCTACCTTGACGTGGTGGTCGGGCTTGAACACTGCAATGACCCAACAATCTATACTGGCTGGAACTTATGTTCCTGTAGGTCCTACCATGCCAGAAAGGCTGTCTGGATAGCGGTTAGACAAAAAGCAGTTACCCAACCCAATCCTATGACTCAAAATAAATCACAAAATATCATGCCGGATCGGTCGGGGCCCGAATTAACAACGACCGCGCTTCCTGCTGCCGTGTCACAGGGCAGAAGTGATAAATGTGCTACTGCGACACACCAAATGAAAAACAACCTTTCCTCTTTTACCCACCTTTACTACCGGCTTAGTGGGGATAAGGGATGTATCGACCGGGAATTAAACCCTGGGCGACGCGCATGATTGGCGACACAGTGTCGATGCTTAGCGGTCAATACAAGTAGATTAATGCGTTCACAGCCGCACACCACACTCTTGACTCCTAATGTGTAGTGGAATTGTCATACCCCTGTTTCACAACAAAGAGATCTGAACAGGCCTTCAATCAATGAATAAGTAGAATCGATGGACATTATCTCTCTCATGTAAAGTGAAATAATTGTCACGTTTTAATTACTTCTTTTTGTCTTACATTTCAGTCGCACTAATATTTTATTCGAGTCTAACACTCTAAAAGTTAAATTTTGACATACACAACTATTGGTATCCTCAATTGAACGGGTCCATTTGTGTCTATGTAACACAAAGTAGTCAGTCAAGTCAATTACAATATTAGTCAGTCGAATAAAGGTCACATTGACTGGTCATTAGGCAGTAATCATTGTCATGAGTCTAGTCCTTAGTGTTGATACTGAATGGGTCTTATCAACCAGCTTTACAATACAGTCGCCAAGTTACGTGATTCACCGTCACAGTGTACTTCGAATTACTCATAAGTGATTGGAAGCACGCAGCCTGAATGAAGCCATGTCCCTGGCTTTCGTTCTTCTTAGTATTCGTCAGCTAGGTGAGGCAACTGACGGCCGGTGTGGATACTGAACGTACACCACCAAGCACTGCAGTCAAAGACCACCAATGGAATCTTAGCTCTCATGACTGACATTCAGCAGATATGTTATCGCTGGGTTTCAATGTGGTATATCCATCGAACTGGTGTGAAGAGTCAATTCGACAATCGATTTGATCAACTGAAAAGCTTGAAGGCATCTTCCAATGATACTATTGGATGATTCAAATTGGAAATGAATTTGTGAGAATCAAAAGTCATAGTTGAGTACTAATCACGATGAAGAGTGTTCAAAGTACCGGGTCCCAGTGACTGAATGGTATACGAGCTTGCCTTGTAACTGGAATGTCCTGGGTTCGAACCCCAATGGGTGAGTACTGCCGATGATTCTCAAAACTAGGATGAAACAACTGTCCAGTACTCCCTGGTTTTCAATGGTCCTCCAACTGATATCAATCCTTGGTCAAACTTGTAAAAACAAATCTAATCCTTACAAAGCAACTCTTGAAAATAAATCAGACATGTTAAAATCTTTGACCTATATGCTTGATGTATGTCAAATTTATTCAGTTGCTTTTTAACGAAGTTCCCTTTTATTTTAATATCATCAAACCTATATTTTTAATAGTTGTAATAATTCTACCACAATCGCTCCTATTGTAAATGTTAATGTGCTTTGATGAATACTTATCACTTATCAAGTGGTAAAAAAATAGTTAAAATAAAAATGTTTGCAGGGTATTCGGCTGTCATACCGAAATCTATAAATCCATTGAATACTGTTGTTTTGTTGTTTTTTACACATTTGTTTTGCTTGTTTTCTAAATTCACTACGACGGACAAAATGTTTTCAATCCACTAGGAATATGACAGATACAGTGTCAATGCGGAGTAACCAATATCTTGTGCCCAATCCTTTTTGTTGATGCTGATTGAATACTATGAGTCAGGCATTAAGTGCAGATTTGTCTTGTTGACGAGTAGCAACAAGAGCGAAAGCTAGGTACACAGAGCTTTATGCTAACTACCTCCGACCACCTAACCACCAAGGCTATCTCAGATAGGCTAATGAAACACACTCGACCGATAGGTACTTTCTTGATGTTATGGTTGGGCTTGCATATCGCAATGGTCCCACTAGCTATACTAGCTAGAACCTGACATAAGGTCAGGTTGGAAAAGTGGCGGTCAAACCAAAACATGGCATCATCAGTCAACGAAATCCATAATAATTAGTTTAAGCCATGTTGGGAGGTGTTGACTTCCTATCTGGTTGAGGTCCTCAGGATGGTAAGTTTATTTATTTATTTATTTAAACGCAGAAAAACTTGGTACAATATGGCACCAAGAAAGATGCGCCACACAATAATAATAAAACATAGATTAAAAGTAAAAATATAGGTAGAAAACGAATAAAGAACATCAGGAAGGAAAACAGTTATGTTTAACAAGTTCAAACAGTATTCGTTAACTATCATCAGGAAGGGAAGAAAGAAGGAAATTGCAACACGTTCGCCATTGATTACGATTCTTGGCCATATCCGATAACGTTTCGAGCCATCGATTTGAGCTATCTCTCAGACCCCAACCAGGGAGTCGTGACACACCAACCGATGCTAATCTAGCACAAATATCCTTCATCCCACGACGCCACGTCATGGACTGACCACCCCTCCGCCTTTTCCATCCCGTCCCAGGGCTAGCGAACAGAGGCCTGTACGGAGGCCTCTGGGATGACATTCGCAGCACATGTCCAAGCCACCGGAGCTGGTGTTTCCAGATGACGACATTCAATGAATGGTGATCTCCACTGTGTTCAAACACACGCCGCCGAACCTCAGAATTACTCACGCGATGATGCCGTCGAACGCAAGCAATCCTGCGGAGACAGCGGTGATTGAACACGCAGAGTCGCCTCACATCCTCAGCTCGGAGAGGCCAGGTTTCACAGGCGTAGAGCAGCGCAGCCCGCACCGAAGCATTGTATACCCGACCTTTGACAGCCAGGCTAACGTTGCGACGGCGCCAGAGGTGGCTCAAGTTGATGTATGCCACCCTAACCTTCATTATACGGTGGGAAATCTCATCCGTCACCCCTCCACCAACACTCACACAACTACCCAGGTACACAAACTAATCAACAACTTCAAGCGGTTCACCCTCAAGAGTGGGTGCAGGTACAGGCTCCTGCCAATCTTGTAACAGTACTTTGCACTTAGACGGTGCAAAGCACATACCATACTTACAGACACTGATCGCCAACTGATTAAGTGCGATTTGGGCAGCCTGCATGCTATCGCACAGTAAGACGATATCGTCTGCAGGATGGTAAGAACCAATGACGGCTGGAGACAATTGGTGACATGGCTAAAAATCGTCGTTTTCAGTGATGGCGCAGACGTAATCACTTTTTGTGATATGTCATAACCAATAAAACTCTTGTTTTCCCATATTACTATTATTTTGCCTCACACTTCTATTTACTCTCTTTCTGTGAATCTCCCTTTACTCTTTTCTCTTATTTTTTGTGCCTACAAATAGGTAGTTTGGTACTGCTGCGCACCCATGCAAAGTTCCATGTTGAAACCAGTCAGTCTAATGAAAGCCCAATCTCATTGGCCTTAAAAACTCCTTTCCTTTGTACATTCATGACAAATGTTTTTTTAATAATTTTTATTAATCAGTCAATCAATTAATTCAATTGCTTGTAGTCTGGAAAATAAGAAGTTAGGAAGTGAATTCCCCCCACACACAGATATTGATCGGATGCTCACTGTGCATAAGCGCATAAAACTGTACTATGGACAAACTTATATCAATAAACTATTTGACAACTTTTTTAAGTTTTAGGATTCTGTTGCAAACATTTCCGCAAAAGAACACATCACTTTACTACAACTTAAAGCACGATTCACTCTATTCGAGAGATAGTGAATATAGTTACTGTGTCACCAAGATTCCCAGAATTACAAATTTGTGATTCTAAACCAGTTAAATTTCGCTTACTGATAAACCTTAATTCGACAGACTCGCTAGAACTCGATTACCCAGTTCCATAAACGACCTTGTGGGTCGACTTCAGTCTCCCTCTTGAAGAAACACTCTTATTTTGCCACGCATTGGTAAGCTGTGTCAAGTAATTCCTACTCACTGGCCTTCACGAGGACAAGGTGTCCCTCGGGCACCTAAAACAGGACTCTTGGACCTGGCTGGTCTACCTAGGAGAACTTGAAAGCCCTGATTCCAAACACCGGCTTCAAAATCCGAAAGAAAGGAATAGCGTATGAACTTATTTCGGTCGCCAGCAACCATGGGAACACAGCTCTTGGTGCTGCTCCCCAGAGGCTTTATGTCAAAAGTTCGTGTGAAGGTAATCCCTCAAGATAACCACAAGCTTCGGACTTAGCGTCTGGGAAGCATTCTTGAGCGATGTGAGTTCTGACGATACTAGCCAGTCGATCAGGCTGAAATAAGTGGAGCACGACTTGAACCCGGCATTCATCGATCAGCTGATAGTTAACTAACTAAGACGAGATGGGTCACTTCTACTCGATGGGTCCAGTATTGACAACATTAACCAGTAAAGTAAGAAAGCAATAAACAATAAGCAAGATGAACAAGATCCTCCTACCTGGAAGAAACGATAGATTAAACCATAGAATAATATTTCAGCTCGTTCAATATCTTCTTCCTTCGATGATGGCATGCGCTTTAATAGGGCACATAAAATGAATTTCAATCCAGCGATGAAATCATATTTTGCTTCTTTTTTAGATTCTCTCTTTATCTGATCATCAGATATGCGTGACAAATAGTTAAGAACTGTATTCTATTTGCAAAAATATAACGGATAAGAAAAGGAAATTATGATCACTAGAGTGTAATAACAACAGCAATAAAAAACCATCTACATGGAAACTATTTTAGGTGTTTTCAATTATTGGTTTGAAGAGGTTTGATTGATTTCAACATATATCACGAAATATCACATCAGTCGGTTACCCGAAACAAGGGACTACTGAAGAGCTGTTTCATCCTAGTCTGGGTTTCTTCATTGGTATGCACTCACGACGTCAACCAGGCTAGAATATCAGCACTATAATGTTACGAGGTAAGGTAATTAATCATCTCGTAAAACCAATTAAGAGAATTTGTACCGTTTCAGGGAATTACTAGCACAAGAACAATGATGAACTCGCTAAGAAAGGATTACGAGATTTTCGGTTTTTGCACGCAATTATACACCCCAATGCTCAATTCATGTGTTTTAAGGGGGGTACATAAGCTGAATATATATATATATATATATATATATATGTATATATATATACATTTATATATATGAATAATACTATAGGAAAAAGCATAAGTAGAATCCACCAAACACTGGGAATGCCACATGTTTGCGTAGGATAAATAAAATAGGATATTATAAAACATAGAGGTTTCTGGTGAGTATGATTGAAAACTAAAAGCCTGATAGTGAAATGGTCTAGAAAATACAAAACATCTCGACTATTGTATACATGAACTTATACCCTAACCCCCCGCATGCGTAAATCAATCCCCTCCACTCGTCGTATACGATAAGATCAGTACACTGAGTCTGTAGAATGTGTTGTCTATCATGAAAAACTTAAATTGTGAGTAAAAATTGACTGAAACCTCCGTGATTATGGAATAAAAATTATAATTATCAAAAATAGAAGCATTTACAGATAAATCTCCGATTAAGAGTAGTCTTAATCCATTAAACTGATAGGTAAGGGTAGTCATCTACCTTCATTTCATTGCCAAGGAAGTGGAGACGGTGCCTACTGGACACAAGATCGAGGAGAGGAGCAGATGTGGGTTCAGACCACTATCTAGTACAAGGGACACTCAAGGTGAAGCTAAGAACTTTGGAGACAGCTGGGGATAGGCCATAATGCAAGTTCAACACGCAAAAACTGAAGGACACAATCACACAGGACATTTTCACTGCAACTGTCAGAGCAAAGCAAGAAACACTACGTGGCATCACTGAGGAATCATCCGTGGAAGACCATTGGAACTCTCTGAAGGTAATTTTCAACGAAACGTGTTCAACGGTTTTAGGAAGAAAGAAGAAACAAGACAAGGAATGGCTCTCAACAGACACTTGGAAACTAATAGAGGAGAGGAGAAAGGTGAAAGAAAAAATGATTCAATGCAAAGATGGACAAGAGAAAGAGACGCTGAACTCAACTTACATAGCACTGGACAAAGAAGTGAAGAAGAGTGCCAGGAAGGACAAAAGACAATTCTACGACAACCTGGCTACTGAAGCTGAGAAGGCAGCAGGCAAAAGGGACCTGAGGACACTATATCAGATGACCAAGTCTCTATCCGGGAAGAGATCAACACAAGTGAAACCTATAAAAGACAGCAAAGGGAACCCAATTACCAAAGAAGAAAGACAGATTAAACAATGGGCGGACCACTTCAAAGGACTCTTGAACCGACCACCACCTGCAACCCGTCCAGAAATACCAACAACAGCACGTACACAACTGCAAGTTGACACCAATCCTCCAACGAAAGCTGAAGTCTTGAATGCAGTCAAGCTTCTGAAAGCTGGAGAAGCAGCTGGACCAGATGGAATACCCCCGGAAGCACTGAAAGCGGACCCAGAGACGATAGCAGATTTACTGACTCCATTACTGCAAAAGATCTGGAAGGAGGGAAAGGTGCCTACTGACTGGAGGAAAGGTTACCTTGTGAAACTACCAAAGAAGGGCGACTTAGGACTCTGCAAGAACTGGCGAGGAATCATACTCCTGTCGACACCAAGTAAAATCCTGAGTCGCATCATCCTGGAGAGAATCAAGGACGCACTGGATACAGAACTCCGACCAGAACAAGCTGGATTCAGGAAACGCAAACCATGCTCTGACCAAATTGCAACTCTACGCATCATCATCGTACAAAGCATGGAATGGCAATCAAATCTCTACCTCAACTTCATAGACTTTGAGAAGGCCTTCGACAGCGTTGACCGCGAAGTAATTTGGAAACTACTCAAGTACTACGGCGTACCCCAAATATTCATCAACCTTATTCAACAGCTGTACGACAACGGCACATGTCAAGTGATCCACAACGGAAAACTCAGCGAGGCGCTTGGAGTAAACACAGGAGTCAGACAAGGGTGCTTATTATCACCAATGATATTCCTAATTGTGGTGGACTAGATTATGCGTCAGACAATGGGAAACAAGAAGACAGGGATATCCTGGACCGACGTGAAGAATCTAGAAGACCTGGATTTCGCGCGTGGATGATTTTTGTTTGATGTCACACAAAATCGAAGACTTACAAGCGAAAACCGACAAACTGATCGAAGAAGCAGCAAAGACAGGACTCCAGGTGAACATAGACAAGACGGAGGTTATGAAAATAACCAACCAACAACAGCAGCAGCAGCAGCAACATCCAGTGCCAATCACCATCGACGGGAGGGATTTGAAAGAGGTTACTTCATTTACTTATCTAGGGAGCATTGTCTCAACCACAGGAGGAACGGACGAAGATGTCAAATCGAGAATCGGGAAGGCGAGAAACACATTCATCAACCTGAAACCAATCTGGAAATCTTCGTCACTCAGCGTCAACAACAAAATTCGGATTTTCAATACAAACGTCAAGTCAGTTCTTCTATACGGATCAGAAACTTGGCGGGTCATAAAGAATATTTTCAACAGGTTTCAGACCTTTATCAACAGCTGTTTTCGTTCTATACTGAAGATCAGATGGTCAGAAAGAATCACCAACAAGAAACTAAGGGAACAAACAAAACAAGAAACAATCGCTCAACAAATATGCAAGAGAAAGTGGAGATGGATTGGACACTCGCTGAGGAGGCCGCTGGGTGACATCGCGCGTCAGGCCAGTGCTCGAGTGGAACCCGAAAGGGAAGCGGCGAGTGGGACGTCCAAGGTGACATGCAGGAGATTGTGTGAAGATGAGCTGAAACAGTATGGAATAACATGGATGCAGGTGAAAAATACAGCAGAAGACAGAAACAAGTGGAGACGTGCAGTTGAAGCTTTATGTTCCACTAGGAACCCAAGGGAACAATAATAATAGACGCTTATCTCTTGTGTGCAGTACCAATAAATGTCTACATTTCATTCTTCTGTGATGTTCCAAAGTGTGACAATGTAAACGCATGCAATCTCATAAAAATTTAAACGCTGATCCATATCAGTCATTAGATATTGGAAAACCCACGAGATAAATTTAAAACCGATCTGTTAACTACGATAAAATAAAGAATTGGAAGCACAAACATGAACGAAAGCTTTAAACAAATAATTGGAAAAGGGTGTAAAATGTGTTTGCATTCTTTTTTTTCGAGCACAGAAAGGATGTCAAAAGTCGTGAATGATTTGCCAAATCGTGTGGAGAACTGGGTGTGTTATGATTCTTATATTCCTCCCTTATATACTTTAAAAAGCTGTGTTGGATGGTTAAAAAGCTATTCAATGATGCAACACAGGTTAAACTTACAACTATCGGCTGAAAATATTCTTCCATCACTGTGTCATTCAGAAAATAACAGCACAATGCAAAAGGTTGGAGATAAGCATATATTAAACTGAGTGATAAATGCTCTGTCCTATCAGTTGACTGCTGCTCTTGCTCCTTTTTGTCTTCCTCTACGTTTTGCTGTTGTTGTTGCGGTTTCTCATCGTTATTCTCTAGAGCCATAAGACGTGATTTCAATCGATCGAAACCGGACAGCCTTCCAAATAAATTGATGAAATCCAACAAAACCGGTGCATCTTCATAATTAACATATGGAATAGAATATTCTCTTAAATTTAAAGAGGTGGAACTATTGAGGTGTGATGAATTCTCATTCATTTCTTCATAGTTCACTTCTTCCTGGTATTCTTGCATGTTTAACTTATTCACTGATAAATGTGGTAATAACTTAATGATATTGTCAAATCGGCAAACAGCGTTCTTGTGAATTCCGTAACGAATTTCTTGTGACACATTGGTGGAATCAATACTACGTTTATGAAAGCTGCAACATTAAATACAAGAAAATATTAAGTGAAAGGAAGAGGCTGAAAATGGTTCTTACACATTTTAAACAATTCACACTCGATAAAAGTAGACCAAAGATGATGCAAACTTAAATAACCGAAATCCCTTCGAATCTTGCAATTTCAAAGGTCACAACCGTGTAACAGGATTATATTATTATTACTCCCTTGCGTTCCAAGTGGAACATAGGGCTTTAACAACACATCTCTACTTTGTTCTGTTTTCTGCCGTCCTCTTCAGCTGGCTTGCTCCATGACTGACCAAACTCTCATCTCTTTCTCAAACGATCTCCTCCATGTCACCCTTGCACCGACGACCCACTCGTTGCTTCCTATTGGGATTCCACTCCAGCGATGGCCAGCATTGCACGCGGTGAAAGTCGTCAGCCTCCTTAATGTGTGCTCGATCCATCTACATTTTCACCCACATATCTGTTGAGCAATCGGCTCTTGACTGATTTGTTTCCAGCTAGCCAGAGTTTCTTGTTACTAATTCTTTCTGGCTGGCTGGCCATTTGATCCTCAGTATGGAGCCAGAGAAGTTGGCAGCTGTTGACAAAAGTCCGCAAACTGTTGGAAATGCTTTTCATGATACACTGGCCAAGTTTCTGACCCGTATAGAAGAATTGACTTTACATTGGTGTTGAAAATCCGAAACTTGTTCTTTATGCTGAGCACTGTGCAGAAGATTTCCAAACTGGTTTCAGGTTGATGAAGGCGTATCTTGCCTTTCCGACTCTGACTGGTTAGCTTTGACATCTTCATCCGTCCCGAATTCCTGTAGTTGGAACGATGCTTCCCAACCGGATAAGTGAAGGAGGTTACCTTTGTTAAATCTCTCTCATTGATGGTGATTGGTGCCTGTTGTTGTTGCTGTTCGTTGGCTATATTCATTACCTCCATCTTCTCTATGTTCACCTGGAGTGTTGTCTTTTCTGCCTGCTTTTTCAGCCAGTTTGTTGGATTTTAACTGTAAGTCTTCGAATTTGTGTGACATGAAACATTAGTCATCCACGTGCGAAATTCAGATCTTCTAGAGTCTTCTTATGGGTCAGTGCAGTATTCTTTATAGGTTTATTCATCTGGGTCGATCTCTTTCCGGACAGGGACTTGGTTATTTGATTTAGTGTCCTGATGGTTCTTTCCTTTGTGGCCTGTTTTGCCTCAGTTCTTAGTGTGTCGTAGAATTTTCTTTTACTGTTCGTGGCACTCTTCTACATTGCCTTATTCAGTGCGATGTACACTGAACTCAGCTTCTCCTTCTGTTGCTCATCTTTGCATTGAGTCATCTTCTCTTTCACTATCGTTCTTTTCTCGATTAGCTTCCAGCCATTTCTCGTCTAGTCTCTTCCTTCTTACTAGAACAGTTGTACACGTTTCCTTGAATATCGCTTTCAGAGAGTTCCAATGTTCTTCGACACAGGTTTCCCCAGTGATTCCACGTAGTGTCTCCGACTTCGCTCTGATCAGATATGTATTGAGGTATCCCTTGTAGTTTTGTCCAGTTTCTGAATGTTGAACATGCATTACAATGGTCTGTCTCCAGTAGTTTCCATGGATTTCAGTTTCACCTTGAAGGTTCTTTGAACTAGATGATGGACCGAGCCCACATCTGCTCCCCTTCTCAACTTTGTATCCAGCAGACTAGCTGCGTCTCCACTTCCTTGAGAGGCAACATTGAGATGAAATCTATCTGGTTTGTGGTATGTTTGTCAGGCGAAATCCATGCTGCTTTGTGCATATCCTTGTGTTTGTACACGCTCCCTCTGACTACCAAATCATTGAAAGAGCAGAAGTCTGCGAATAATTCTCCGTTCTTATTCATGCCTCCGAGCCAGAGCCTCTCAACCCATGATGAGTTCTCTCCTTGTATTATCAGGTTCCAGTTTGGCATTCATATCACCCATAAGGGTTTTGATGTCACTATTTGGGATGTTTTCCATTACTGTTTGTAGTTGTCTGTGAAAATCTTCCTCCTTCTCTTGTTTCGCGTTGTTTGTAGCATTGGATAATTGTGACCTTCCTTCTTTTTGAGTTGGATTTTGCTGTCGTAATCCTGGATGAAATTGGTTCCCATTGCATTAGGGCTCTGGCTGCTACTGGTGGCATCAACATAGTCACTCACTGCCCCGTTTCAGACTAGCGACAGCCTTAGTAACCTCAGTTAGGGACGGAGGACCTGTGTCTATGTCCCATTCAGGGAGGTGTTGGAAGCTGGGTAAGTTGAGAGTGGCTGTGGGCCAATTAAACTGCTCCTCAAAGTGTTCTCTCCAACGTCCTAGTCGTCTATGCTGGGAGTTAATTATGGTGCCATTTTTCTCAGAGATTGTTTCACTTATCGTTTGCCATTTTCTTACCTGTTTCACTGATAAGTCTGAATAGTTGACTAGTGTCCCCTTTTGCCGATGCCTCCTCCATCTCTTTCGCTTTTGTCGCCCACCACTGTTCACCGTCGTTACGAAGGCCTCTTGTTAGTTTACGTTTGAGTAGCTTTCGCTTCTCATCATAATCGGAGCTCGCCGGGATCAGTCTTCGTGCGTCAATCACTTCGCATGAGACGGTAGAAATGCAATGGCTCTTACTAACTTCAGGTTCCATGTTATTAACAGCTTTTACAGCTGTATCTACAGCTAACTGTATGTTGTACCGGGCTACCTTAGGGGAAGTCCTGCTGTCGATCTCAGATACACGTTTCGCTATTTCTACTTTAAATAGGGACTCAGTGTCTCGATCTAGATGGGGACGCACCTGCCTCGCTACTAACAATTCTTTATATCCGTTTAATCGTAAGCACGTGTTCTAAAAGGAGAGGCAGTCTTGTTCTGACCATCACCAACGATACCCTATGGTTATGTGGTCTATTTGAGTCCAGCGTCGATTTGATAATGGAGGTAGCCAGTTTCCGCAGTGACTCTCTTTGTGCTTAAAGTTAGTGCTGACTAGAAATAGATGATTATCTGAGCAGAACTGTAGAAAACGATCACCGTAATAGGTTCGCCAGCAGGGAACTCCATACGTACCACCTACATAATACTCTGTCTGGCACAACTTCGCTACTTGGGCATTGAAGTTGCCTGCTGAAACAACTATATCTGAACGTTTTGCTTTTTGCAGCAAATTATTTTTTTTATTTTTATTTTTGATTACAGCTTGGTTCCACACCGTAGTTTTGATACAAGTATGGAATTTTCAGCATGGATATCGGTAGCCCAAATTTTGCAGGCCGACCATAGATATCGGGTGTGCGTTTCAGGCAGAAATTATCCCTTAGTTTATCCGAACTGCAGTCTGTTGGGGCGTAAGCGGAGACTATGAAAAGACAATGACGGGTAGCGCCGTTCTTCCTTCTTCTTCTAACGGACCCATTCAGACGGACCGCACACATACGACTATCTACTGGGATCCAGTCAAGAAGTAATTTCTCTACCCCAACACTCAAAGCTAGCCCTACACCTGCGAGTCCTCGCGAACTAGCTGAGGGGTCTCCTGACAATCCTAAAGTGAGTTTTGCAGATTCACCTTGTTGGCCACGGATCCTACGGACCATCGTAGGGTGAGTCGGGATGTACCCTCTCTCTCCAGAGTGGAGAGACAGCATAGCTGGCATGCTGGTCATCTGAGGGAAACACCTCACTGCTGTTACACCCCTCTTCCCCAGCAGTACGACTTCGCCCTCAGACCCCCAGCATAGTGTAAGAAAGATTATTACACAATGTCGGTAACTGCTTTTAGTTTAATCGCTATCCTAACAATCTTCCTGGCGTGGTAAGACCTGCAGGAACAGAAGTCCCAGCCAGTGTAGTCTGTTGGGTCATTGTGATGTGCAAGCCCGACAACCACGTCAAAGTAGCAGCTATCTCTGTTTACCATGGTTTGGGACCGGCTAGAAAACTAGGCGAGGTGGTATAACAGGATAGAGGACACCAATAGATTGCTAATGCAATCTTTATTGACTAAGCAACTGATTCACTCCAGAGTCGAAATCTGCACAGAAACGTTTTAGTTCGAATTAAAATAACCTCACACCCAATCCCATCTTTCCCAGGCTAATTACCGGGCTAGTCAACCAGACGAGATTCAGAAGTATACTGACTAAGAATCCAACCTGGTGCACCAGCTGGGTTTTTAAGCATTCCACCACTAAATAAACACGGAACTACTGAAGTAGGTACAGGATTTAAGTTAAATAAGTATTTTTTGTCACCAAAATTAGAAAGGAAACTACATCAAGAACACAACAATTAACGAAGAAAAACCGTAGACGAAGACATAGTTCACAGTGAATACAGAATCGGTCATTTCTAACCATTCCTTACAGTGGGGGAGACTATAGATTAAGTGTAAGTTCAAAAGAGAAACACCCTTTTACAGTTTCATACCCATCTGATCTACAATGCGCACCTAAACTAAACTAATCTGATTTATCTACATATGACAGAGTGGGAACAAGTACATGATACAAAATGATTACTTTTAAGTTCCTACACCAATTCATTAGTCATTATTAAAAGCTGACAATACAACCAAAATACTCATATCAGATGGAACAGACTGAGTCTAATCATGTATTTGTGTTCTCTGAGCTGAATGGTTTAGTTGAAAATCGTTTATAGTCTTACTAGACAACATCCTTCCTCACATTTCAATTTGAAGCTTTTAAAATTCTCCACGAGTTTATAAGTTATCCCGCCTGGTAACCTTGAACGTAACCCGGCGTTTTGTATATTTCCTCATAAATATCCATCATTTTACCCATGTGAACCAATATTTGAGTAGTGTACCAGTGTAAATCGATAGCAGCTCAGATGCATTAATAAGAGATATCATAACTCGTGAGATGAAAGTTAAAATGATTGCCATTAACGCACGGGCGCAACCCAGTGGGGTAATACCAATTCCAACGATGTGATGTAACGTAAATATTAAAGTATTTAAGTTACCCACAATGAAAACAACTCACCGTGAATGAGGATCGAATAGAATGCTTTCTAGTTCTAATATAGGTGTGCAATCAGATTTAGCCTTGAATGAACATAGCTCAATAGCTAAAAGAGCATTGGCATAAATAAAATGCTTTTAAAAATGAATTCGTTAGTTGAATGAAAACTAGTGTAATCATACCAATACATGAGAATCCCACCGACTGACAGCATCGTCCTGGAATATTTTTGTAAAAGAAATTATCAAGCCATCAGAATAAAAACGTAAGCATTCTTTTGAGAAAATGTCTTCACCTAGATTTTAAAAAAAGAAAATATTTAGAAATACATATTTTTGCAGAACCATTTTTAGCCATATTAATCGACGCTATCAGAACAATTTCCAGTTGTGATTCGGGTAAAACAGGCACTTGCCATTGAGGTCGTGACAACAAAGAATTAAGAGTAGTTAACGCATGCACTGGAAATGTAGCCTGCATTTCTCTTGGGGATAAACTGTTATTTTCGGTAGCCATTGAAGAATTAACGACTGAAATATTCGGTGGACTATCATTAGGAAGTTGGTCTTGTCTGTCGGTTCTAGTATTCATGGTAGGTTAACTGAAGAAAAATAAGTAGAAAATTAAAAAAAACGATGAGCGCATAAAAACACTGAGAAATACCACTTAAATCAGATACATACTGCATAATTACCAAGTAATTTAAGTTAAAGGGTATGCAATAACAAAGACCGTACGGAACAGTACTGAATAAGAATGTCGAATGTGACATTAACTTGTGATGCATATTTTAGAGAGTAAACTGGTTTTAAGGTACCCCGCTAAAGTAAAAAAATTGCTGTTGTTTCTTAGTGAACTGAACAAAACCTAGCTACATTCGGTGACTACTTTGTAATTGTTACCATTCAGAAAAATTAGTGACTAAAATAAATGAAATGATTTCTGAGGCTAAACTTGTGTGATGTCTGACTAAATTTCAAACAAATAAAGTCAGTCAGCTGCTCTCTTCTATTCAATCCCAATTGAGATGGAAATACCTATCTAGACTTCTTGCATGACAGTTGGGTGTTTGTGATACATCAGTCTCCTGAATGACAATCAAAACTGTTGCTGAAGTTAGATGGAAAAATGAGCGACCATATACTTGGGTAGCTCAAGTAGTAAGTTGGAATATAAACAAGATACCACTGCAGGAAGAGTTTCCATATATTAATAGGAAGAGTTTCTCTTTTAACTTCACCATCCACTCACATTAATAGTAACCTGTCATACGTGAAATAATGAAGATATCGCACAATTCAGGATATTCAGCTTGCAATTGCTATAATTTTAGGGCGAAGAAAACAATATATCTCAAATGCATACTTCGTGTTACTGAGAAACAACATCGCTAGTATAGGTGTAAGAAGACGATTTAATCCCAGATCTCTTCTTAATTCATTTAAGCAGGAATGGAATTGAACATATATACAGTTCTTTAAGAAACCCTGTCCTCAATTACAAACAAGTCTAAAGCGAATAGACGAATACTCAGATGATGAATTCTTCCATGAGTACTTCGAATGATACACATACTTTAGTATGTCGACGTTCCCCGAGTATGTAGGTCGTCCGTAACAAAATTTTAATCCTTCTTAACTATTTACTATCGTTAAAAGCTGCACGCACTGATGACTCAACTAGTACCTGAGTATATGGACTGAACGTGCATTGAACAAATGCAGCGTGCCAGTTAACCAACATGTGCACAACCACCCTTCTAAAAGTTTGCTCGTATCACAGGTATCACAACGGTTTTAAAGACAACTGAGAACCATGAATTGAAAAAATAAGTTAATTTTTAGGACGCAGAAGTATGTAGAAGACAATGAAGCAACTAACTGTAGATACTCTGAAAGTTAAGGCAGCTGGTAGTGACGTCTCATCGGAATGACCGCGCTGCGAACAAAATCCAATATCCACTTCGAGAGTTGACGTTCAATATCTAATACCGTTTTTAGAAGCTAGCGTGCACCCCACTGGCTTCTTTGTGCTCCCTTCTTGGTTTTAGGGTAAAGTTAAAGGTCTTCAGTGAACTTCTGCGTAGTTCGTCCTATATTTGGTTAACCTCAAGGGGAATGGTGCTGGGATTGGTTGTGTTTTGTAGTATTATGTGTGTTGAGAACATGTTAGTGGAGTTGGTCCTTTCACCTGCTAATCATCTGGTGTGGTTGAAAGGACAGACAATATTAGCACTGGGCATAATCAGTGTAGATTATGCAGAGTAAAAAAGGAAGAATCGTAGACAGATAGCTGACAGATAGCTATCCAAAAGCTCAAACCCACACTTTGTATCCAAAAGAATTACGTCCAACCCCTCTCCCTACCATGGCCATCATAAACAGGTAAAATTTTTTTAGTAATGACAATCTCATCACCTTTCTTATCTAAACTTCCTGTTTGTTCATGTTATTTTAAGTTTTCTTAAACCCTGTTTACACTACCATATTTTCATACCCACTCTTCCTGTTTATTTTGTCATTTTACTATTTCTACATATTTAATCCCTGATTGCATAAACAATTATTCATCATATTAGTTTTTTATCCAAACATCCTGTATATTTTGTTATTTCTACATTTCTAACCCCCAATTGCACAATGTCAATCTTCTCAGTTATTATAATGCTACTTTGTTCGAGTTTTACCCATCCCCCCTGTTTGTTATGTCATTTTAATTCCTAATCGTAATTTTTTATTAATTTGACCCCTAACCAGAAATTATTCTGGAACTTTCCTATCCATTTGATATAAATACACGAATGCACAGCCTAGATGATGACTTCGTCGAAAAGAAAATTTTCTTCGCTGCAATTGTCTTTTTATTAACTCCTATGACCCAATGTGTATATTCCGCGAAATTTGAAATTATTTGGTGAATCAATAATGATATAAGGGGAATGGAGTACTCAAAAGAGTGAAACAAGAGAGAATGAAAAGCATCAGAACGACAATTTTACGCGTGGGAATTTTCGGGGATATGAAGTTTGGACGCAGTCCTTTGTTGGTGAGTGATTGTCCAGCCTTCGCCTAAAGCTTTCCATGGACGTTGAAGTAGCCACATTTTCTGGTAGAGGATTCCAAGGGTGGAAGACTAAAAGCGAAAAATGGAAGCGGAACAAATTCGCCGTGTTTTTTCATATGTTTTATGGTGAATGTCAATAGCGTTTTATGCCACCCTACCAAGATCTTTTCTAACGTGTTGGAATTTACTATAACAGTGTGTGGGCTATCCTGTAATAAACCTCAGTACATGCGCTCCGTATTTCCCTAGGACACGCGATGGGTGAAGTTGAAATGGTGATAATATATCCTCAGTTTTTGTACATGAGGGACAGGTATCATCAATATGACGAATAATAGATACATGAATAAATAAATAAATTTATTATCATAGTACAGTACATGAGGGACGCCAGTTTACAGGCATCATCAAATTGTTACAGAAATAGAACCATATAATTCAATCACAATTTACAGGCAGTAGCAAGATATGCTTTACATGTTCGCTGGAGATTATACATACACTTGATAAATGTTAATCCCAGTAGTATAAAACAGCCTTTTCATTTATATACAATCATTTCTGTGCAAAGTTGGAAAAATCTGCTAGATTGTCAGTGAGTGCAACACAACAGGAAATACAGGAGTATTGTCTTCGCATTAACAAAAAAACCAGGTCTTTGGTGGATGGATTATAAGTGCCTGGGAAAAAAATAAAGCTTGAAGTAAACATTCATACATAACTTTGTTGTGTGCAGAGTCCTCGAATTATAGTTCATTGATGTGTTATTTTGAAATCAGTGATGTGTTTATCTCATTTGATCTTCAATGTCATTGTTGGGAGTAAGTACATAAGCTTCGGACGCATTAATTAGTGGATTTCTACTGCTTACGGGTATTTTCTTAGCGTTAGGAAGGTTTATGAGTTTCAGCTGTTCCGACAAGAGTTGAGAATATTAACTGCTCAGCAACATTATGGATATAAGTTCATCACATTATCTAAGGAAAGGTGGGTTGCAGTTGGTGAGGGATATATGGTGCCCAACGAGCGTTCATCTGTCCATGTGATGTTGTGGTGAGTTATACCTTTTTCATGTTGTCGGTTTATGTCCATTTTATTCCACTTGTTGTGTTGGGTAGTAGTTTTACAAACGAGATTTCTTGTCTGTTTGAGGATACGTATGTTAACCGTTAATGTTTTATCTAGAATTATAAATATAGGCAAAAAACAACAGGTGTAGTATTTAAGCTTATACATTAAATGGACCTATAATTTCTGAGGTTCTCTGATAGGAACTAGAACTACTATCGTTTGCAAACTCCTGTAGTTTGTCATCAAGCACCTTTTCGAAGGAGGCCAATGTACTTGCTTGACGCATTTCCATTGGTAGTTTATTCCATATCTGTGCATACCTAATCAAGTAAAACTTTTGCCTGGTGGCTGTTTTACATTTTCGATAGCTACTGTACCCTTAGTGTGTCTTAGTTTGTAGCCATTGTCATCTGAAAGTCGAGTGCCATTAGTAGAGGTAAAAACTAAGTGGTTTAGAAGCTTATAGTAAAGCGTCAAGTTTAGTCTCAGGCGTCTTAGCCATAGTGTTTCTAGTCCTAGGGTATCACATCTAGTGGAGTAGTTCGCACAATTTTCGGTTCCGAGTAATTTTAACGTGAAGTACCTCTGCACTCCCTCGACTTTCAATTTGTCCTCTATGCGTATGCTACTATACATGAATGAACAGTAATCAAATAAAGGACGCACACAAACCTTGTACAACAGAATTCTAGACTCATTTCTGTAGAAGTTCCTGAGTAGAAAGCCGATAAGTCTGCGTGACTTTGACACTTGTTTGGAGATATGTTCAGAAAATGATATGTTATGTGAATATTTCAGTCCTAGGTCCAGTACAGATTCCAGTCGTTGAAGTGCATGGCCTTGAATTGTCAGGTCAAGTTCTAAATTGTTGCAACCTATGCAGAGCCAGCCACATTTTTCGACATTAAATTGGAGTTGCCAGGTGTCACACCATCTATCCATTTTTTCTAATTCTTGCTGTATGGCGTTTACTGTTATTCCAAGATCTGTGTTCTTGCATTTATACGTCACTTTTAAGTCATCTGCATAAAGTATTGGTTTACCTACACCAAAGCATTCACAGATACTGTTTATATATATTATGAATAAGAGTGGGCCTAATACACTTCCTTGGGTTACACCACTACTTACTGGTTTAGGCCTTGAGATTATCGAGCCACCTTTCGTTGTCTGACTTCGGCCACAGAGAAATGATTTTATCCAGCTCAGGAGAGGGTCACATATCCCTAGTGAGCATAACCTGCTGACTAGCAGATTATGGGGAACTCTGTCGAAGGCTTTTGTTATATCGAAATATAGTACAATTACTAGTTCTCTGTTGTCCCTACTTCGTGTAACTTCATTGAAAAAGTCTATGTGACAGGTCACACATGATTTCTTTCTGAGAAATCCGTGTTGTGATGGATTGATAAATTCATGTTTTAGTAAGTTGTCTGACACTTGGTCTTTAACCACTT